TCTGCATTAATCTTTCTTTTGTTCAAGTTTTGCCCCAGTTGTAATGCATTAAGTATGGATTGTGGATACGTTGACATGTTGGTATTTTCTTGTTGGGCTTTCAAGTGACATATATTTACATGAAATAGAAAACAACTTTCCTTCTGGAAAAACTGGTTTTATTCTCCCAGTATTTTTTCCGTGGTCTTCCTTTTATTACTCATTTCCATTGTATATACAATGTGCCCTCATTTAATTGAATCTGAATTTTTAGCTAGTTGACATGTCGATATTCTCTGTTTTCTGACAGGGGACAAGATAGTTGTAATTTGTCAAGCGGTAAGCGTTTATTCTTTCGTATTACACGGTAACGATGACTGCCCTTTCATTTAAGACGTGACATGTGATTTTGTCCCTGTAGAATGGTGTTGTGGTTTCATGCGTAGGCTTTTTAAAATCTTAGCAAGGTTTGAAAAATAAAGTATATGCATGATAATACTCCTCTTATTCACGTAAAAGATATACATATTGTGTATTACCGTGTTGTATACATATTTTAAGTAACAAAAGAATGAATATGACTCTCTCTTGAAGTATATCGTGTCGGTAGGAGATACGAGTACCATTCTGTGCACTTTTATATAATATACTTTGCATGTGTCTATACTGTATTTTTTTCGAAACAGACATATGTAAAATAGATAACAAATATATTCTTTTACCTATGTCAGTTCCCTTATGCTCTTATCATGTACAAAGAATAATTCATGACGGTATAAAGGTCCAAAATATTTGCACGATATCTTAGGGTAATGCCAAATCCGATGGAAGACATGCCAAGGCCAAAAAGGTTGGCGATCGCCCCGTCTGCATCGATATCTGTCCTTCATCTTATATGCCATTTTCTTTCATCTTTATAGGTAAACGTTTATTCTTGGTTCTTTTTTCGGGCAATGCGTTTGATTTAGTTTTATATCTTACTTCATCAGAGGAATATTTTGAAATTTCCTTTTCATCTTTTTGACTTATTTCTTGGTCTAGATTCGGATTCACAAACACCAAGATCAGAAATCTGATTTTCTATTTAAGCATTTGTTTAAAGGGATAGCATCGCATGCATTACACCTGACATAAAAACAAAGTGTTTTGAAGGTCAGATCATATCACCCTTGTTTCCGTGTTCGTTATCAATTACTATGTAGATATAAAATATTTAATCATTCTGCAATATCACTTTTATTTAATCCAATTGTTTATGGTCTTTTGATTGATATGTTCAACTGAAAAAGCTTCATAAAAATCACATTGTTATTTCTTTGTGTAAGAACATCGAGAAATGCTATGTAAGGATTAGTAAGTCTTTAACCGAATCTGAACCCAATATGTATAAAAGCATTTTTTATCGAAATAACAATAACTATGATAAAAAAAATCATCTATAATTACGTTGAAAAAATAGTTGGATCATATTTCAAAATATATGATAATATCGTAATCGAATTGCTGGTGACTGCTGTTCTCATATATGGGGATTAGTTACAGATATGAAGTTAAGCCTTCAGGATTGTTACAAAACTTAGTAACGTGCGTTTTTTCCTAACAAAGCGTGTAAAAAAGTTTGTTTGTTCTGTTTATGATTCAAATACGATCTGTAAAATAACCTCAAGATAGTTTTTAGAGTCATCAGGCTGAATGAAATATCGATTGACAATTTTGAGAACCCCCCCCCCTCTCCCCTAAAAAATATGGTACACTCACCCTCCCCTAAACAAACAAAATCTAATCGGACTTGTTTTTCTATTAATCTGTTAGATTATGCCAGTAAAATTCCTTATGTACTTCCCTAAAAACGCCTCCACAGGTTGACTTGTGTGTTGTTTTTGTGACCAGTGACACCATTTACAAAACACAACTTCATACTTAACAATACCTTCTTTCAAACTTCGTATTATAATAAAAAAATTGTCACAAAGGAGCCAGCTAAATTTAATAGTATTAGTAATTAACGATATCATTGATTGGGGATCATCTATACCATTTGAAATAACTGATCCATGAAAAATTCTGCCTCATAACAATACAGTTTAACAGGTGGTCATGTGGGCTATTATCTCTGATATCGGTAATATATGTGGGATTAAAACGCGATCAAGTCGTTTCACCACTAAACCGTATCTCCTCCATAGTAAACCGTACAACCAGGGGATAGTTATGTCCTTTTTCTCAAATTTGTTTATGAACTTGCCTGTCCTTATGCAGCAATGTTCATCATTCGAGATACGAGGTCACACTCTGATATTTTGTAGGTAATATAGAAACTAAGTATCATTTTTGTCTTCCCATGCGTGTGTTTCCATTTCTGAATCTGATCAGATTAACGTTTTTTTCCGTAGCATGACGGATCTTCCCTACTGGTAACATAAAAGAATGTTTAATATGTATTCAGAGTTTTTTTTTATCTTTGAGTTGGGTTATAGCTCTATAATTGAGAATGTACGTACAATTTGTAAAGATTGCGGCTCTTTAACATATAATGTGGTACATTTGTATGCACAATAGCTTTCCTACATTAACCTCAGGAGCGATTTACTTTATCTCTGAAACGAATGAGAGAACACAAGCTAGGTACGATGAACAGAACCTGCTATACTGAAATAATGCAAAGAAAGTAAAAATGCAATGGTTTTGATGCAACAACGACAGTATAGCAAATAGAATAACACATAACTAGAGAATGTGATAATGAAATATAGTTCAATAATCACATCGCAATATGCATTACATTCATCGAATTTATGTATCATAGTGAGTCAATTACATTCATTTCAAGTTTGTTTTTTAAGTCTAGATTTCCTTCATGTCATAGCTGTTGTCGAGCCATGAGGTGTATTATCAAGTTACTAGATATTTTTGTCGATATGTTGAAGCTGTGCTATATCTTTTTGTGTGTTGATCTGGTGGTATATTGTGTTGTCATGTGTTAGAGTTGAGGTATATCTTTTCTTAGTGATGACTCTATGATATATTTTGCTGAGGCGTGAAAGCTGTGGTATATCGTTTTATGGGTCCGGTTATATATATATTATTTTGTATCGACTCTGTGGAAGATCCTTGTCTGAGTTAATACGATAGGTGATATTGCGTTTTGATCGCTTTGATTAGAAATATGTGTTGACGACTAAAATGATGCCTGTAAGTGACGTTAATCAATCATAAATCAGAAACAAACATTTAAAATTTCTTATATGTTTTGTATTATCCATTGTGAGTATAAAATATTTAAATGTTTTGAAATGTATGCCGAAAGTCCACTTCAAGGTCAAATCTAAAAGAGAGAAAAGAATATTGAATTAAAACTGTAATTACAACAAACAATTCAATAAAAAGGAATGCAGAAACGGCCAATTTTTCCATATTAAAACTAGTCACTTGAGTTAAAAAAGACAGAAGCCACATCAAAGTAGGCCAAATTCACTTACATAGATTTTATCAAAGACATTACATGTATTAACATATTTTATAGAAGTTTCTTGACTAAAATCTAGCTTACAAGCCAAAATCTATAATTGCATTTTATTATCCGGATAATTCAAATGTGTAATTTTAGAAACAAGTTACCAGCTAGGCGACTGTGGAGGTATCAAGTACGAAACGATAAGACGCTTCCGTGTCTCGTGGGAATTCCGACACGGACTAAAGGAAGTATACACGGTACACACCGACCTACTGGCTAACTTCATTACACTTATTCTTAAATATCTCCGTTTCAATTGACCTGTTCCTCAAATATTCTTATTCAAACAATACTACTAGTATATTTGTTAACTTCTTCCTTCATCTATCCCTCCCCTATTGCTCTCTGTTATTAATTTCCCTTTTAATCCGTTACGTTCCTATTACCTTCCATGTCCTTTCATCTTTGTTTATCATTTTATTTAGTAATAAAATGTTCTCATTATTACTATATTGGCATGGCACTGAAATAGATACGAATGATCTGTCAATTATTATTCATCTGACTCATCGAAAATTGTTTACAATTCATGAAAAATGCTTACATGTGGATACTACTAAAGTGTGAATTGTGATGAAAATATGATGAAAAGTATCAAAACGATAGAAAATCTGTAATTGAAATGAGAAAGAAGAAAAAAAATAAAATATGTTTCTAGACCAAACAAATCTGAATGCTTCAGAGATATAATTAGAATATGTGCGTCTGGTATTTGACATGAGCTTCGAGGATGAGATAAAATGTGGTTTGAAATGAAAATATACATGTATTTTAACGAAATAAACACATATCCCAGTAACTTAATAGTGCTTTACCGTAACTGCCTAAAGTTTCAATTTAAAATCTTCAATATAATAGATAAAAATGTTATATTTCTCTGTATTTGACTATTACTTAGAATCCTTTCTTTATTGAATGTTCTCAATTTATCTGCAGTTGTGAGTATTGAATTTCATATCTAATTAGATAGAATAAAAAGCCATGTGATACATTTTTATGAATGTTTTTAACATACATAGTACGAGAAAAATGAAATAGTTTGTCAACACATCGGACAGGAATGTAACGCACGTGAACTACGGTAGTAAACATGTTAAGAATCCACCGGGAAATACTGAAATAATAAACGTATACAGAAGGAAGTTACATTACGTATCAATCCTTGTAGCTTCATTAGGCCTAAGGCATTTAGGCTGTGTTGGTGTAACACTAAGGTATCGTATATCACCAACATGAAGTATATCATTGTAAACGAGACAAAACCAACGCCTTGGGAACTATTAAATCAAATAGAATGTAATTAGATAAAATGTCGTTCTTATCTTACGCACGTGGAAAATATTTGTTTTTCATGTATTTTTATTCATAGCAGATAGCACTGATTACCTTATTGCATTAGGTGGCAAAGTTAGATTAAATACAAAATCTCATCTATTTTTATGTTTCATATACTGTTTTACTATTTGTTAACAACCGTTTTTGCTGCTGAAACGTTGAAATAAAAACAATGATCAAGGTTTGTAGTTGAAAAAGTGGACGTGTGTTGGAAGATTAAAAATAAATTAGCAAATCATATTTGTTTAATCTGACGTTTTAATCAGGAGAGGACAGCCTTTTGATACATTATATTTTAGGGCTAAAATATTATCATTTGAAAGCCAGTATTGACTGTTTCTACTCAGGATAAATAAATGTGTCGGTAAGGTAAAAACGTATGTTACAATAGTTTGTTTCGATGCAAGATAAGAAAGTGTTTGTAAGGTAAAAAAAAGTACTTTACAAAGTTGTACCCCAGTTACATCTCTCTGCTTCTCCTTTCATGTTATCACATTCTTTGTTATCTAGATCAGATGTCTTGTTGGTCCATACATCATCTTGACATTATGCTCTACTCTGTTCTAAAGGCTATGAATAACTATACATTTTTAAACATACCACATATATTTGATCCCACGTACTATAATGACAATGAGGTTTGTAAGGTTACACGGTAGAACACTTTCTGAATGGAAATCAGCTACTGCTAACTGATACTATCTAAACGAGATCCTATCAACAAACAAAAGAGATCTTTGGTTAGCTGTATTACAACAATTTTTTCTATATTTTTTCCCCAACCTAATGGAGGAAATAAACAAGAATGTTATATAAACAAGTCATCATTATGACATATAAAATTAATAAGACTAATGAAATTTCATGTGCAACTGTCTTCCAGAATAAATATAGCAAGGAAGATTAAATTTCCTCGCATAATTCATGTGTATATGCAACTTTTCATTGCACAGCTGCATTACTAGACAACGATGTCACTGTATAACATCTTGCTACACAACAAATACATCAGCGTCCCTAATTCTTATGTACCATACCATACCATACCTACCATGCCATACAAAGTTGTGGTACAAACTTGAATTAGTGCGTACGTCTGTCCAGCTATCCACCAAGCCGTCTGTAGATGGCGGGTTTTTGGTATAATATGTAGTGCACGAAGTCTTTAAGGAAAATTAGTTTGATGATTTTTTATATGTTAAACTCGTTTCAAGATATTCTCATATGGGATTTGTCGACTGCTTCCCTGTCTGTTATTTGATTAATAAAACACATTTCACCTATTGTAAATATACGTTTGCAATTTAGTTTTATTTCAGTGAATTAAACTGCTTTGTATTATGACACTTTTTAAATAATTTGTCCAGAATATTGAACCTTAAGTCGTCAACAAATGTCAAATCTCTATATAATTCTCGTCTCGTTTATCTTTCTAGCCTCGGATATATTATCTCCATATCCGGTCAGATATCAAGTTCCGGTTTTCAACGACATTGATCACCAGCAAGGTCATGAACCCTAGCGCGGTTGCCCAGGAAACAACATTTCACGTCACTCTTCCGGACGAGGCTTTCATAACCAATTTCCAAATGTAAGATATTTTATACAATACAACTGTAACAATACATCAAGAAAATACAAACATGATTATAATCTAAATTCTAAATTCAAATTTCATAAAAGTAGGCTAAATATGAACAAAAGAAAGATATACAGAGAGATTCATGAAAATATTCAAGGAGAATGAGACTAGGTGTTCCGGAAAAGTATTCGTCTTCTGCTTCATCGACGACACCCGCCATGTAAATCTTTGTCAATCCAATTATGTAATATTACGTTCTCAAATGAGAACAAGGTATACTACAACGGAACCAACAGGCAAACGAAAGAACACCAAACACGTCCAACTTCATAGCGCACAAATAAAAGGAATATTTCTTAATCAGATCTCTATGACGAGCATAAAACTTCCCAATGATTTCCATCAACCTGCATCTTTTGAAACCCTGTGGTACGAGTTAGTCCGTCAGTTACTATGTGGCCGGTATCCAAATGTCAGTATACGTTATTCATTGTTATCAATAATACATTCAGAAGGAAATTCATTTGTAACCGAGGAAGTTACAGAATTTGCATTCCTATCACCCCCTCCACTCACACCAGAAAAAAGACATCATCAAACGAATATTGTTTGAAATACAATGTTAATAAAGGCAACATATCACTGCGAACTTTTTTCATGCAAGTGTGTAAAGCAAAAAAGGAGTCTTACATAATCATCAAACAAATGGAAAAGAAATGGAATGGCTTTATAACAATCGCATGAAAGAATGGGCCCAGTTTCCTGTGTACAACAATTTTACAATGCAATAAAATTGTATCCTTCTGCTTAATGAGACGACCGATGCAAAGATGGGTATGTGTGCCAACGAATTTTCTCATAAAAGATTAATGACCATGGCATAGTAAAGTAAATCCGAAAACAAGGTCTGATGAAGACTCGTACATGTTACGGATAAGTGGAATACAAATTATGTAACTCAAAGAGGGGGAAGACTAAGAAATCTTGACACGAAAGTAGTGTATTTTTTATCTTTGTTTTTTCTTCTTCTAATTCTTGACACCTTAACACTTGCATTTATAAGGTCGACTTTCCTTGCCTGTATTACATTAGAGATAATATGATATCAGCATTAACTATCCGATTCTTAATGTAGTTTAAAATTTTCATTGCCAAATTATGAACATTTAATATATACGTTTCTGAAGGCAGCACCCATTTTTGTCTGAAAAAAAGAACAATGTTTTATGTTAGCAATAAATGTATAGACAGAATTTACCCTGTAACTTTACTATAAGCCGTTGTAATGCCGCCACTAAACATTAGAATATAAAGGAGTGATTTTATAAGCAGCTTCGCAGTCAAACGTTTGTGAACAAAATATATCGTGTACCCCTCAACAGAGTAAGTTCAGTGTTGAACATCAAGCGTCGTGTTTTTATCTCAATGAAATGTTTCAATGCACATTTGGTATGCCATAAACAACATAGCATGGATTTATGTATAATAAAAAGCTAATGTCTCTCTTGACATTTTCTCCTATCTTTTTGCCAACAAAAGAGACACTACCAAGATGTTAATTGTAATATTCACAAAAACAGCTCTTGAACTATTAAGACTGCATTAACACACACACACTTATATATATAAATTAAGTGGATCGTAACATTGGCGATGAAATGACAGCTATTCTGTTTTCGACATTTAAGGATATGGGATGTTTATGTTACAACCATTAACTCCTCCGAAGTATAAAAGTTTAGGAGTTCGTATAACTTACAAAGAAATAACAACCACTTTATTCTAGCCATTTAAGGATATTGGCTATAAATGTTTCAAACTTGATGTGCCAGTCAAAACAAGCCCCACAGAAAGCATTCATGTCGTTTTTTGTAGAGATGATAATTTATAGACATTCGTTCAAAATTGACGTTTTAACATTCAATTGCTCTTTATTCTGAGATATCTCGTTATGCAGTTTTATGTCACATTTCTTTCCCAATAGACTTATTTTATACTAAAATGATTTATAAGAGAAAAAACCCTTCATTTAATTAACAATGAAAACCTGAATGCTGAATGCAATAACTGTACAAGAAATTGGGCACAAGTCATTATGTGAATACAAATGGGATGGGGATTTTTAATTTGCAGTACGATAAATTGCTTGCGTTTTCATGTTTTATTGTCGACAACATTTTTATAAGAAATATCAAGATTCAGCAGTTTTCATAATGTACAGAATCACAAACAGGACGACCGTCATGCTAGCACGGGTTTCCATAGCTTGTTGTTAGAACTAGGTAGTTGTCGGTTTAGTGATGTTACAATTGCTGTTTTATGTATCTGAATGGAGGAAATGATAGCATCTAAAGACGCCGACAAAAAAGCAATGCATAATTAAAAACACATAATGTTTTTCACATGTCAGAATATTATTAGTACTTATGAATTGAAATCTTTGTATACTGTAGTAACCTGTTGGAATATTTTACAAATGAGATTAAAGTGTATTTCTAATAGACCTGTCCAGAGGAAAATTAAAATTTGGAGAGGACAAAAGTAAAAAACATACAAAGCGAATTAAGTCTAGAATCGATATGTTCTGTCATTGCTGTATATGTATAAGGTACATTGGACCGTTTAAAATTCTACCCACGTGCACAGAAAAAAGGATGTGGCACGGAATAAAAACAAGTTTCATTAAACTATATAATTAAATAGCTCTGTGGGAACTGTAAAATAACACAAAGCAACGTCCGTAACGTTGCGCCAGACCGTTAGCGTTATATAAATAACTATATACAAACGTCTGCTTCTCTTTAATGATGAGGTACAGAGGCCCTCTCACGGCTATTTTACTGGTACAACTATTCACACAGATGGAAACGGTAGCGATACTCTACGTAATACGCATATTCAGTTCAGAAACGCTTCATCTTCAAAAATTACTTCATAAATGATTATTGAGTTTTGTCTTAGCATGTCATCATTTCTGATTTTGTCCTACAACATATCTATTGAAGTCCTATATAGAAAAGGAGTGAAGAGTCTGTCCGTGCATTTGTACCTCTGTCCGTCCGTCCATATTTATCAGTACACCCCGGTATGGTGACTAAGAGAACCTGGTTAGACTTTAGTGATTAAAGGTCGAAGTAAAAGGACATTTTTATGTTTTTTTTATAACGTTTCACGAACAATTCACCAGATTTTTAAAACATAGTACGATAACAATGAGTTTCAAAATCGCCTATTTTATGTACATAGTTAATTGTTAGTCGCATGCCACCAATGACTACTTTCACTAAGGAGTACGTCTAACTGGAGGACAAGTTGGTGTAGGAAAATGATTGATTTGAAATTGAATGATTGAGTTGTAAAAATAACCCGAAATCCTGAACCGCCTAAAGTATCAGAATGAAAGCTGTCTGTCGATGTCTGTGATTTAATACATTTCAGAACCACATAAAATGTCCTTACCGCTATCAAATAATATCCTGATTCTTAACCAAATTCCGCCTAAAAATGATGTTCTTATCATTCATTCAAAGTAAGTTTACATTCAAATTTAAAAAAAAAAATGATGAAATTATAGAAAAGCCAAACAAAATCAAACCAAAAACAAGACACTTTTTTAAAATGTTCAACCCACTGTTTTCAAAATGTCTACCTACTTGCTATATTTCAACAGGAAAGTCGATGGAAGGATGTATCCAAGTCAAATTGATGAGAAGAGCAGCGCTGACACAAAGTACCAAAGGGCAAAGAATGAAGGCCAAAGTGCAGGACAGGTTCGACAGAGGTGAGGATGTGTGTTCAAAATAATAAGACAGAAGTATTATCAAATTACAAAGTGCACGTGGTAGGCTAATTTGACAGGGGAACATTTGATTTAAGAATTTTAGACAAAACGAAAGTTTATGTTCATGGTATTTCCACCTACGTAACGTAGCTCTGTTTTCATTTTGAAATCAAAGCAACACAATAAAAAATGAAATCGCATACTGGGCGGATCCCAGAAAGCACCATCCGTTCAATATAAGTTTACCACAAAATATGCTTGATTTTTATCATAATGAACCGTTGGAAATGAATGCCTGATTCACATTTTTAAACGGATAGTTGCTAGCCACACATAGGAATTCAATGTAACACTAAAATGTTATGCATTTAACAGTCTTAACATCATTCCAAGCAGCCCTTCCATCGTAACATCCTTTCTCTCTGACAAGTCGGTATTAATGAGCAAGAAATGTTACCATAATAATAACTACAATGTTTTTTTCTCACATTTTTATGATAAACAAAAATGCTGCTTTTGAATCTTTACGTATTAAAACATGCGCTGTTTTCATATCTAGAATTTGGTTTACGTGCCAAAATAACTCCGGAACACTCGGTGCATTTTTCTAAAAATAGGTAATGATTAGCTATATGTATCATCAGAATCCAGTGCACTCGTTACCAGGTGTGAACAATACCTAGCATGTGTGAACATTAAACGTGCAAGATTTTAAAAAAAATGTAAATGTGACATTAAAGCAACTGTGGTGTGAATGTTTATATACATGATATGGTATTCAGTACTAGCTTTTTAATTATTTGCATTAACTGATTCATGGTCTGCTGTTAAAAAGATAATATCTATAAAAAATGGTGATCTATCAACTATAATTTTCTATTCTACTGACAATTGATATTTCTTTTAAACATTGTAATATTATTTAGACGTAATGCGCTGTATATTTAGGAATAGGAAATCACTTCATACTTATGCTAAGTCCCTGAATAAATTAACGAACAACGTTCGCTGATTCTCAAAGAAATTTGTCACAATATGGTCATATTAATGTTTTTCCTATTGTCTTCCTTTCACTAATTGCGTTAACTAAACACAAATTAGTCATAATATGGCCATATTGATATGTTTTCTATTGTCTCTCCTTTCAACTTTATCGTTTGACAGGCCAAGGGAGACAAACAAGTTCCATGTTGATGTCAATATAGCAGCACAAAGCACAGTGGCATTTAACCTTACGTACCAGAACCTCCTACGCCGTAACCACGGGACGTATGAACACGTGCTCTACATTGACCCTGGTCAGGTGGTCAATGACCTCAGAGTAGATATAGCTATACAAGAATCACGTGCCATTACCTCTATTAATGTTCCGCCACTACGAAATGATATTATTGAAGACTTTTCTGATACAGGTAAAGTGTATACATGACTTGTTAAGCTATTATTACGAGTATTACTAGAGATTTGTCTCACTAATTACCATGTTGGTACAGAAAGTCAAAACAAAATATATTTCTCGAATAGTCCGCATGGGGGAACATCATTATGAACAGACAGAAAATGTTTATCGACAAACGCAAAACTACAAGTTATTACGAACACAATCATAATTCAAACTTAGAATTGAAACCAAGTTTATAAAGCCGTGCCTTTTTTCCGTTTGTTCTCTTAAATTATTGTGTTATATCCAGAACATACTAGCTTAATGTTCACCTATTTGTTATGTTGTATGCCAAAACACATATACACAGTCTCCATATATACCGATTGTGGATTAATTGTTTTGATGATAAGATGATATCAACAATACATAATGGAGATGACTTGTGTTTTAATAATCCAGAACTATAGTACACAGACTTATAGTTTTATCATACACAGACATTTGATCTATATTGCATTTTGTATACTGTACACCATATTAATTATAGGTACTCTTTAAATAACAAATACGGTAAAGAATAATATAATTGTTCATAAAAGTATCAGTATTATATTTAATTAAATTTGTCTTGTTTCAAAATCTTGCTATATTGATAATTCAATAACTATGAATTCCTCTATAAGCAATTTTAATTAATCGATAACATACCCAACTGATCCAATTAATAATTGAACACAATGCATAAAAAACCAACATGCTTTATCAATGATGTCCTTTATTTTTTAATTGCAGGAAGAAATGAGTTAGTGTCGATCGACCGACCGACGCGAGAAACTGCTCGGGTACATTACTACCCAACTGTGTTAGATCAGCAACGCGCGTCTGATAAAGGCTTATCTGGCCTATTTATTGTGGAATATGACATAGAGAGAAACTTTGATGCAGGAGACGTTTTGGTAAATATCTATCTTCGTGACGATCGTAAAGAATACTTTTTTCTTTCCTAACAAAAGAAAAGTGTTGACAACAATGTATCATATATAAATTAATTACAAATAAATATCTGTTGGATAATTGCAATTAGAGGAAAAACAGCCAAAGAATCGAACAGTCTAGACACCAGTTGTGTCTCATGATGTTAATGTCACTTTTAAGGTCATACAGCAATCCAGAATCATAGATATGAAATATTACAAAATGTAAACATTTTTATTTTTCACTTATATTTCGAGGATAAAATGAAATTGAAAAAAGGAGAGGAAAAGGATCATTAAAGGTATTTTTATTTGCTTCCGTTAAAAAGTTATTTTCTGCGAGGATTTGGTTAAACCGCGAAAATTTTCCACCATTGGAATGAAACCATTTTACAGTAATGAATACGGTACCTCCAATTTTATGTAAATGTATCTTGCTTTAAGATTATTTCCTATTATCATTATATTATCCTTTTAGGTCGTGAATGGCTTTTTCGTCCACTTTTTTGCACCCACTGGCATGGATCCCATACCAAAGGATATCCTTTTTGTTTTGGATACGAGTTCGTCCATGTTTGGAACCAAGATCGCTCAGCTTCGTGATGCTATGCATATAATTCTCAACGATCTCCATGAGAAAGACAGATTCAACATAATAAAATTTAGTACCAGAACTACTTTCTGGAGACCAGGGAAAGTTATATCGGCAACCCGCCAGAATATTGCAGAGGCGGTGGGATATGTGGCTAAAATGACGTCAGCAGGATGTATGTTTATGCGATAACGTAACGTTTAATCTATTTTCCCGATCTTATGAAAATACAAAGAACCAATCTCAAAGATACGTATTCAATACAATTATGTAATTTGACGTTATGTGATAACAATCATTACTATGCAGGTCACTTCAGTACAAAATACCTATCATGTATTTGCTACATCCAGTGTATCATCATCATCATTGATATTATTATTTCAGTAAATAATTATTTTCCAGGGACTAACATAAACGAGGCTATGACATTTGGGATCGATTTCCTGAACAGTATTGGTGATGATGGTAGTCGAGTAAAGCTGATGGTATTCCTCACCGACGGATCACCAACCAAGGGGATTGAGGACACGGACGTGATTCTGGAGAACGTTAAGGCACGAAATATCGGCCATATTGCTATTTTCACTCTGGCTTTCGGCGAAGACGCGGACTACGAGTTTGTGAAAAAAGTTGCACTTCAGAACAATGGTGTTGCGAGGAAAATTTATGAAGAATCAGATGCCGTATTGCAGATTAGTGGTTTTTATGAAGAAATATCTCGTGCTGCTTTGAAAAATGTCACTTTTAAATACCTTGGTGGTTCTACAAACCTGCAAAACATAACAAAGAGTTCTTTTAGTTCCTTTTTTTCTGATTCTGAACTAGTTGTGTCTGGTCGTATAAAAAACACTGATATGAAAATGTTGGGCCTTTCAGTAGAGGGAAGTGGCGTACAAGGGGACATATCTTTGGCCTTAACTGCTAGTATACTGGAACACTCAACACCTTCATTGTTTCCAAGTCTGATGAGTCCGGAGGATTTCGAGAAGATCACAGAAAGAATATGGGCATACGTTACCATCAAACAGTTATTGGACGAGGCAGTAGGGGAGCTTAACTCCACTGCTATACACAGGGAAAATGTTCGGCAGAAAATCATTGCTTTGTCAATGAAGGTAACCACTTTATGAATACATGACAATGTATTTCTGGGCTTTTCTCAATAATTTTACACATCCTTTGTGTTTTATTCGTTTGTAAATCTATAAAAATTAAGCAAAACAACTTGTTTTTGTCATAATGAGAACACACGAACTGTTTTAATTATTGTATATATGAATATAAATATTGTAATTTTTTTTTCATATAAAATATTTATATTTACAGTACCAGTTTGTAACCCCTCTGACGTCACTGGTAGTCATCAAGCCGGAAGAACGAGAAGTAGGCAATTTACAAGAAGGAGAAGATGCTGAACGTAAGAATTTAAATTAGGATATTTAATATGATAAAGGTTTGGCTAATCCAAACCTGTGTATTACGTTTAAAAGTGGTACTTCACTATATTTATTTTTCAAATCTGTATTAAACTGAAACGTCATAAAATTGATATTTTTCAGTGTTAGCTGAACAAATTTTAAAGCAATATTCAGACATCGAAAATAACCCACCACAACCTATCATTGATCTCTTTACATAAATCTGTTTTCCATTTGTCTCCCAATTTAAGCTATGTTGTAAAGTGCATTTGTTTCAGTCGCCTTTTAATAAATTTCACGAAAGTGGAATTCGGCTGTTCAGTATGATAACATAACATACTGTTGAGCTAAAGGCAAATGCGAAAGTTTAAGCGAATTGTGTTGATATTTAAACCAGGAAAGTTGTGGAACTCATTTAATTTACTTTTCGTATGTAGCCATAATTATAAAGAAACATATTTTGAGTTTTGTTATTTTAGAAAGCTTTCTTTATATTTGTGATTTACAGGATAAAGTAATTGAATTTCTTCTTAGTATGAACGAGCAGTAGGTTGTGTTGTATGTAACATCAAACTTGAACTAAGAAGCGATCAGAGTTGTATGGTTTACATCTTATAACAGTTCGAGTAAATCATAGACACTGTATTGATAAAATGTTGAAAAACGTAAGAGATCTATCTTAAAATAACTGAATAAATAATATGTGAATTCCTCATTGGCAGTTGTACTGAGACAAGGTAAATATTCTGACCAGGCTGACGGGGTTTGTGGTGTTTTTATTTGGTGTCCTTTTTTCTGTTTTCACTCATTGTTGAATACAACCTATTGTATTGTCACAAATTTCATTGTCCATTTGTACTAACAATGTTTGATGAATTTAGAAGGTATTTGGAGCGGTTTGGCGTTACAAAGAGGACTGCCATCCATCTTTTTACGAGACATTTCTGCTAGATATTAGTATGATATCAATTTACTACGCTATTAACAAAGGCATGATTGATTGTCATTGGATATTTACTGATAATGACACAGAAATTTATGTCAGTTTATCTACTAATTAGTTAAGGACTTTTAAATGTTTTGTTGAGTATCTTAAAATGTCCAAATGCTTTTCTTGTTTTAGTAAGTTCGCTGAAATGCGCTATCATGAATAAATTGATCGTATAAAAAGCATTGTAGGTTCGTTTACTAACACGCATGATACGTTAATCTTGATTTCTGTCTAATATGATGCATGCGCCGCGAGGCTTTGGTATGCTATATTTAGCCGGCCAGATAGCTAATTCCAAATCCCAAGTTTATTAAAATGCACTTAATATGTTTTTTACTACCGATATATTTGCCTCTTTGAAAATAATATTGTGAAATTTCCTTCAAAATTGCATTCAATTTAAATACATAGTACTTCATCAACATGACGTTTACTGAAACTGGACCAAGTTTATCAAATGTCCATCATTGTAGACGCACTAAACTTTCTTGATAAAAGATAAAAAAAAAAAAAAATAAATAAATAAAAAATAGCAAAAATACACAGTACATTATTGTCCATGTTTGAGGCTTATTCACATTAATTTTCAAGTGCTGCAACTAGATTAAATAAAACGTTACATAATCAAATCAGGAGACAAACAGTTTCCGTCAGTTTCCGATTACATTTCTCACTTTAAATACCTATATCTGTGTCAGTTGCACGAGATATGCCATCTGTTACACCCGGTCCATTTCCCGAATATATCTGGAGAAGGAGGAAGCCGGGATCGCGACTTATTGCTACGCAAGGGAAGAGTATAGCAGGGGGAGGTAAGTATATAAGGAAAGAGGAAAAAACTGTTACTAAAATTACATTCGAGAAAAAAATATAAAGACAAGGAATTGTATTCTCGATATTCTAGGGCTTGTTCCCAATTGGGAATGGTATTGCAAGGGAGGTAAGTATATAAGATAAGAGGGAACCCGTTACCAGGGCTTGTTCCCAGTATCAAAGTTTTTTGAGCAAGATGTCGTCAACTGACAGATAAACTCACAACACTGGAACTTGAAGGAAACAGAAGAAACTTACCCTTCCGGAACGTCTGGTGTTATTTATCATCGCTGTACTTTCTTTAGTTAATATTTTACCCTAGTTTCATATAATGTGTGTTTGAATTATGATTCCATAACTATGTCTTTATTTTTGTTCTTGTTTAGAAAGTGTCCTGTCATGTATCATATACATTGTCTATGTTATCGATTAATATGATCTAATTAGTTAAAGAGTTTATATCTAATTCATTTATGTATAAATTTTCCCAAAATTCTTTAAAGTATACTGTTAACATTAATGGAAAAAATTGAACATTGGTTCTGATATAAATAAATCGCCTGCTTACAATACGTGATACGCATTAGTATCAATTGTGAGCACTTTGGTTTTGAAAATCCATTCAATTTAAGTCATCAATGAAAACAGACGGCGTTGTTTTCCCATGTCTCTCTGAATATAACTTCAATAATGCTTCATGATAATTTCCCTTCAAACAGGAGGAGGTGATCCCCATTTTATGATACGTGTACAGGGATTAGCTCACCCAGTGTGTTTTGATATCATAGCCGAGCCGGGTAATATATTACGTCTTCTAAAGGATCCACAAAGAGGTACGATTGCTTTCATTTTTCTTCCAAACATTGTGTCAAATCATGTTACATGAGACTGAATATTTTTTTTATAAAAATGACTGTAAGTGAATCTTCATTCTGATATGTATGAAAACTATTTGGGGCAAATTTTAGTTGATAATCCCTTCCTTAACACTGACAGACTATCTTTCTTTCATTGAAAATAACTCCATCCGTGGTAATGCGTTTATCGTATAATGAAATCAAACAACAGACGTGTGTCTGCCATTAGTGCCAACAGGAGATCACTAGTATTTAGTTCGTTGATGTGGACCTATTTATAATGTATAACTGTCAGAAATGGTTTTGCTTAGAACCAAAATCGGGTTAAGTTCTGTTTGATGTTTTTCGATGTTTGCTATAACCAGTTACTAACAGGATATCAAACATTTAATCTGGGATATTACTGTATGGCCTATTCTGTGATATTCCTGTTGGAAATTTACATTTTTCTTAAAACAAATTCTGCATAAATTCTTTTCATTATTATGAATAAATGTTAGTACCCGACCGAAAACTGAGTTACATAAAATTGTGAATGAGGTTTTTCCAACATACGACATGTCGCTTTATTACCGTTCTTACTACTGGACCTCCAGCTCGTTTAACCTGACCTCACCCTTTCCTTTTTTAAAAACTTTCTTGTTGGACCAGAGAACTTCAATATCATTACAAACAGCTGATATTCAAGATGGGATACCAGTTGATATCGCGTGTAGAAAATGTGATGATATGATGCAGGGAATCTTCCCATTATTTTCAGAACAGGTGTCACAACACACGCAGTTTCAATTCAACACTATACACTTTCATTTAAGGAGATAATTGAAACAAGATGTACATAAAACACACGACATTAATGGTGGTAGGGAATTGAATTTCTGTAAAACGAAATCGGCGAGTGTGGTCTTTTTGTTTGTAAAAGAAAGGAAAGATACCTACTGCATACTATCACCTTATTAAATGACAAATATTCTGTGTGAGATCGGAATGCGATACACTGGCAAATGAGATAAATATCCTGACTGACGTATATATGAATTTCACTGTCATCCTGGTATACATCATCCAGTTTCCTCCCTTTGTACAAAATGCAGAGTCATGATTCAATGTTTCCCTGCCTACACATAACGTTATCTTAATTTGCTTGCTGTGATTTTCGTTAAGCCTTTGCTACGTCAAGTGAAATAGACATCATAATCGGCATTTCTATGTTTTCATTCAAAATAAATCGGTATAAGCCAACCGTAATCTCTGCATTATCTTTCATTATTTTTTAAAACAAAGAAGAGTCAGGTGAATACAGGTTTGACATGTAAAAGAACTGTTTTGTCAATACTTACTAGACAAATTGGTCGTGTGATTACAATGATCTGAAAATCGCCTCGATGTCGTATCAGATGAAATAATTTTCGTTCGTATAATAATTTTATGGGTCTTTGTCACTCCTTATATTCTGACATGTTTCTCTACCATTTATATATAAAGGAAAGTCGTTGTATTGTGTATTATTTGCTATTCATTAAATTAATTTGTCTGTTATTTTCATTTAGGTTTCGTAGTCAATGCCTTAATTATACCCGGTATGAGAAAGAGAAAAGATGGAAGGATGCGAACCTATTTTGGCAGAGTGGCACTCCTGGTCCACAATATAACGATTATGATTGACCCTGCCAATATACATGTAGGTAAAACGTCTCTGTCCTGGGATGACGAACGACCGTCCTACGTCCGTAACCTACGATTCTACATTTTCACAGACGATACAGATACGCGTGTGTTACATGTTGATGTTGGGGACAGTGTTAAAATAAGCATTAAACGGCATTTAGCCGTTGATTCAACGCAAGTGAACTATTTGAATGTATATTTTAATAAGGAGGAAGGAATATCGCGTCATGCTGAAGGAGTGCTTGGTAAGATTTTTCATTTTATGCCCATATTTGTTTAATCTTTTGTAATAAGGTTTGGTTTCTTAGTGGCAGTGGTGCTATCCTTTCTAAAGGTTCTAGCGATTCGTCGAAAATATAGATTGTCATACTAAACAAATGAAAAATATAAAATTTGGCAGCATCAAGTTTTTGTTGAATTAAAAAAGTTGTAAAACTAATTCTTGGTCGGGTCAACTAATCTCCCTTCATACAAGTAGGCTTAAGTCAATTGATATTTCGTGTGACCTTTGTGAGACTAGACATCTCGTTCAAAATATTATATTGCTTTGTTATATATCAACATAGTATAATAACAATCTACATTGCTTTCGAAATGTCTACCAATTTTCGGCAATGTTTTTTTGTTTTATTTAACCGTTTCAATGTTTTTTGTTTTATTTAACCGTTTCAATGGTTTACGATATATGTGTTCATTTTCAAATACACAAGTTTTCAGAGTTCATTCGTTCATGTGAAAGATGCACTTACGTTTAAGTACAATATATAAAGCCAAAAGTGTAACTATACCTATTTCTGTTACAGGACAATTACACCACAAGAAAATAAAGATAAAAGACATATGGCTGAATAAAAAAGGAGAAAAAATTGGAAAATTAATAGTACAAGACAGTAGAACACGCTACAGAGTTAGAACTAGGCTGAAGAGTCGACATGACGTCATCGATAGATTCGAAGAAATGTGTTGGACAGCGCATACCAAAATTCAAGGGCTTTTAACAGGCAACTATTTCTGCAAGGGATTGTACGATCGTTAGTTTACACTGTGATATCATATATATGTATTCGAATGGTGCTAAGGTGGTATTTGACGAGTTTCATATGCTGTTAAAAAGACTGGGAGAGTTCTTACATTGTTTCACCGTACAGCATCATCGTAACAATTATGATCATTAATCGTTTATACTCATTTTCATTATTCTCGGACTGATAAACATTGAGTAGACTTTAATGTTTTTCAGCGACGTCTCACAGAACGAACAATATTAAACTGGAGCGGCATTCTTATACATTATCGTCGAACATGTGTTTGGTGATTTCGATTATGTTAAAAGAAACCGTTATCACTTCAACAGTTTATGAGGCGAGTCGAGGCCAGGGCTTTATCTTAATACACTCACATACGTCTTAAAACAAAGCAAGATACGTTTATGTTGTGAAATCCTATATGTCTGTGTAAGTTTCATGTTGAATTATTTTACAGTTGTACATTATTTCAATAATGCAGAACATATTTGTACAATGTGTATACTTGTCATTCTACAAATCGTTAAGGTGTAAATTGTTATTTTGCTATGTGTAATATTGAAGTGCATGTAAAAAGTCCTATTTTGAACTATGCAGATCTTTGCTACTTCAGTATCAAAATTAATGGCATTTATAAATTAATACTTAATGTCAATGATAGTGACGTATATAGATATATCAAAGACAGTATAATATATATTTATATGACAAGATAGCATTTTCCTATCATACCGACATGTTCGGATATAAGGCGTAAGGTTGTAATCATTGAAAATATCGTTGAAATTATTATCATTATTGTTTGTTTCATCGTTAAAACTGTTATGTCGTTGTAAATATTTGTAATAAATGCAATTTCAATCAAATGGATTCTAATGATATGAAATGACACAGAATATGTCGTCATCTGACAAACAACAAATGATGCAAACAGAGTTAAGTGCACGATGTATTTTATAAAATAAAAACAATTTCAAAAATACCAATTACATTTGTTTACATTGTAATCATCAAACAATTCACAGTTAGTAAAGTAAGTAAAACGCGAAATTTTGGATATGTAAAGCACATGCATTTGCAAACATCCATTGAACGTGCATTATCAGACAGATACAAAACAATATATAAATGTTATTTGCTGACAAAACAGCACATTTTTGTTTTCAAATGTGACCGACCTGATCACATATAACTAATGACCAAATAATATTAGTATTCATCAATCAGGTGTTTAATGACCGATTCCAAACGAAAACGGTAAACAACATAATAACAGGTACACATCCAGTTATCAATCATATTACCCAAATTATGCGAACGAGCTAGGCTTTATAGAACATACGCACAAGAAAATCTTAATTGTGAAAATACATGTTATGGTATTCACGATAACTCAATGCTTTATAAAACGTTACAGAATAAATTTAGAAAGAATAATAATGAAGATGAATTTGTTTACGAATGTGTAGTAAACAAGGCGAGTTAACAACCGACCTATAAATTATTACATAATATATAGTACATAGTTAAACATGACCACTCAATGAGATTTAAGTGTCTAATAAGGTTAATCATTAATTTGCTCGCGACAACTTATCTATGTAATTAGTGTCATACGACTTCAAATTTTTCGCGTGACTTTATTTCGAATTTTCAGATGCGGCAGTGAAAATGGATATCGTGACTGGGAATGAGAATAATGAAAACACAAAATGAATCTATACACAATGATAAAATGTATTTAACGTTTGACGTTTTGTTAAAAGAGCGATATAAAGACATAACATATAACTCGACTCCGGTGTTTTGCAGCAGTACCAACCAGAGCGGAAAATAGACAACAATAAGATAATAATGTTTGTACATTTGTAGATACTGCACAGTAAACAATACAGAAATTCCTTTTGAATCGTCGTTAAAACATTCATTAACAAATTCAATTCACAGATCCTTCATTGCTGTATTGAAAGTGTAACACTGAATATCACTATTATCGGCGAAATGCATTCTTTAATTTATAAGAAAAGTCAATCTTTGTGAGCAAAATCACAGGGTTCAATTTGAGTAAGACACATTTCAACTTGCCAAAATTTGACCAGAAAAAAAACCTGCCATAAGCGGTGTCGTAGCATATGGGCTTAAATTGTGACGTTCATCGCATCAAGGAGCATAACCCTGCATAAAGTGCAAACTCAACTTGTCGCAGAAATGTTCGTTTGCGATCAACAGTGGTAGACCGATGAGTGTTTGTCTAGGACAAGACTGTTCACAAACGGGCAGACTGACCAACAGTATACAAATCTGAAGTACCCTTCTGTAGCGCCAATTGGACTTAAAATCAGTTACAGCTCTTCAAAGGCGAAAAACTTTAGTCACGAAAATGTGTATTTGTGGAAATGAATTGCTTGGCAGAAACATACTGCGGTCCCCTACATGATACCAGTGCTATTGAAAAACCCGATCATCTGTATTTGGCACTACGTGAAGAAACCTTTTAATTTGAAAGTTTTCAATTTTCCGTTAAAGAGCCCATCTATATCATGCATTGCATTCCAACACATGAATTCTGCATCGGATATCAAATCGTGTTTCATATGAAGTCGAGCATGAAAGTGGGATATTGCCCCACTGTCCTTCATGCGAAATAATCCAACTGTCCTTCCGTTCCTTTCCACAATCTTCTTAAGCCAGATTTTCTTTTTCACCAAATGACCTGTCAAAAGAAACTTTAGTTTACTAGTGGAACTTTTTTTATTCAATTTGTCATAACTTGCAATTTAATAATTGTTTAAACCGTATCGAAGGACTTGGATCTATTAATACACTCAGGTGATTCCTCTATCTGCCATTCTCTTAATTGTGAAACGTTTTTATGATTATTCATGAATATTCATTAATAACCCTTCTGGTTCCTTGTATCTGAACATTGAAATGATGTTTATTATGTAAGTGAGTGGGTATATAAGACTGAGAGGGAAAAATACATTGAGATAAGAACTTACCTAATATCCCGGTAGAGCTAGCCGAAAGTCCTTCATCGCTTTCTATGTTGATGTTCAAATAATCTATTGGTTCCATCCTTGAAGACATATGCCTCCTGATAACTATAATGACGTCATATCCTGTTTTAATGGTCAGAATGTTGCCGTCATCACTTGCTTGAAGAAAGAAGTTCCCTCGAATAATAGGTGTTCCGTCTGTCCATTCAGAAAAACTAGAGTTCGTGATGATTTCTCGAGGTGTCACCACGATTATAGTTCCCTCCGCGCGGATGAATATCTCGCCCATATATGTCTTCAGCCGCATATCCTGTTTCAGTATCCCGGTTGGGACAATTGCGGCGTTGATAACCAATGCTAATAGGGTAAAGATTCAAAGTTTAAATTGCCGAATTTATCCAATTATATATTGCAGATCTTGAAGAGGTGTCGATGTTTCTGTAAACATTGCGACTTCTAAATAAGTAAATATTGTCCATTCGATATCATAACACAAATGGTTTGCTAACATTTGCAGATATAATGCTACATTGCCGTAAAGTTTATGTGCAATCGAACACTAAAACATTAACGATATACTTTCAAAATCGCAAAAACATCATATTTCGTAAAAGCAAATAATTTTTAAGGAAATAATATAAAATCATCAATTAATAGCCATCAATGTATGTATCTGGAAAATTTCTGCTTACCTGTTTGTAGTGTAAAAAATGGGTGTGGGGTGGGGAGCAATCCGAATAAAACAAGGTTGACGATAAAGAGATTTTCTTTGTTGATTTTAAAATTTTAAACATAATAAATATTTATGAATAAAGTTGTAGGTCGTACTTTAAATTTAATTCAATATAACGCTACTGAAAGGCAGCATAGCATCTTTAAAAGCAGCTTATAGGCGTTTTTTATCCATTATAACTTCCATACTGTAAAGTTGGTTATAAAATATCAGCTGTGCATAGAAACATAAACATGAAATGGTTGCCGCGTAAATGTTTGTTTTGCTCTGTCATTGTTGAAATACAAAATTGAGAAATGTGATTCGATTGGTAAATGTCTTTACGTTGTATTTTCATTTTCACTGTTACTCTCTTCATTGAATGTAAAGACGAAACTCCCTTGCGGATCGTAAAAATACGATTGTCTATGGTTTAGACGAGAAAATGTTAGTGTTACCTGTAAGTGGGTCTTCCAGTAACCTGATATAAGTCCTTGCCTCACTCTCAACGTCGAAGCACAAAGGTAAATCGACTTCCGGAAGTGGCACGACAAAGTGGGGATCCCCTCCACCTACAAAGTCACCAATCAAGTGTAGAGCAATCAACATCACAACAATGGATGTTGAAGACAGTCATTATGATATAAGTGGTAAGTGTGATTCACATATATTTCATATAATGAGTAATTGATTTGAAGAGGCTGTTATCAGGAATAAGTCCATATTTTCTAAAAAAAAAAAAAAAAAAAACCATCCTGAGTCACGGTATACTATGGTTTCGCATCTACCATTGTTTTGCGTTGATATAGTGTATCATTACCAAGTTACATTACTTACCGTTTTTATAACGACTTCCTGTAATGACACATGACTTACTGCTATAAGATATGACTTATCGCCTAAACATATGATTTTCCACCATAAAATATGACTTAACACTATCACACACGACATACTTCTGTAATGCCCGGCTCACCACAAAAATAGCTTACCACTAGCACATAATAAGGCATGACTTACCTCTACAATAAACGACTGACCACCAAAATAATATCTCACTCTCAAATACGACTTACCAGAAAAACAGCCTCACTATAGCACAAGACTTACCACTATAACACATAGCTTACATATGTACCTACATGATATACGACTTACGATAAAGAATTATCATTATTATACATGACTTAGTATTATGATATACTACTTACCACAAATTAGCCTTCCATTATAACACACGACTTACCTCTTTAATCAACGTCTTATCACAAAATTAGCCTACCACTATAATACAGGACTTACCTCCATAATATAACGACTTACCACAAGTAGCCTACCACTATAAACATGGCTTACCTCTATAATATTACGATTTACCACAAGTAGCGTACCACTATAAACATGACTTACCACAAGTAGACTACCAATATAAACATGACTTACCACAAGTAGACTACCAATATAAACATGGCTTACCACAAGTAGACTACCAATATAAACATGACTTACCACAAGTAGACTACCAATATAAACATGGCTTACCACAAGTAGCGTACCACTATAAACATGACTTACCACAAGTAGCCTACCACTATAAACATGACTTACCACAAGTAGACTACCAATATAAACATGACTTACCACAAGTAGACTACCAATATAAACATGGCTTACCACAAGTAGACTACCAATATAAACATGACTTACCACAAGTAGACTACCAATATAAACATGACTTACCTCTATAATATTACGATTTACCACAAGTAGTCTACCAATATAAACATGACTTACCTCTAAGATATTGCGACTTACCACAAGTAGACTACCAATATAAACATGACTTACCTCTATGATATTGAGACTTACCACAAGTAGACTACCAATATAAACATGACTTACCTCTATAATATTACGATTTACCACAAGTAGACTACCAATATAAACATGACTTGCCTCTATGATATTACGACTTACCACAAGTAGACTACCAATATAAACATGACTTACCTCTATGATATTACGACTTACCACAATTAGACTACCAATATAAACATGATTTACCTCTATGATATAACGATTTACCACAAGTAGACTACCAATATAAACATGACTTGCCTCTATGATATAACCACTTACCACAAGTAGACTACCAATATAAACATGACTTACCTCTATAATATTACGATTTACCACAAGTAGACTACCAATATAAACATGACTTACCACAAGTAGACTACCAATATAAACATGACTTACCACAAGTAGCCTATCAACATGACTTACTACTACAACGTAATTTCCTACGATAACACATGACTTGACACTATAACACACGATTTACCACATTAACATATAACTTACCACTATAACTCCGTCCGCCACCGCCGCCGCCGCCACCTCCACCTCCTCCTCCTCTCCCACCTCGTCCTCTGTGTCGTCTAGACGAAGGTGTTTGGATGGGTCGAGCTGATACAATAATTCAAATATAATTTATGATTATTCAAATTTGATTCAATAGATAACAATATGTTCGGTTTTAAACGAAAAGCGTACTTTTATAGTAATTATGATAAATTCCAACCTGACTGCGACCCGGATCCTTCACTGTTTCTCAGATCACTTAACTGGCTTTCCTTGTCTGGTTTCGTCACGACCATGGAGGTCAAAGGCGTAACGAACTGATACTGTAACAGAGTTATATAACACGTCAACATAATTAAGGATCGACAGCCTTTTGACATCGATAGTCACACTCTCGATCTAAACAAATCTGTTCCAGTCTCATTTCCAAATAATACTTGTATTAATTTCTACAAGTTCAAATTTCGTTAGTCAATAAGTTTTAGGCAAGGTAGCAAAACACGTATGATCAAATGATCGGTATTAATTTTATCCTGACCTCTATTAGAACTAGTCAATAAAGAAAAAACCGGAATAATGTTCATAGTACAAGCTCGCGCCTTTACCAAGCAAAGAACAATGCGATGAAGTGTATTGAGCTATTTTATCTCTCTTACCAAATGGAGCATAATTTATATCCTGCAAAACCTCACTAGCATGCATTTATTTACTGTCTCACCTTAAGAGATAAATCAAGGATTCGTTTCCGTAGCTTCTCTATCTCTGCCTTGTCATCTGTGGCCTCCTTCTTGCTGAGCATCTCCTTAATTGTGAGGTAGGCCCACATCTTCTCCGTAATGGACTTTGCCACAGCGGGATCCAGATCGGATATCCGCGCTATATCATTGCCTGTACCGGACTCGCTGCCGTCGATGATGACGTCATCCTCGATAGTGATGTCAGTGCTAGAGGACGGGGGTATATTTAATTCAATAGAGTTGGCTGTCGTCAGAAAATCCACGACACCGTTCGATCCAGTACCTGTTATGGATATATCTATGGATGTAGTATTTTTTACTTCAAGCTGTCCTGCAATAACTAATTCTGAACCAGAAAAATAGTTGTTGAACTTCGAGGTAGTAATATTTCCATCCTGTGCGGCATCCCCCAAGTACTTGAAGGAAATATTTTTCAATAACGAAACGGACACTTCGTCGTAGAAGCCACTGATTTGTAAAGAGGCGTCGGAATCTTCGTATATTCTCCTTGCTAAAGCAAAGTTAGTTAAACTTATCGATTTGCATAAGTTGAAATTAGCGTCTTTGCCGAATGCCAGACAAAATATTGGTATTGAAAGTTCATTTCGTTCTTTCAGATTACTGAGAATTTTGGTTGAACTGGTTTCACCGGAAGTAGCGTCACCGTCCGTTAGAAACACGATGAGTTGTGCTCTGGAAGAAGTGTTGCTCATAGCAGCATTCAAGACTTTCAGAGAATTAGCCAGCCCGTTGTCGATATTTGTACCTGAAATTTGATAGGTAGACACATATATAAATTTGTACAGATAGTCTGTATATATATTTTCAACAACACATATAGGAAGCATGACGTCTGCACCGTACCTTGGAGTTTATGAGGCAAACATAGAGAAATGATTTAACGTTTAACGTTTATTCTTTTCAAATCTTGGCAAACAATTTAAAACTGTTTACGTGAATTTTAACAGTAGCAAATGGATTTTGTGTCACAATCTGATAAACTGCAAAACAGAAATCCTTAAGATGATAAAAATAGCAGTCATTTTTTCCGCTTGTGTCTGTTTCATGGTTGATGGTTTCCAAAGTGTTACTTACCTCCGTCTGCTCGAGAATTTTGAATGAATTTATTCGCCTCTGTGATAGTATCTGTTGTGACATTCTGTAGAAAATATCGGAAAGTTTTTACTCTATTTGCGAAAAGTTGAATGTTGAACCTGTCCCTGTCCCCCAAATCGTCTAGGATACGATTCATAGCCTCCTTCACCTGACTTAACTTCCGGCCTTGCATGGATCCACTGACGTCCAGCAGGAAAACTATATCTTTTGGCATAGGTTCGATTCCAGTGGGTGCAAAAAAGTGAACAAAGTAACCATCCACAACCTGAAAATGAAGGCGGGAATAGCTAAACTACTTAAATATCGTATTTTATTGATTTATTCATTTATATATTTATTTAGTTTGAGATGGAATATTTGATCAGGATTTGTTCTTTAAGTGTTGAACAAACAAATATACACATACCTTAAACACTACACTAAAGTTCCTTGTACCAACTATTTACCTTTCTATAATACCTTTATGGTAATGGACTGCACATTTCACAGTACGTTTATATAAGGATATAATCCTGAAGGGCAACAGGACTTAGCACTGAGTCATCAGTCTTTAACAAGATTTGTTTAATATACACATGCTCCGAACTTTGTAAGCAGAAAATAAAGTCTCATAAATATGATTATTTGTATGAATATGTATGAACTAGTATGCAATTATACAATGCATATTTTAAGTGAAATTGTAGAATTTGACGAACGGACTACCGATACAGGTGTATGCACAGAATCTTCGTCCGCATATTTAGAAAAAAAGTTATAATTTCCGCCCAGAGGCATAGGTTATATACTTCTGGTACCTACCAGTACGTCCCCATAGTCTGAATCTCGCTCAATCTCGTACTGCACGATAAACTTGCCGGATATTCCCTGTTCTGATCTGCGCCTTTGTTCAGCAGCATCCGGAACAAATAGCGCAAAGGCGGTGTTACGGTCCGGTCGGCCAATGGTAACATTCTCTTCTCCAGCTAATAGCGAGATTCATGAAAAAAAAACACATCGAAAGGACATATCATGACAAGGCATCCTTCACTTTTCGGAGGATAATTTCATAAAATTCAATACAGCGTTGAAAGTCAGATGTTATTGTTGGTGAGAGAAATTCTCAGAGGATCTTCGATAAAGATGAAAGTCGACTTAGATTTACCTTACGACATTTAACTGCGAAATTGTAACACCCCACCAACCAACCCCCATATCCCCCGCCCCCTAATTAAAGTTTAAAGGCAACGAAGGATGAAACAAAAATGTTTCTTTTAAAAGATATTTTCGGTTGACAAAAATGAAAAAAATAGTTGTTTTTTGTTTTTTCAATTATTCATTGTCTTGTAATTTCGACTTACCGGTAGTGTCCAGTAAGTTTGGGATATCATTACTGACAGGTGGTACTCGGAACTTTATAATAGGCCTACTCTCCGTCACTATAACAAACACACGCATGTCGTCAACAACCTGCCCAGGGTCGATAAAGATGACATTCTCGTAGTAACCGAACGTGCGCTTCAGCAGTTCTTGGTACGTCAGGTTGAAGGTCACCTTGCTTGCAGCAGCAACGTTGACAGATACTTGAAACTGGTTTGTCTCCCTTGGTCTAAAAAGGTGATGAATAAGGATTGATTATCTAGGTTCTCTACCCTAACACAAAAGTCGATGTGGACGTACTAAATTATCTGTGATGAAATCACTGAGATTTTTCAGTTCATAAAATTGCAATGCAAGAACGAAAACATGGTTTTCGATATCGCGTTTTATGTTATTTTAAATGCTTTTACGTAGTAACAATGGTGACGTGGATATCGAAATATGGAAATCACTCCTTAACGTTGTCCTTTAAGCTCTAAAAAGTGGACCAAAAAATCCTTATTCTTCTGTATCTTTTTTGTTTTGGTTTTGGATTTTCGTTTTGTGTTTTTGTTTTTTCCCGTCCCCTAAAGAAACAATGCCCAGTAATACAACACTGAAAAAGGAAAATATGGCAGAAAGACATCCATACAACAGCGATGTGATAAAATGGTTGTAGCGAAATAGCCACTGTTTTTGTAGAAAGCCTTTAGCAAGAGCCACAGACGAAGGCTCCATATTGCAGTCCTATTTCAGATGCAGTAAAAAGCAACACGGTACAAGAGTCATTCCATAGAAAAGTGACCCCTTACCTTCTACTAATATGTCCAGCGCTCTGTCCACTCTGTTTCGCCTTCTGGTACTGTTTGAGAGCTGTCTCTTTCTCCTTTACATCCCCAGGGTATGTCTTACCGTCAATCTCCCTTTTATAAAACAAAATAACAATAAGTTATCTATCTGATCCTAAGAGAATTACTGAGAAATTCTTCGGAATGCATCCCTATTTACCAATTTGTCACATGGACTTTATACTGCACCCGTTACTTGCTGTGTTTTCTTCAATATACATATGTGATGAATCATATCCCATCCTTTAGTATTCAAAGACTAAAACAAGTCCATGGCGGACGGGGATACGATGTGGAGATAACAAATGACAATATCAGTAAATCAGTACAGTAAACTAGATTCTACATAGATGTTGGTAGATGAAGGGGTGACATTGACAACATACAATATTATCTTTACTCTTACATAAGAAATGAAGTAATGAATGCCTCCTTGGGAAGTGTGACGTCAAACGTTGCCTCTCGTGCCTCATCGCCCGGATTAACCACTTTGCTTGTCACCAGTGTGCTTGCAAATCTCATTTTCACCTCCGAACGAACGTGCAATTGATAAATCCTTGGTGCCTGGAAAGGTAGACTCTTGAAAATGAATATCATAAATATTACAGTACCTCAAATGGCACTCATATGATAGCCAGTTCTTCTCCATGGGAGATAATCTTTTATTGACTCAGAAATTGTCACTGGTATCCTTGGGTATGAGTTGTCTCCCCTAGTTTCGCCACTTAACGCGCCGATTGGTTCTCCGAGTAACAAGTGGGGCGGTAGAAATCAGTAGACAAAGATAGGATTGGAGACTTGAACACAGCACTTAGAATGGTTGATTGGCTGTTGCAGTTACAGCGTCAGTAAATGTGCTATATCATGGTATTACACGGCTCCGAATTTTTGTATCTGGTCACTGTTCAAATGTCTTTTGAGATCGCTTACTGATGTGGCAATTCAAATTAATCTAGGATATACACATTTATTCTATGCTGTTTTTTGAGAGCAACAGGCTTGGGATGAGTTTAACTGAATAGATCGACAAGTTCCGTATGAATTAAGTTTACCGAAAAAAGGAAAGATATACTTTTTTATATTTGAAATAAAAATTATTTATAGAGACAAAAAGTGACTAGAAAAGAAAACGGGGAAAAAAGGGAACAATATTAGGTAAGAAAGAAAAAATGACAAGAACTAATAAATAGGTAAATACAAAGGAAATTAAAAAGAAGAAAAGAAAGTATGAGTGAGACAGACAGACAGACAGACAGACAGACAGACAGACAGACAGACAGACAGACAGACAGACAGACAGACAGACAGACAGACAGACAGACAGACAGACAGACAGACAGACAGACAGACAGACAGACAGATAGACAGACAGACAGACAGACAGACAGACAGACAGACAGACAGACAGACAGACAGACAGACATTAAGGCAGGCACGCACTGTGAGAACTGTTGTAAACGAGAAGAGATAAAATAAATTGCAATATCAAAATGATACACGGCAGTCTCGAGTATATCTGTTGATCTTATAACCTATCAGAATCCAATCCAGTGCAGCTTATAAATAACTGAAGTAGATGGTTTTGACTTTCACAAAAATCACCTATACATTACAAGCGAATGATAAAATGCTTCGCCATCATTTCCATCTTACCTGGTCTACGGTAAGTAAGTTAATTAAACGTTTTAAATACGATAAGACATCTATATTTAAAGTGTGCATACTATTCTATCCTAACGTTAGAAATGAACCAACACATGTATTCGCGATTTCAACAAGCTTCTCAGAATATTTTATCATATAAAATCGTAAATGATAAGGACATTGTAAATAATTTGCATGTAATGGGAGTCATTTCTGTTTTTTTTATCTTTTAATCACTAAACTTTTTAAACCCGAAGTCATAAAAAATCGGTTGACGTGTTTTTCAGAGTTTTTTTTTTAAAAAGTCTATTGATGTGATCATATATTTTCGTTCTGCCTCAAAGATTGAAATACTGTCCTTATTTCTCATGTCGGTGTTTCGGTTCATGTTCCTCAGTTGATCTCCAGAAATGCGAGGGCAGATGTATCAAGTGTACATTTGTCAGATCAGATACACGATAAGGAATTTGAACAACCGTCAGTTGTTAATTTTAACATGCATGTGCGTTTGATTTCAATTAAGTTCGGCTTTAAACTATACATCGGAATGTTAAATCGCAGACTGAGTAATCATGGCAATTAGATTCAAACGTAGAGAGTACAGATAAATGTTCCTTAATGCTGATTGAACGATTAAAACAAACATTATTCAACTTCATTTTTATCTTTTCAATTTTAAAATACTCTGTTTCAATTTTAAATTAAAATAAAACATCGACTATAAACATGCATAGTGGCGACGGATAAGATGTTTCATTTTCAGTTTTAAAAATTAAAGATTACGTTTACAACTCTCATTCAATATCGATAACAAATGAACTACGTATGAAAGGCAGGAAAGGCAGGAAAGAAATGCTGAAATAAAGGCGAATAGGTTGAAATTGAACTCGAAGAGGTTGAAATATGAATCAAGTGAAAAAATCTAATTCGAAAACTTTGTCTTATTAAACCGACTGAAGACGGAGAGGCTTTTTCATTTCGGCCAATCGGTGAATATAGCTCGAGATCTAACTCCGAAGTTGGTTCTCAGATAGTTTAATCAAATCTAGCAGTTAAAATACTTATAACGGTTTCTGTACTTTCAGCATTCAGATAAATCAGTGATGCAAAATGTATACAGTATCACTTTCAGGTATGCTAGACAATTGGAAACATCGGGGCTAGGTGGTGTATTATACATTAATCGTCTCATGCACGTGTGAGTGAGTTCGGCACGAGATTAGTTTGGGGTCAGACGTTTTTATCTTTCTAAACAAGATAGCCCTTTTTACTTCAAAGTGGACCGTTCAGACCCACGACTAGACCAGGCAAAATTGACCGATAAAGCAAATTCAAGCGTACCATACCATACCATAACCCAACAAAGACGTCTTATTTCAGAAATGTTGATCTCCGAGATAACAGAGAGGGGAAATGTAACTTAAACCTACTGTTTTTCTCTGTTCACATTTAAAAATAAAAGATTAATAAAAGTTTTATTGTAGAAATGAAGTGTTTCTCGTTAAACAGTTCCTTACTTGAGTAAAAAAACGCCCGCTTTATCGTGAAATTATCAGGCTTGTATACAAGTTAGTTATAAATACAGATTTTATCTCTACACACCGGAGGGGGTGGGAAGGGGATTGGGAGGGGGGCTTGATCAAGGGGAGGCGCGAGCTGGAAGTCCGGTGTGGTTGATGTGTTGCACATCGTGAAATCAGGATTCGGTGTAAACAACATGTAACAACAAAAAGTCCCAATCTAAACATACAGCTTTCTTAAATTAACCGAGATTCAGCCTTTATATCTTAATGTACTGCTGAGATCATCTATAGTGGAGTTACGAGGGGTCTGTTTCCAGAGTCACTAGGTGAAAATTCGAGGTATGCGGTTTGACGCTTCCAATCAGAGCCAATGCGAGTTTTTTTCATGAAGCTGAGAAATGGACAGGTCTGTAATGACGTGATGTGATTGGTGTTACTGTAATAGTTTTGGATAACAAATGACGGCCCTCCTGTATGTTGTTCAGTGAGGTATGCACCAGCTTCTAGATTAAGAGTCCCGCTTAACGTTGATCTTTCTTTGTCTGGTCGATATCTTATAATGCCCAGTTGTAAATTTACAGTCTTAAATATGAGATAATAAATCGGGAGCGGGCGATCTTACTGGCTGAGGAACCCCTGTTTTTTCTACTAACGCTATCCTGTCAAACATTACAGCTAGATTATTAAGAATTAGTTATTTTGACCCAACTTTTGAGAACTCGGCATGGATTGGCTCGTTAAATCTAAGACATTTCTAAAGTGCTATGGTTGCTTAATAAAAAAAGTGTACTGGCAATTTTAAATCGGAGTTGCAATGTATGATAGCATAACGCAAAACCAACGAGTAAGCCAGTATATGGCCACTTTAATACGATCATGAAGTTAGATCACGCACATGTCATATGAAGGTGTTTTTAAAAATATGCCTGAATGGTTTAGTGGCAATTGCATGTATTCCGATATCGAATCGTCTCGCTAGCCGGAGGGAATCGTTGATGCAAGGGAATTCTATTAACCTGAACAAAATTTATTATTGTTATAACACAACCTCTTTTGTAGAATGTCTATCTTCACCTTATATCTTTCATACTAATGATTTCTTTTAAACTGATAGTAATGTATGACAAATTAAGTGTAAGACACTTACATACTGCTTCATTTGACCAGGTCGACCGGTCAGGACAGGATCACGGCCATATTTGATTAATTGGTTTGATCCTAGATATGTTATTGGTACTTGCTCGTTAGAGATGGAATTCCACCTCATTTTAAACGTCTAAAAAAGCTAAACTGGAATAGATATAACATTGTACAGGCTGCATTAAGCTATGACATTATTTAACCTGTCGTGTCCTGCTCACTGTTAACGATAACGTTCAAAACACTAGAAAACATCGTCCCATTCGTGTTTTTCTTCTTCCCCTTTTTCGGCAGACATTTTCACCGGCTCCTCAATCGCCATGTTATGTAACGGTGACCGCCTTATATTCCGAAGGCCCAATAGTCCGAAGGCCCTAAAGTCCGAAGGCCCGATAGCCCGAAGATCCAATAGTCCGAATTTTCTCAGGTTTTTTTTCGCGCCATCTTCGCCGCTCATGTAAGTCGGATTCCTCGTACTTTTTACCTTGCATGCTTTCTTCTACATTTTTGTCGCGCCGTTTCTGTTAACATTCCATTCGCTTACAAATATAAGTCGCCTTTCACTTAACTGTTATAGTACAAGATGAAAGAATAGGGCCATTTTTTTCTCACGATTTTTTGTGCCAAAACCTGTAATAAATGTTAGGAAGATTTCTGTTATTATTACCTAACTATTTTCTCTCTAAATTTCGTCATTATTTCATTTACAGTTAAATAAGAAACAAAAATACGTAACCATTTTCGGACTATCGGGCCTCCGGACTATTGGACCTTCGGACTATTGGGCTTTCGGATTTTTAGGCCTTCGGAATATATGTAACATCCTAGCACCTATTTCAACGTTTCGGGACCATTTCGGCATAACAAACAGTTTGCATTGTATTATGAAAAGGTCATTTGTCGATTTTTTTCTAGAAAAGAGGTCAGAGTTTTTATACAATAATTTGATAGATTTTGTTAATACGTTGATCGTTTAAGCTATAAGGAAAACCGGACCCTTGCCAATGATCGTCTGCTCGAAAGAAAGAGTAGGCGTGTAGCCTGTATGTAGGATTTATACAAACAAGGATGACAAACAAGGGCGATCGTCTAGTTGTTGTAATACTTGTGCAAAGACATTCTTCGTCACCGGAGCACCCACCACTGTTCAAGAAAGTCACAGACTTCCAGAAAAGCATGCCGGAACGTCCGAAACGCTGCAAAAGGTTCAATGTAGATTTCGTGGAGTAAATGAACCTATGAATAAAAATGAAGAAGCAGATCCGAAAATTTCTGAAAAGCAGGAATGTAACAGGCTAAAGATTGTTGGTTCTTGATGCTGCTGGTAACCCGTTTGAACTTATCCGTTTAAATAAAAATGTTTTAGACGTTTGGAGTGAGGTACGAAACCAAGTTGTCAGTCTTGAGACTTTTAGAAGTACACACGGCGGCAAACGCATTTGCAAAAGTCAGTGGTCACAACATCTAGTGAATATCAAAGGTATGGTTCTTTTTCAACCCTTGATGATTTGTATTTTCTAGACAGGAAACTAATCCTTCACGGAATGTCTTGTGCTTTTAAAGTTGTGTTCTGAGGCATGCCACATTTACCCCCCCCTCCCCCCCTCCCACACACACAACTACTCTGGATATGATGCAATGGACCTCGCGCATGATGTTCAGTAAAGTAAGCATCAAACTTGTCTGAAAATGAATATGGCTGTTCACAGGGTTTGGACCCAACATGTAATCAAACAAACAAAATATACTGTAACAAATACGTCACGGTCGGTTAGGAATTATGCACGTGCAGAGGTGATGCGATATATGTGCACGTTATATTCGCAGGAGGTTAATATTTCTTCTTCTGTAAGACGCCAGCCTTGTCAGAAGCTGTTAAACCGGCTCGTTATAACCTGCCGAGAACCTCAAATTTCACAAAAACTTTAAAATGCAATCAATGGCCATTAATTATGGACTCAGCAAGTTATATAATGTATACATTAGAACGGCCTGGATTTGGTATAATTGCAAAATTCAAAAGTACAACGAGCTTTCTAATGAACACAACTTTGTATTTTTCATTTAATTCCCTTCACGCATTTAAAATATGAAAATGTCTGTAATAACTGCTTTATTTTCTTTCTGTAATTTCATTTGATGTAAAAGATAGACTTAAGCAGGTCAGGGCCGGGTCATGTAGACGTAGTTGAAACCTGTATACATAAGGCGGTCGTGTAGAAACCCGAATCCTTCGTAAGTCCCCAACCAACCGGCGGTGTTGGTATAAAAAGTCAAATATTTAATAAAAAATAATGAAAAAAACCCCCAAAAAAACACGAACATAATTTTTAAAGTTCTGATGGAAAGTACAATAATTAAATATGTTTCCTTAATGTGAGTTAAAAGGTTGCTATTTTTTTTATCCATATGCTAACAATCCCGTTCCCACAATTTTAGCAATTTCGTCCATGACCTGTCAATTATCAGACATGTGGTGGCTTTTCTAGTGGGTGAATAATTGACAGATTTGTGCGCGGACTGCCAGTTCCGTTACAATTCGCTTGTCAACGATTTGTTTATCTTTAACCTTTGACACAGTAAGATATTATAGCTTTCGATAAAATAAAAAAAAATCTAAGATACATATCTGACGTTTATTGCGTTGTATATTTGCAAAACATACAGATAGGAACGTTTATATTAAGGTTACACGACTAACCGACTCTCACTTGTATTTTTGTTGATACTGTTTTAATTAATGTAGAAGGGTTTAGTTGCAAACTTATTCTATGTAATATCCTGCATCAAACGTTTCCTTATAGTATTTTTTTTCAGCCATTCTCTTTTTCTCATTTACGTATAAGTAAGTGTAAACCCCTGTCCAGATAAATATATAGCTTTGTTACGTATTACCTCCCCCTTACCCACCCCCATCCCTTAAAAATCTAGGTTGTACAACACCCACACCCTTAAGGGGTTATGGTGCAATACTGAATCATCATTCGATGAACAAGATATACATACGAAATTGGAATTCATTTTTCAAAATCCATCGCTCTCCTATTTACACGAAATCATCATATAATACAGTCTTAAATATGTAGATAGACTGTGAAAGCTAAATAAAGAACATTCGGCTGTCAGTTTGAGATGCTTTAAGCCCTACTACATACATTTAGGAGATGTTTCATTTCGTTACGTAACATTTTTGAAGGTTTCCACGGAAGAACAATCCACGCGCTTTTCTTTTGATTTACATAATTTTGCTTGACAGATGAGGATAGTTTCCCTGGGGAACTTTTTTCTGTTCAGATACTACACAAATATATACCCAACAGAAGTGGTCGGTGCCTTTATAGTAGGCAAATGCTTTATTATTGCGTATATACTTGAAAATCATTAATTTTCGTGAGGAATCACGTTCCATCGATTTCGTAGCTACGCTTAATCTAGGAATTCATACGTACAAACAATTTTTGAAATTAGTGTTAATTGATAATTTTTTTAACCACCAAGATAAAACTTCACGAGAATTACACTATTTTATTTCAATATAATGGTTTAGCACGTCAGAATGTTGGCATTATCAATAATAGAACGTTAAAATATTTGAAATCAATAGCCAAAATGTACGAAACGAACGAAAACCTTATAGTTTATAGGTAGAAACATAATCAAAGGGTGACTTATATTTGTCATTGTATTTTTATGAATCGCCTATATATAAACCAGAGCTAAGTGCGGTTCATTAAATCATTGGGTTTCGCCAATATAAGACTCTCGTGTATGTTATACGCTCATCCTCGTCTGCGACACGCGAGATAACAGATAACGCACGCTACCTTAACCCATTTTTAAAGTATAAATTGCAAGCTTTATGAATAGCAAAATATTGACTGTTCCATTCAAACAAAACACCTGTATAAATACGACCCACACACGAGGTAAATTTGTAAAGATATGTTTTGTTTTGGTGAAAAGGAGCGCACTCGACCTTAAAACTTTAGAGTATCCAAGTTTTCGCATATCTGTCAAGTCATTAGAATCAGAACTTGGTCATATTTCCGCCGTTTAATGTAGAAAAATGAGAATTTATTACAACCGTATCTAAAGACCTGATGAAACATAGATGGTGTTGTTTACGTATATTAAATGGAAAGAGAAATTTTATCCAGTGATAGTATAAGACAGGTGTGTTATCATTGTATAAGTAAGTAGGTATGAGAATATGTCGTAGACACGCTTAGCATGTTAAAGAGCCCAGTTATATCATTTGTAATCCCCAGGCATCGTACCGACGTATCTACACACTGCACACAACGCCCAACAAATTACAAACATATCTTAGATATAACACATTACTAGGTAAACAGTTATACACAAATATATGTCACCGCTTTTTAATATAGTAATATCGAAATTAATTTATTAGTAAGATATATATATATATATATATATATATATTCGATGTTCATATGTCATTAAATCATACCTTTGATGACATATTTGTAAAATTACTTACCTGGTGAATTTGTCCAGATTTGACCATCACAATGACCATCAGCGTGGGCAGTATGAAGTGGAGATAAAAATCCATGTTAACACGTCCTGTTGAATAACGGAGACTGGGCGCACTCGGTCCGCACTGTGGCACTAACTCTTCCGTTGTGACACGGTCCGTCTAACACGTTTAGTCGTTAACGATAGGTGTATTCTGTTAGCTGTGTTGCAAATCTCTGATATGCCACACATAAGTGCGTTAAAGCTTATATTGATGGGGGTACGTCTAGCCGTCTTACTCAGAAGAGCAATTTGTAATCTTGATAAAAACTGAAATATCTTGTACTTCAATTCTATTTCATCCCAATTATTATTAAGTAATGTTTCAATGTAATGTACTCGACAATTAAGGCCTTTTTACGTAGAAATGTATTCTGAGCATTATTCGTCAGATTCTGTTTTGTCGACAAATATGAATTTGGGTTTTTATTCATATATATGAAAATCGCCAATTCATTTAAACCCCTTTTTCACAAAATTCGAACATAACTGTACGAAAGGTATACATGTGCAATGATGAGGTGTTAATTTTCGGGCTTTTTTTTATGGATGGAGTGTTTAGTTTCGTTTTAGTTTAGAACCACTGATATTTAATTTACACTTTAAGGTAGCGTGTGGTAATTAGTGTTCAAAAATCTATTTTCGTTCCTACTTTCAGCCTGAATGATCGAAAAGAACAGGCGCTTTTTGACAGCATACCGTTTTGGAACTGAACTATACTGCAACAGTCAGTTTATGCAGGATACAAATGTATGGAAGTGAAATCCTTTCAAGTGTCAACAATGTCATGATTAATGGCACCAAAAAACCAATCAGTAGATTTTTCTATTTAAAGGTTATGTTTCTAATACACCTGTATATTACACAATTTCTGTATCAGTAAATACAGACGCTGTCTTGCTTTGTCTTTTTCTGGAACACGTTTGTATATGTTCCTGTCATGCTTGATGTATAAGCGAAAATCAACAAAAATGACATTGTGTAAATAAGAAATTCCATGTCCTACAAATTGCCAAAAATTACAGGGAATAAAATCGAAACTCTATGCTCAAGAATATTCTCTAAATATCTGTTGAAATGTGTTACAGATTTGAACAGCTGAAAACGAAAAGAAAGAAAGTCATTAAAGAACAGAATGGAAAGAACAGCTAAAACGTTAAGTCATTGCTGACTGAAGAGCTCCTGGAGTATTTCTGCAAAAACATTGGAAAGGGAGATAACAAAGGTGACAGAGCTCAAAGCGAAAAAAGTGAACTGTAAAACACAACATGGTGGGTGATCTTAACAGAAACTTTAGGTTTTAGACAAAGATTTCTTACAATGAAACGAATGAAATTTACGGAAAATTACGTTATCAATTTAGCTTCTAAGGTAGCCATCCAGACCGTCACTATAGGAGTCAAACGGAGTCAGGACATGTGTATTATGTTATTGTCAATATTTACCTAGGTAAAATATTACCTATAAAGTTGATATATTATATGGACACTTGTAATAGAGCATAAAGCCATAAAAATGTTTACATTAAATCTGATTAAGCAACAAGGCAAACGAAGTAGCAATAGAAATTGAAAAAAAACACATAACATTTCATGATACTAACACTTTAAAAGCGCTTGTCTTATTTTAAAACAGATATTGTTATATAGGTAGATTCCTTAACTTTGAATATTGATTGCTGGAAATGTGCTTATTCAAACGAACATTCTTTACAGAACCGCGAAACCAAATTATACTCTCTAAATGACATTTTGGAACTAAAAATCTATTTTGTCGAACTTTATCACAAAAATCACACATAAAATCTATTCTGGCAAATGACTTTGTGTTTGTCCTTCTTTTAAATCTGAGCTCAGTTGTATGCAGATCATAGACTGAAAAGGCCTACCACTACTACAGAAATGTTAAGTCTGTTGTCCCTCACTGATCGTTGTGGTTTATTATGACCCTGGCAACACTGATTTGACTAAGATTACGACGGGAAATAATGATAATGGGCCTTCAGTGATGCAGCCTTTCATAGTAAAGAATATCTAGACAAAAGAAATATAAGATTGCCTTCAAAACGTCTTTGCATTGTTTGACCAAACTACTCACAAATAACACATTTCAATGCAAAGTTTAATTACGATACAATGGAGCTTTGCTAGAATAATTAACCAACCAGGAAGCGTCAGAAAAAATAGAATTCGGCCGAAATCATTCTCAAATATAGGTTGTAAAGGGCACTAACAACATACTAGTGGATTCTACATCATTCCCAATTCTCAATACTTAATAATTTCAAGATAACATCAAGAACATGATTAATATATATTTTTTAACTGTGCCACTATCGAAATGAATTAAAGATAAAGATGGAATGCGGGGGTAGTACAAGCCTCGAAAACTTAAGTACATCAGCAGAGTCTACCAATGTCACCTCAAAGGATTCAAACGGCAAAAAATGGATAGTACATGTCAAAACTTCCGAATTAAATACAGTATAGCAAAATAGTGATTTTATTAAACTACGTGATACAGCTGTTTTGGCTTTCAGTGATGCTTGGGGCCAAAACGGAAGGAGGCGACCGCTAACAATCCATAACACAATATACACGGGGATGCCTTACAGCTATTATAACATATAAAGAGAACAGAACTAGACTGCGTAGACAAATATGCTCTGAACGCGTAGGCATACCGTACAGCTGGTAAAATTTCACGGATCGAAATTTTCGCGGTTTTTTTTTCAAATCATACCATAACGAATTTAATGTGGATGTAAAAGGGCATCTTACTATTTCCCGGATTAAATTTTCGCGTTCACGTTAATGTAATGTAATAGCGAAGATATTACCCCCGTGAAATGAACTTTACAGAATACAAAGTATGGACATTTACCACACTCCCTCCCCCGAAAAAATAAAAATGTAAAAATAAATTGATGTGGCGTAAATGAATTCTGTTTTCTCTCCACCCGGGTCATCGAGAGTACGAAGAAATGTTAATTGATGATATTTTAGTCATGACTCTAAAATATGTTTCCATTTCTCCGAACGTTTGTGAATCACCCTAAGATCAGCTCCTTCATTGTGAATCACTAGACTTATATCTAAAGATTAGTATGTTCACCAGTCTAGTATTAGATTCGGTGTCTGTAAAGCCGACGTTCTGTACTATAACATGATACGGACAACGATATATTTCAGGGTCACTAGGCGGCGTTCACTTGTTGTAATAGGCGTAACAATCGGACTGCATGTTCTTGCACTCTTTTGATTGACAATTTATTTCTGCCAAATCGGTTATCTGGTCTAAAGAGCAGTGTTAATCCTCCAGGCGGAGTTCGCGTCACCTATCAAACAGACTGTCTTTTAAAACCAAGCATAGACGACCCCAGCCGACCCCAGCCTTTGGATGACGAATACAATAGACTTTTGGGTGTAATTCTAGAAGTCGTTATGGCCGAGTGAAGTAAGTCGAGGCAGTATTTTAAGGTCACCTGTTGCACATTGTTAAAATTACGTTGTAACTATAATATGCTACATCTTACAGTCGGCTGTTTACTTTTACGATCTATTTGACAATTCCAATGTGTGGTCATTGTCAAGTTAAATTAACAGAAACATATTCTGTCTTATATAACTTTTTAAGTATCAAGGAAGGACCGTTAATCTTCAGCACAAACAAAACATTAGTTATGTCTTATTGTCAAAACTAGTTTTTGAATGGATACTGTAAGTTTTGGGATGTCTTGATAGCTTGTTGCACGGAACAAAGACGGAAAGACACCCATTTGTAGGCTGGTTAAGTGTTGAACAGTGAAGCCTAAGCCGAAGTGTTATTAGGTCTAGTACCGAACAAAATAGCTACTATAATAGTGTGGTAGCCAAATAGTGAAATACTAGTATAATGACGAATGGTGATGGAAATTGGGACATCAGAGGTACAGGTTTCTGCATAACGAAACAATATGATTATTGGTATGTGGAAAGAGGGACAATAAAACATAATGGAACTAACTTACGTGTGGTTGCTGGATAGTGAGACATACAAATGAATGGAAGATGGAGATTAAAATTTCATGAGGAATAATAGGCTTAGAGGTGACTGGACAATGCAGAAATCAGATTCTGTAAACGTACTTAATTTAGCACTTTTTGGCACATTGGCAAAATGATGAATTCGGATATCCGTAATATTAATTATATAAACAACAGAAACTGCGCTGAAAATAACCGCTTAGATAAGATTTCTGTTAAAATAATGAAAGTTTACAGTAAGTGGAGACAAGAGAGTGGGATAGGATGGGCGGCTGAATATCAGGATAATATGAAAAGTGGGGACTGGGTGGTGAAACAATATGATAGTGGGACAATTGAATCAGTACTGAATAGCTGATCTATAGGTTTAGTGGTGCCTTTGTAGTGGGAATGAAGAAATGATAGTGACTTGTGGGACAACATGTTCAAAACTTAGTCTTGATTGAATAGTGGAACAGCAAGATTAGCGGTGACTAGATATTGGGGAAATAGGATAGGTATTGACTTTATAGTGCGACAACAAGATTAGCGGTGACTAGATATGGGGGGAATAGGATTGGTATTGACTTTACAGTGCGACAACAAGATTAGCGGTGACTAGATATGGGGGGAATAGGATTGGTATTGACTTTACAGTGCGACAACAAGATTAGCGGTGACTAGATATTGGGGAAATAGGATTGGTATTGACTTTACAGTGCGACAACAAGATTAGCGGTGACTAGATATTGGGGAAATAGGATTGGTATTGACTTTACAGTGCGACAACAAGATTAGCGGTGACTAGATATGGGGGGAATAGGATTGGTATTGACTTTACAGTGCGACAACAAGATTAGCGGTGACTAGATATTGGGGGGAATAGGATTGGTATTGACTTTACAGTGCGACAACAAGATTAGCGGTGACTAGATATTGGGGAAATAGGATTGGTATTGACTTTACAGTGCGACAACAAGATTAGCGGTGACTAGATATGGGGGGAATAGGATTGGTATTGACTTTACAGTGCGACAACAAGATTAGCGGTGACTAGATATTGGGGAAATAGGATTGGTATTGACTTTACAGTGCGACAACAAGATTAGCGGTGACTAGATATGGGGGGAATAGGATTGGTATTGACTTTACAGTGCGACAACAAGATTAGCGGTGACTAGATATGGGGGAAATAGGATTGGTATTGACTTAATAGTGCGTCAACAAGATTAGCGGTGACTAGATATTGGGGAAATAGGATTGGTATTGACTTTACAGTGCGACAACAAGATTAGCGGTGACTAGATATTGGGGAAATAGGATTGGTATTGACTTAATAGTGCGTCAACAAGATTAGCGGTGACTAGATATGGGGGAAATAGGATTGGTATTGACTTAATAGTGCGACAATAGGATTAGTGCCTGACATGTAGCACAGTAGGATTTTACAGCTGCTCTGATAGTCACAAACTATGAGAAGTGGATACTGAGGGAACATGATAAACAGTAGTATAATGATAGGACAGACATTTTCAGCGGTGATGGTGTTTTAATCGTCGGACAGCATGGTTAGTAGTTACCGATTATTAATTCATCGGACAATAGGACCGACACTAGTGGGATATTAACAAATTATGATAAGTGTTGGTAGGATATAAGACATCAGGATATGTGCTGGTGAGATATAAGACAACAGGATAAGTGTTGGTAGGATATAAGACATCAGGATATGTGCTGGTGAGATATAACACAACAGGATAAGTGTTGGTAGGATATAAGACATCAGGATAAGTGCTGGTGAGATATAAGACAACAGGATAAGTGTTGGTAGGATATAAGACATCAGGATAAGTGCTGGTGAGATATAAGACAACAGGATAAGTGTTGGTGACAACAGGATAAGTGTTGGTAGGATATAAGACATCAGGATAAGTGCTGGTGAGATATAAGACAACAGGATAAGTGTTGGTAGGATATAAGACATCAGGATAAGTGCTGGTGAGATATAACACAACAGGATAAGTGTTGGTAGGATATAAGACATCAGGATAAGTGCTGGTGAGATATAACACAACAGGATAAGTGTTGGTAGGATATAAGACATCAGGATAAGTGTTGGTGGGATATAAGACAACAGGATAAGTGTTGGTGGGATATAAGACAACAGGATAAGTGTTGGTGGGATATAAGACAACAGGATAAGTGTTGGTGGGATATAAGACAACAGGATAAGTGCTGGTGGGATATAAGACAACAGGACTGATAGGATAGTTAGACAACGGGATTTTTGTTTGATAATATGATGACATATAGTTCTTCATTGATCAGAAAAATGGTTAAATAGTCGTTATGTGGGAAGCGAGTAATTGGTTGTGGATTGAATGAGATTCTGCTTTAGGTACGTAATTCTTTAAACGAAAATATAACATTATTCACTTATTTTTAATAACAATGTAACTTCGAACAATTGCATATTGTTTTATTTTATTTTTATGACTATCTATTTAACATTATAGCTTTTATTGAGTTCTCTTGAAGCACGCCAAACAAATCAATATCAAACCAGGTTTTAATCTCTTTGGCACCAACAGCATTGCACTTTTCCATCACAGGAAAATTGAATAGGTGATTCACTTTCCCTAATTGCAGTTTGAAGTAAATAATAATCTGGATATTTTCCGGATAGATATGTCTAATAGATTATGCACTCTTATATCCATTTACTTGGGTCTGCTGTTCATTACAAATTGAATTTTCAGCGTCTGTCATCGTGAAGTTCAACATATATATACATGTATTTGTCTTATTCAATATTAGAGAACGCATGTCACATATGGAACACGTTTTATAATGCTTTATGTCTTTCCAAATCTTTAGTTATTTAAGGACGGAATATACTAAAAGTGTCCCAAACAGACTAGTTACATGGTTTCTCGTGACGTTCTTAAATTTAACTCTCTCTATAATTATGATTTCATTTTTTTTACTTTCGAAAAAAAAAAAAAAAAAAATTTAGTAATGCTATGATACAAACTGGGCCAAACTGTTATGTTCTTCATCAGTAAACCTTTGCAGTTTATATAAAGGGATGTACATGTATATACACGAAGTTGCAATATTGGTACTAATGCGTTGCCTGTTAGGGTGGTTGATAACGAGTTCATGTATCCTTTTCACTTTCGCTGAACAAAACCGAGGATGTGGATATTAGGGGCAATTGGCATAGCATATCTAGCTGTAGTTATTTTATTATTTAATGTAATCGTCTCCAGAAGCCTTGAAATATAAATGAATAAACAAGGATACATACTAACACTCCAGACATACGACCTTTGTTTGCACTTAAATCTCTAGATCAATATCATTCTAAATACAAAGCATGCGTATAAAAGGAAACTAAGTGAATAGATTCTCTTTATATAGATTTAAATGATAAAGGAACAAACATTTTTCTGCTTCATATCTAATGGCGCAATGTCCTAAAAATGTATAGAGAGTGTAACTAACTACAGAGCAGGATTTAAGGCTGGGTAACCATCTACAATACTTCACATTAAACCTACTTAATATACAACGCATCTACCCGGGAAAAAGTGTTAACCTTTCACACAGGAATTCCACTGTTTGGGTAATGTGGTGTATGTTTTCCAAAAAGAGCTAATTTTTTGTTGATAATGACGATTAATAGATATAATTAACGTAACCTTCTTTGTGTTATATATTCTGATATTTCTTAAACGCATCACCGATGTTTTGATTCATTTAAGGTTTCTTTATCACAAGGAAATATGATTTGCAATGTGAAATTTTTTTTCTTGTGTTCTGATTGACAATGTGTTTTGTTTCGAAAGTGATAAACATACCTAACTAATACATCAATGAAAATAGTGTTATTCAACAAAACGAATTGAATTTTTTTCAGACCAGTTAAATGATTTTTTACGTATACGTCCATGATACAGTTCATATACTTAGGACAGAAATAGTGCATACACATGCGAGAATATCGGCGGTGGTAATGTGACCACGCGATATAAAATGCATTTATTATGTGACCAAGCATGGCAATCTGTAATAGAAATCTGGCCCTGCATGGTCTGCATTGCTTATGTGACCATGCCTGATATTTGCAATTAATATAGGACCATGGGTGGTAAGCTGTTCTTAAGTTCTCATCACATTTTTGCTTAAATATTTTATATGTAATCATACTGTACCTACGGATAATTAGTTTTAAGACACCCTGCGACCTTTTTGAAGTTTTCAAGCCAAACTAAGTTTTAATTTTGGCACAGTTTCATGGGAATTGCAATGCCATTTAATTATATGTTATTACGAAGCAGCCGAATTGATTCCGAGCAAAAGTATCGACAAACGATGCTTGTAAACAAAGTTCCTGAAGAATCATACCTTGTTGAATTAGAATTCTTTCAAACTAACATATTTCCGACATTTTTTGTTGTTTTCTTCGGAATTTCGTGTCAAATGAAATGATTATGAAATGCAAATTATATAATGTTATAAGAATCCACTCTCTTTCGTTCTTGAAATATCTTTATCCAACATATATGCTCAAAAATGTTAATTAGCTTTTGCTCAGGATTAATGCAACCATTAAGGGGAAGTAAATCTGGCTGCTTTGGGTTACGATAAATCCTTATATAGAAGATTTGTTCTGTGAAATGATATTTTATCACAAAAATAAGAAGGAAATACCAACATGTCTATGTAATTAAAATCCAAATTCAAATTTTATTAATATATATACATAATTTAAAAAACATCGACAAAAGCACGATTTGCACGGAGACTCGTGAAAAAAAGAGAATGAGACCGGGTGTTCTGGAAAAGTAAACGTCTGATCATAGACCACACCAGCTATGTAAATCTTGGTCAATCAAAGTAAGTAATGTCACGCTCCCAAATAAAAACACTGTTAGCCACAACGGAACCAACAGGTATAATAGTGAGCTCCAAACATGTCCCACTGTATGATGCAATTTTCATCGTTTTTTGGATCTGCTACAGCTAACTTTACATTCGTATCCAATCGTGCTTTTCATTTGCGTGTCTTATGAAGCCTTCTTAACGCATACTAATTTATGGTATGTTTCCCAATGCTACATAGTGTGGTTATAAAAGAGATATAATCTTATAGATAGACGAATAACAAACCATTACATATGGTTATTGTAAAGACTTAAAAAACGCTTCACAAGATAGAAATATTCTTAAGAATCGGCCACTGGTCACCGTCTTGAATTTAACATGTTTAAGCCATCGTGATTATAACTATTGCAGTGTTCACCGCCTCTCATACCACATGGTTTGACGAAATAATATCAAGTAAGAATGATATCATCAATGTGATTTTTCAGAATGCAGTCTTAGTTTTTATAACTGCAAACATTTGGTGTCAACAAAACTGTCTTATGATTTTGAGAAGTGATTTTGTTTTCAGCACAAATACCGCCTCGGATTAAGGAGGTATTTAGATTTCTGCTTTGCATGGATTCGTCCCATTCATTCATGTATTGTTGCTGTTTTCCACTTGTTTCTGTTGTATTCCTTGACACAATTCTTTCAGATATTTTACAAATAACCAAACCAAAATTCTATTGCTTGCGTGGTGATTGAGACACCATAGTTACCACCATGGTTACAGTGTTGGTAGTTACGTACTTGACAGCTGATCGTTTCTTAGTCCTTTTCACCCAGCCGTTTGATCACTTTGTAATGTTAGCGTGTACAGCCACAAGAGTCTATTAGAACGAGACTAACAATTTGTGAATTTGAGAATTTAGTCTAGATCGACAACCAGTCTTCACTGATACAAAACTGTGTAAAAATGCCAATAAAAACACTGCATTGTTTTTTTTATCCTATCCATATCAATGACACCGTTCATCAATCAAACGTGATGCTGGGATCATTTTCGGTTCTGTATACGAATCATTGATGTTGAATTGTAATAAGAATAAACAAGGATATTTAAAGAATCAATATGATAAACGAATCTTTTATTTGATGATATAATAGAAGTCAAATCGATGAAACACACTAATATTCAAATCTATAATTAATCGGCAGAGTGTAAGACTCATTTTTAAACATCAGAATCTGTTTCAATTTCATATTTTGAATATATATATAACTGAATGTCTAAATCAGTATTAATTATTTCATAATGATTTATGGAATTGTCGTTTCGAGTATTTGTCGCGGATAAAGTGGATTACGTTATGTTCACTTTGAGTATATATATAAACACTCTGTGACTAAAAATAGAGTGAAATCAATGCTAAAATTTCTCAATTCAATAATTTCAAGCAGGGATTGCATAATTAATATATAAACACCTTTCATATCAGATTTGGTATACTCATAAACACTCATCAGTATCGATTAAGAAAATCAATAAACTCATCAATAGGACACACACATGGTTTGTTTGCAAATTGCAATATTAGAAATACAACAATAAATCTTATATCATCATGGTCATGATGCATTCAAACATCAAAATAAGTATGATATAAAAAGAAAACAAATTTGAAATTTACATTGAGGTGAATTTGTTTTAACACTTACATAAGAAGGGTCATGCTAACCAAACATTTATCAACAATGATAGAATATTCATAGATAGCCCTAATAAATATAATCTATTGCAAAAAACAGTAAAAAACATATATGGAACAAACAAAATATAGATATATAGAAAATTTAAAAGGTATCAAAATGATAAAAAAAAAAAAAAAAAAAAAAAAACCCAGCAACATAATGAAATAGGGAAACATCGATATTAACAGAAAGCCACATGTTGAATCTTAAGGTAATGCTAACAGTTGAACACATTCAAACTAAGAACATTTAGTTTCTACGTATTGAAGAATCATTCTAAAAATGTATTTGTATGTCAATCAAAACTGCATATATTCCTTTTTTCACAATTTTGATCACAGAAATATAGGAATATGTATTTCATCCATTAACAGTGAGTAGTACTAAAACTCAGCAAAAAAATTCACATTTTTTTTAAATGTTCAGCATCACTTTTTTCTTGGTGACCCAACATTCCATAGACTTGCTGAATTTAACACGAGACTTTTTCACTTTTATCCCCGTTCTTGCTTTTACTTGTAAAAACAGTTTTCCTTTCCATTTATTTCGTTTAAACCGTATAGTCCCCTGTATTGGTATCACTGGAAACAGAAACAAAATCAACGCAATGAAACATGTGAACTGGACTAATCATTCACAAATATTATGTAATTTGCATTTTTCAGTGATAGCAGATATATGTTAGATGTACATCAGTTATATAACACACACCTTCATAATGTGTGACAAAGGGATAGGTGAAAAGTGATTTCATGACACATCATTTCAGCAAACTATCGACAAATTGAACTGATCTATCTGTCGCATCAATCCAAATAAGAGGTTTTGTGACCTAACTATGCTTTGGTATCTTTATGAAAAGAAAAATTATTTAGATGGATTATTTTGTGATCTTGTGTTGGCCAAATGTAATGTCATTGATGACTTTTAGTAATTTACCCATGTCGAAGTCGGTGTAAACAATCTATCATTAAATACCTTCGGATACCGCGGTGGGTACAGATACCATGAAAGATCATGCCTATACTGAACAAACCACCTGCTTTTATGGGGACAAGGTAGGATTGAAAATGTTCAGACAGTTAAAACAACATCGTTTTCTGACCAATAGTACGCGTTCAGCCCAAGCCGGGTGTCATCAGTCTCCTCATACTCAACGTGTTAACTGTCATTAACCGTTAATTATACAATCAGCCAAGCCTTTCATGCTTGTTAGGTCACCTGGGTAAATTTGTTTACTTAAGGTAATTACATGTGTTAGGGTCACGCTCATTGTGGTTTCCTAATTATCAATGGATCAGACCACATCAAATGTTTCGTCGCAGTGACCAGTCAATTAATTTTTCTGTAGATTTTTTTTTTAAAATCTGATCTCCAAAAAGTACCTGCGCACTATACGCGAGTGCGCACTATACGCGAATATTTACGGTACTAGAGCGAAACTGAACTTTGCCATCTTAAATTTGATTAGTAACAAAATCGTTCACATTCAGCATATTCAATAAACAATGTACATGACTTTATTTTAAGAAAATTATCTTAGACACAGAAATGTCATCTAGCCCAGCTTTCTGTATAGCAATAATACCTTTCGCAGTGTGACCTTTGAAAAACACCCTCCATAGCTTTTCTTCAAAGTCGTATCTTTAGACATTAAAACATCTTATGATATTTATTTTGAAGGTAACTTAGCTAGCAAAACATAGTCATGTTATGTTAGAATTTATATAATTAGAAAATTTTAAAATGAAGTACATACCCAGTGATCCTTCAATGTTGCGTTGATTATTTCTAGTGAAATCTGCTAGAAGTGAAAGCCTGTTGTTTTTGTTTATCACTTCCCATTTGAGATTGGGTCCATCCTGTCCATACACGGAATAGACGGGTGCTTGCTTACGCACACCATTCTCAACACTGAAGCCGGGAATGATTTTGGTCGTTGCATTCTTCGTAATGAAGATTATACGGTTGATACGTGAACGCCTGCGTTTACCAGCTCCGTGAAATGTATACCCCACACGTACTGACATACCTGGAATAATGCAATTTCATACTTGTTGGTAACAGCACAAAATTGAATATCCTTCGATAAAGAACAAATCCGACTACATAGAATATTCCATTTTACACTACGTTAAATACGCGAATCTTCGAAACGACAAAAGAAACTAATTTAATACGGAGAACTGTTTTTTTTCAACACTGTTGCAAATTTAAGTTACGTAAACAAAATGTGAACGTTAACAAATAAAAGTGGGCGTCTAATTATTATCTAAAGAAACAGAAATGTATGTTTTGATTAATAATCGGCAAACATGTGTAATTTTTACTGGTGTTCTGTTCTTTGACAAAGTCATAATGCAATGGCCTTGTAAATTTCATTCATAAACATGAAACATGATTTTAACACATTCGATTGAAAAGTCATGTAAATAAGAAATGACAACGTTACCAGTGGTATAATCCTTTGTTAAATTGTACAAAGATGTTGCATCTACGGAGTCGTAACCGGGATTTCTAAAGCACAATGGCAAACTGACACCTTTGACTGCCACCAGAGTGTAATCTGCAAATATATGTGCTCTACTCATCATCAAAGTTTGGAATAATTATCTGAATAAAAACACAGGTATTACAGTTTTTACATTAAATTCATCAAATCGTAGAAAAAAGAAACAGCTGTATGATGCAGATAAATTAATTGTTTGGCTCTACTGTATCTCACTCTAAATAATGAAAAAAGTGCTATTCACTTGTGTGTCTTTTGTACAATCCTTATGATATTCTAAAATAAATATCGCCTGTTAAAAATTGCATATTGTTGACAAACAGATCATGATATAATAAAAGGATGTGATAAGACTGACCATTGATACAATCTAGATACTATATTACTGATGCAATTAAGATATATATGGTCCAGATGTGTTTTGACACTAAAATTACAAATATGTTTTACAATTCACATGGTATGTTTATCCTTACCCGCAGCTTTAGTCCTTATTCGAAGCTTTCTTCTGCCTGGTGATCTCGTAGAAAATTTGACTGCTGGTGTTGTAAGAGTTGGAATTTTAGTCGTTCTCGTTGATAGTCGTAATGTGCTTGAAGGTATTAGTTTGGATCTTGGAAGAAATGCCAGCGTTGGTGCATCGTAGGCAAGAACTGGCAGAATAGGATCTGCTAAGAAAGTTTACATATAGAACAGCAGGTATAAGATTCTAAAACTGCGAAAAACACCTTCATATGTAGCTTAAAGTAGACGCGAGTACACGGTGCTGTAGTGATCAAAGTAACAATCAAATAACATCAAGTAACCAAAAGACATAAACATCACCATGTTATGCTATAAATTATTGATATGATGGATCTAATGTTCTGGGCAACAACCCAGCCCTCTCGAAACAGAAGTCTTTCTAAACAATAAAACTTGACACCTTCATTTGTATTCATTGTCAAATTGTACAGACATTTTTAATGGGAACTAAGAGAACAAAATTTACAGCATAGTTTATATCTCGGTTTAAAAGAATTCTTGATCATTAGGCAATTTTTTGTCGAGTTCGTTGTGTATTGTGCCATTTCGTTTTTATCGGTAATGATATCTAGCACCTTTAATATACAAAAGTGACATCAGCCAAAAGTTATGAGCTTAAAGTTGTTTGTATTGTTATTCAAACAATTACTGTTATTGTTTTAGGCTGTTGAAATTTATATGCAAAAGAGTTTCTTACGGTTAACAGGCATCCTCTTAATGTTCGATGAAGAAGTAAAAAACTGACTAAATGGTCTGAGCTGATGTCGGGAGTCTGTCCAATGTAAAATATAATTGTTAAAGCAAAAACACAATATATACATGCTCAATGCAACATGATCTTATCAGTAATAGTGACGTCGATATGAAAACTCTTAACATTAGGATATGTTTAATTTTTTATCATGTTATAGAAACTGCCAACACTTCTATTAAATGATTCGAGATGTAAATATCTGTCAATTCTTCTATGAGATATAATCAATGAAAGTAGTTCCAAGTAATAACTGTATCTTTGTATTTTCATGAATAAATTTCACGAGTACCATTTAGAATTATGGAGTAAGATGTATTTCAACACATAATTATTTGCCCTTATCATCATTGAAAAAGCTTAGAAAGAAGTACGAGTTTCTCGTTTCAAAATTTTAAATATACTTTGAATTTGTTATACTTATAAGACAGTTTTTCGGCATACAAAAATAGTTTTACTGAATATGCAATTCGGTATCAGATAATGATAATATCAGATCAGTTCAGTGTCAACGTATTAAATAGCTTAAATAGTCTAAAATTTAAAAAGATTTAAAGCAAAAGTATTAAAAATCAAATGAAGATATTCAGAAATATTACGTATTTACATATGAAAATCTTTCGTTATTATAATTTTTAATGGATTTGTAATTGAAAATTGAAACAACAGGGTACAGCTCATTATAACAGTTTATCTATGACATGTTACCGGTCTTGTAATGCCAATAAATACGAACTTTACATCAAGAAAAATCTACAAGCAGATCCAATGAGAATTACATTCGTTGCCATGTAGAAGGCAAATACTGTTGATAATTTTTTCTCTCTTCTCAATATGTAACATTGCTACGATATTTGTCCACATAGCTCTCAAAGTGACACGATTTTCTGGTACCCTGTATCCAATACAGTTAAGTCGCTAATTACCTCTGCACTTGATTAAAGTGAAGTGATAAGTCGTTACGTAATAATGCCACATATGCTTACTTACCCATGTCATCTTCTTCAACCTTTATCGGAGAGACTTGCAATTCATCAGGCAGGGTAACTACCATTGAGGTCAAAGGTGTCACGAAGTTGTACTTCAAGGTGCAGTGGATGAAGAGTAAGTTAACATTTAATAAATTTGGAAAAATGTATTGACATGGCATTCCATAATGAAACTATTGATGTTAATCTTATAATCAAGTTATTCCAAACAAAGCAGACATTACAATCCTTTTGTTATATAAATATGACATCACTATTGAACTGCAATATTAATGACGTCACAATTGTATCTATGTACATTATGTAAAACATCTGAAGAAGAAATGAAAGCACTTATGTTTTACAGCTCATCGTGTTTTCCAATTTTTTATATTTTTGCTGGGCACGGAAAATTCATCACATTTTCACTATATAAATCTATATTTATTTATATATGTGTGTTTGAGCTTGGTTACACAAGAGTGCCCTATCCAGGCCTCGAACTCACGCTCTATGGCATCAAATCGCCTATCCAAGAAATTCGACAACTGCCTAACCGACTCTATTATCCCGACATCCCCTAAATAAGGATGTTTGGACGATAGACATAGCTAGCAATATTTGGCATGATCACAGTGGCATATTTGCAATGGAGGGAAATAAATTTATATTTGTCAGAAAGGGAAATAGATGTCTATTTGTTAGTAAGGACATACAGTTTTTACATAATGATGGGAAAACAGGGAGATGTCATAAACTTTGTCTATAAGAATCAAGAAAATCCTTAACCGACCTTTGACCTTTAGGGGATTATAACCCTGTTGTTAAATTTGGGGCGGAGAAACATCCATCCCTATGAAAATAATGTTGAACGTAAAACTTTGTGTCGACGTCGAACAGGAGCGATACTATTTTTATTTTCATAGTATGCGTATACTGTTTAGTTACATGTAAATGTCCACGTGTTACATTGTGAAGTATGTCAAATGGTCCTTACCTTTAAAGCCATTTCAGTTATGTTTTCTTTCCAGCTTTCTTGATCATTTTCAACGGTTGATGCTTCCATCTGCTTTATCCACTGCTTGACAGTAAGGTAGGCCCATAATTTTTCTGTAATAGCTATGGCATCATTGTCCTGTGTGATATTCAGTTGTGTGGTGAGCGCAGTATCGGGAACATGAAGACTTATCATTCCATTGGCACCTATGCCCGTTACATGAGGTTGAAGATCATTTGATTGCTCGTTCACCATTCGTCCTGATACCACTAGCTCAGATCCGCGATGTAAAACATTGGTTAAATCGCATATCAAAGTTTCCTCTTCAACGGTTCCTTCGAGGTAGGAAAATGTGACGTTTTTCAACAGGACAGATGATACTTCTGAGTAAAAATTTGAAATTTGAAGGTTTGCATCCGAATCTTCATATATCCTCCTGCCAAAACCTTTGTTCTGTGCAGCTAATTTTTTAACCAAGTTGTAATCAGCATTTCTACCAAATGCCAAAGAAAACACAGGTACTCTGTCTTCGTTACGTCTCAATACTCTTTCTAAAATCGTAGATGGATTCGTTTCACCAGAAGTTGGCTGTCCGTCCGTAAGAAAGATAATAAGAGCTGATCTGCTTCTGTCCGATCGTTCTTCCAACAGAGACAGGCCATACAGCATTGCATCCTGGATATTTGTTCCTGTGAATTTCCACAAATTAGTATGTTATTTATTGGTTTGATATATACCTGTCCTCTGCTTATTTTGTATTTTTTTTAATAGACGGAATGATATCAACGTTGTTTTAGTGAAACAGGAGCAACGTTAGATTTTGATGGTAAAAAATGGTAAAATGTTTACATTTAAATTGTTGGCGATATTAACATTTAAAAGGACATTATAATAAGATAATTAGTTAAATTGTTATTGCAGTAAACATGTACATTAGAGCAGAAAATAGGTTGAAATATGTACCTATAGAAAGAATATCAATAGAATCAATAAATCGATATCATGGGCTGCATGTTGATTTTCATGAACAAATGATTTCGTGGATAGATATAGTCTGACGAATCTCCTGATACTAACTTAACAATTCATGGGCACGTGGATATGTGAATTAAGCATACCGACGAAATCAACGAGATTGAATACCCCACGAAAATTAATGAGTAGATAGAGAAATAAAAATGATAAATGCTGGAAGATATCAATATTTAGCAGGGCATAGTATGGTATATAACGTCATTCGTTTCAGCATGCCTATTGAAAAACTAGTACTTAAGTACTTCAAAGTAGGTGATGACATCCATTTCGTAGCGTTCAGCCATGGATGCTAAAGCTTTTGACCGAAGAAGGTGTCTCTATTACAGACAAAGAGAACATGAAAATGTGTCCAAAGTGCTACAGTACGGACAATGACAATGGAATTGACGAGATCTGCGATACAAATTGTAATGATAAAGGCGAAAACGATGACACAACTTAGTCAAATAGTAAATGTCTTAGTGTAGATGACCTTTTCTATGCCCTATTCTCACATCTAAACTGTAGTATATGTTGGAAACAAATGGACAACACATAAAGAATACCAAAACGATATATATCAGACGCTGTCGGTCCCTTTCTAGGATCAGAAAATGATGCAAAAACAACAGACAAAATATTAAAATCTGTTGATAACGTGAGGGTCCTTTGATAAATGATGATTACATTAACGTTGAACGTGGTTTTCGAGATGATTTGAGTGAACTGACAGATTCTGGATATAAACATATCATGCCTTCAATTTTAAAGACTGGAAAAAGTCAACACGATAGTGCAACAACAAACACTGACAGATGTATCACTAAAACAGGATAGATTGCTGAATCGTTCCATTCTAGATTCCAACGGTTCAAATTTTCAAAAAATGAGTTGACATCAAACTATTTTCTATCTTACATCAGCCGTTAGCTTAACATTGCTTCGGCAGCCATTAATTGGTTATATGGGTCCATCTGATCCCAACAAAAGAAGAAGTTTCTGCTAGAAAAATGAAGCTGATTATAGATAAAAACTTAGCAAAATGTATACAAAACGAGCCTGAGCTGTCTAAGAGGTCGAAAGCAATCTGGACAAAGATTAAAGAATTTTCCTTTAAATTCCTTGCCTTAGATTACGAATATTTTGAGACAATTACATGTGGTACCTATTAAATGAAGCCAACACCAAGCTATCTTTCCGAACACATGAATGAAGTAGGAGCCCATGGATTCATGGTTAATCAACAAACCCCTGACCTTATACGGTGTTATATCCGATCGCGAACAAAATACAATACATGAATACAATATTGTTTGACAGATGACAAACATCCAATTACAGCGTCCAGCAGGTCTAAGGACTGTCGGTATGTGTTCACACACAGTCAATATTTTATTTTCATTTTGGTAAATATTCTATGAAACCATGCAAAAAGTTACGACATCAATTCATGAATCAAATGTGTTAGATTCGACTATCACCAGAATTTCAAACAAAACAAATAATGCATTGTAAATTTCGAGTCTGCATATGCCACGATAACAACAACTTGGCGTATGCACCCTTTCTTCTGTAATTACGGTAGTGCACTGCACATGGACTTAACTGGGTAACGCAAATCATCAATTAATACGCTGGCCCAGTGGTTAAGCTGTGCTGCACGTTTTCACCGTTAACTCACTTCAACTTGACCGATCAGAAGTCAACATTTGGCTGCCGCTTTGTTGGAGTTTTGTGTGTTAAAATCGAGCGTTGTCATTCATCATCCCTTCCCGCAAGAAGGAAAACCATGGTCGAAGTAGATTTTTTACCAATCAGAGGTTTTGGCGGCCATCTTTAATCAGGGAAACCCCCCAAAAACAATGGATGCATAACTACATGTCGTTAGGGTACTTGATAATAAGATACGGAGGAAAACAAGAAGTCATCCCACTTTCGTTTGAGGACTTAGATATTCAGTAACTTCAGTACTTTGATATTTTGTGCAAACTTATAACTGAGGTACATTTAAAAAAATATGGCATATCCAGTGAATTAACAGTGCAACAATTATATGAGGTAAGTAAATTTTAATTTAGAGTTTTAGGGTACTAAAGGTTTATAGTAAGTTTATTCATACATAAACAAAAAATATAGATTTTCTAAAAGCTAAATTGTAACGATACAATTGACATATGAATGTTATTTACAAGGAAGTGATTCAAAGTCTATTATTATGAATCATTGGAAAGGTTATTTAAGAGGTATTTAGCGTTTATAAAATGTCGCACTTGACCAGTCTTCGTGTTCAAACAATTATCATATACTTCAATATTTGTAAACATCAAACCGACGTCTCGGCAATGAATCATCTAAAATTCCTTCGAATAGTGGCGCGATTCAGAATAAACACATACACTTTTGTTAAAAACTTATCTGAAGTATGAATTGGATTATGGGGGTGGTACACCTTCCTAGCTAGATTTTGACTTATCATTCAAATGCTTTTGATTTTCCTCAGTCGCTTCCAGTACTTCAAAATATTTGCCTTCTACATCACTGACGTGTCCGAGAAGGACGAAACAGCTGCATAATGCAATTTACTTTATTGCTTGGTTCTATTGTTGATTAACTTGCATTTAAAAGTGTTTTACATGTATGTCTTGTACAATCATATACCATCAGAAAAGATGGTTTATTTACATTTCATCTGTATTACTCTCACTTTTTTATTTTGTAAAGAAAAATTCTTTAATAATAAGTTTTGTGCTTTTTACACCGGAGACCTAGCCGGTATGGACTTGTCACATATAAATGCATATACAGGTAGTTTTTTTTACATAAAAAGGGGGATAATAGAAGTAAAAATAGTATTCCTTCAAGTTCATGAGTTGTCAAAACATCATATCATACATTGTAGTATTTTCGTTTTAGGATTGTTTTTTTTTCTTTTAAATCATAAAACTTATCAAGGTTCTAATTTAACCTCACCTCCGTTTGCTCTTATGTCGCTGGTGAATTGCACTGCCGCCTGGATGTTGGCTTCAGATGCTGGAACGAGGTTTTCGGCTTTCCACCTATTTCTTCCGCTGTCAAATGTGACGATGTTGAAGGTATCTGCCGGATCGATCTGGGACAGAATAGTTTCCATTGCCTGTTTCAGCTGTTTGATTTTTAGGCCTGCCATGGATCCACTCTTGTCGAGAACAAAAACGATGTCTTTAGGCCTCGGTTCAAGACCTTTCGGAGCAAAGAAGTGAACAAAGTAGCCATTTACCATCTGTGAAAATAAATTTTTATACAAATGCACATAAGCATATACGTTTTCTGTTCAATAAGCTTAACATATTTGTATTTCTGGTCCAATTTATAATTAAGGCAAATAAAAGATTGATTCATGGGTAAACTAGCATCGAAACATAAGTGTAAAAATGTTCCAATTTTTCCAATGATAGCAAATCCTGACAGCTGTTTAAACTTAAAATTCAAGTTATGAACTGTTCATAATTACATTTTGAAGGTATCATTTTTTCGGAATTAAAATGCATCTTGAAAATATCGTGAAACAATAAACTCTATAGAATCTTCTATACAAGAATAACAGAAAGTACCATCATGTCAACCTATTTCATACTCATTATTTACAAGGAAAATTCTGAAAAAAATACATGGCGATTAAGTCAAGGAGTTCTGGAAAAATAAGCGTTTTCTGCTACATCGACGATAGCCTCGAGAGGAGGGTGAATTATCGCATTTGCAATGATTGTTATAATGGCACACATGAATGACCATAAGTGTAATAATATTTTAGTGTAATGTCTCTCCCGCAAAAAGCTCTAAAATAAAATTAACACTAAGACATGTACACTTACAGTAATGTTAGCTGTATCAATGAATGATGTTTATAGTGTTATCGACAGATCCTTAGCTATCTTCGATATTCCCGAGGTTTCGATCTCTTTCGCTCTCTACACCCTAGGAACATGCCATAACAGAACTGAATGCACACGCGACGTAATTTGATTGTTTTCAGGAGAAAAAAATCTGACGATCACAGGCCCATACGCTCCTTTTGTAGATTACAAGGGAGCGACATCCAACTTCAAAGCCTTTACAATATAACATTATGCGACCCCGAGATTTGTTTGATGTACATCAAAGGATTAAAACAAGTCTTTGCATCTTGTCCACAACATATCGCACATGGAACCTCCGATTATCGAGGATTGTCCTTAGTATTCGCGAGAGTGTTGTGTTGAAACAATATATCAAACATTTTCAGTTAAATATTATGTAGACACAACGATTGTAAACTCACAGCATTATAAACTATAAGTTGGTAGATTTATCTGTGTTTATACAACAAACATGCATGGGATATTATGGTACGTTAGATAGACAAAGTCCTATAATTCATTACAGATATTGATGTTTCATCCTTCTAAGAAGACTTAGATAATACCAAAAGAAATTATGACGTCAGATAATATGGTATAATATAATGCAGGCAGGTTATACCGATCAGTAACCAACATGTACATTCCACACCAAAGTTTGAGAAGCCAGAGCAAAAAGTGAACATAATCTCAGTAATACTGTAATTTATATTAAGATTAAGGGTATACTGAACCTACCAGAAGGTCACCGCCGTCTTTTTGCCTTTCCACGTCGTAGGTGACTCTGAATTGACCATCCAAACCCTCGGAATCGCCTTCTGAAATTTGCTCTTTCACGGAAGGTGCGTATCTGATGTGAACGCGACGATCAGATATGCGGTCAACAACAGCATGGGTATTAACAGCTTCAAAGGAAATGATATTAATATAGATTTATGACCAACAGAGAAGTTGTCTGTAAAAGTAGTTAGTATGAAATTACAATGTGTTTGTAATAGAACGACTTCAGCGAAATATACCTTTTATCTTTTATATCTACACATAATCGTGGCAAATGCATAAGAATGATAATTTCAAGAATCAACATAATCTGATAAACAAACTGTTTACGTATCATTTGCATAAATATATATGTATCCTGAGGAATCATCCATCTTCACATCATAAATGAAACAACATAAAGCAAAAGTAAGTTTTGTGAAAGTGATGTTTAAAGGTACCATTTTATCATTTGAAATCACGAACGAAATACACATTGTGCTTCTTATCACGTGTATCTGTAGCAGTCGAGGTTATCGAAGTAACAACTTTTAAAATCAATTGAAAAAGCGCGTGCACCGAATTGAATACATGCTTAGAAAAGAACAAATTGCGTCATCATCAGTTCTATAAATAATATTAAAATAAAACAAAACTGAAAGATGACTTTCAAGTGATGTTTATCAGAACATTCTACACGACGTACCATGAAGTAACATTGATTTTTTTTCTATTTAAACCACTTACCAGTAACGTCAATGTTGGTGAGGATATCATTTCTGATTGGCGGGACGTTGAGGCTAGTTATCGCTCTAGACTCAAAAATATCCACATCGATACGCATGTCATCTACGGGCTGTCCAGGTTTTACGTAAATCACGTGGTTGTAGGAACCCAGTTTCCGTTGTAACAGCTCCTGATAACGTAGTTCAAATGTCACCTTTTGTTCTGCAGCTACGTTTACATCGATGTTAAACATATTTGTCTCCCTTGGTCTGTAGAAATACACATTGTATCACTATTTTTAAAACGCCATCTTATCAAATATTGGGTAGGAATTTTGACATGTTGAAAAGTACAAGTCATTACAAAAAAAGGGCATGAGAAAATTTGAAATCCGTATGACAATGGTTATTTGTGTTGCCGTATAAATCTTTGGTTTTATTTTTAAAATATTATTCGGTTGTTTTCTCTTCATTTTGATAAATCTGAGAAATTAAAAAAAATTTTCAAAGTTTGATAGACATTCACCTTCACTATACCGATGGCCTGCGTGAGATTTATAAATGTTGACTCGAACACTACTGTATAGAATATAGTTCTTGTAACGTGTCGCTGATGCTTTTGTAAATGGGGATGAACAAACGTCGTAATCAAGAAGGCATGAATTGGTTATGTCATATCAAAATCTCTTCTAAGATAAAATCATCAACCGAAATTAACCTGTAAGTCATATAAGTAAAACATATATTTATTGAACAAGTTTTAGAAAATATGAGTGTACCGAACCGGGGAAGAAGATAAAGAAAATTCACTTAAACACGACTGTCTTAAGCCATCTGAAGATGAAATAGGCATGAGTAAGTTGATTTTATACTAACTTCAATGCGAAATAAACCCACCTCACAGAAATATGTGCAGCCGACCTGCCTTGGGACACAGCAGATTCGTACTCCTGTCGTGCTTCCTCTTTCCTCTTCACATCTCCAACCCACGTGTGGTTACCCACAGTCCTAACATATATGATATCATCTATATATATAGAAAGGTATTATGGGCATTTAGTATGCATAATATGTAATATCATGTTACCTAAAAAAAGAAAGATTAACCATCATATACAATAACTATATATAAATCTTGGCTGTTAGAAAATGAATAAAATCATTCTGCAAAACGATTTAATTTTGTCTGTCCCAGTTTATTTTATCTAGTTTCATTTATGTTTTCCATATAAAACATTTAGAATAATTACATGAAAAAAATTACGAGGTGGATTATGATACCATTCGAGGGTTTAAATATTTTTATCAATGCTGTATACTATCTTAATACTGATGACATTCACATTATTGTTCCTGGCAACATAGGGTTGCATAAGGTATCAGTAATGGTTCGCGATCTAAACATGTAAAACAGAAATAATTTGATGACGTAATCTCATAGGTATACTGTCACATTTAGTTACATCGACAAGTCTTATAGCTTCAACGAAATGGAATGAATAAACGGGAATTGATATCAAAATGCTAACATCACATGGTATTAACAACACGTTTTATACACTTACAGAGTGAAGTTCGTGATGAAAGCTTCATTGGGAAGAGTGACTTTGAATGTCGTCTGATGTGCCTGTAGGTCAGGGTTCGCAATCTTACTTGTCACTACAGTCGTAGCAAATCTGTACCGGATATCAGACTTGATATGCAAGTAATAGACTTTTGGCGCCATGGTAAGATCGTTAGGTTGTTGCCCGGATACCAACTGTAAAACGTTGCATAGAGATTGAAATTACTGAAAAAACTATTGATTGCAGACTCACTGTGTTATTGTTTATTCACGACATTCATATTTGTAATCTTCTATATAGCCCTCTTGGCGATGTTTTTTCGTCATGGATTGTTTCCACTATACATACATTTTCGTATACCACCATTGTTTGGCTTTAGTTTGTTGCTCGCCTTGAAATAAAGAGATTTACCTTCATATATTTTTCCCAAAAATTAAAGAAACAGATTTAGAAAACTACAATTCCTTGGTGTTGTTATATAGATGTTGGTGTCAAACCACTATGCAATAATTTGCTGTCCTTTTGTGTATTCAGATGCGATGAAAATGTGTTTTTTCACAACATAAGATTGAAGGATATTCTTCATTACGGCAATGCTAGTCTATAAAGCAGTATAAAAATAATTCAAGTCATTTAATTACTGTCTGCTTTCTTCAACTGATACTTAGGAGTTTTCAATAATCAATTCACGTGTTATGTTCTTATAGCAACCTAATTCGTTATTGATGTAAACAGGAGAGCTAGTTGTGGTGTCGTGAATAATTTACATCTTTTATGGTCTACATGGACTTATTCTATACGTTTCCACATCATAATCAGGCATAGAAAAATTACAAGCAAATTGTGGAAAGGAAGAAAATGAGTTTGGGGAGATTTAATCAACAGTTGTTTTACATTATGGTGGAATGTATGCCTGGAAATTCATCAATGTTGGTGCAATATTAATCTTACGACTAGCTCATTTTCTTCTGACATTTCACACCGTTACTTTATTAAGCCTATAAGCATCTGTTGAATTCGTATGTGTTTAAATAAAGGAGAAAAAAAAAACAAGAAACAAAAAACAAAAAAAACAAAAAAACAAAACAAAAAAAAACAAAAAAAACATAAAGACATGACAAATCATAAACAAATATAAACTTAATGATAAAGTTACATTTCTTTATTTATATAGCTCAGATAAAGAATGAATAAAGTGAACTAAGACATTTTTATATACATGTAGAACACTTTATACTTATGGATCCAATATTAACATATGGAATCATGGAGTAACTATGTGATCGTATTATCTGTGACAACAGGGAAGAAGGGTCGCAGAGTAACTATGTGATCGTATTAGATGTGACCACAGAGAAGAAAAAACCATGTTTATGGTACATAATATATAATATAACATATTGAGTCGAATTCTAAAACGTAAAGAAATGAAAAAGAGTCGGAAACAGCTATAAATGATTAATTGCAACCATTCCTTGACGGTTTCTTCATTTCATTATGTTTACTATCACCACCTATACCACTGTCTGTATAATGATTTAATTAATATATATTAGAAGTCATTCCTGTTTACATTTGTTGATTCAATGAAGGCGGTATTGCGTATTGAACTGATACTTATGAAATACCATGTATAGGTGCTTTTGAATGAACTGTCCATTACAATTAATCTGGTTATATTTGAAATGTCATTATTTGAGGCTTTTCACTAAACACATTATTTACAAAAGAGTATATTGTTTTTTTCAATTTGCTATATATTGATTAGTGATTCACTACAAATATAATTTTTCGTAAAAGTATATATAAATGACTCTATCATTAAATGTTCTCATATCAAACTACTTACTACTTGTTCGCTCAGCAAGGCGCCCATAACCGCCATCACAAGATTTACAGGAGTAAACCACTCTATATGCATCTTGACTCTTTCTGGTGTGGAAAGACGAGTTCTAAACATTTATACCCTGCAGCGGCGTATGTAGTTTTCAATTACACTGCGCGGAAAACCCACGCAAAAAGCCCCAGGAAAACCCACAGATGATTTGTGTGTAAACAAACCTTAATGACCTTGAGACCGAACGCAGCTTCAGTAGTCGCTAGAGAGGTGAACGATGAGTCAACGGGAAAACCACCAATCAACGCCCTCTACCTGTTTCTCAAGGAACTATTTGACCTTTCGTATCGCTCAGGATGCACAAATCCACTGACATCCTGAATATGTTAACAAATTAAAGTTGTTTATGTCTGTTTTGAGGATGAACGTGTTTTGAATTTAGATTTTCTTAAAAGAGAATTAACATCATGTGAGTGAGTTATTCTTAGTACTGCACGCCAGCATTCAGCCTCTGCTTGGTTTTCGAGTTTGCGATTGGAAAGGTTTTATTTGTACATGTATTGATCACGGTTAACAGTTTAAAGTCCAACCTTTGCCTATGAAATGTGTTGGAAAAATGGATAGGATATAATGGCAGTCACTTTACATACTGACGTAAGAAAGACTGCTTAGTTTAAAATGGTAATATTTCAAAAGAACAAATTCACAGAGATAATGCATAACAATTTTCAATGAATGATATCACAACAACGACATGTAATTTATAAAGTTTCAATACCAATCTGAAATGCTTATAAGACTACAATGCAATGGTGGAATATAGCATGCCAAAGATACATGCAACTGTTTTTAATGGCTTTGTCAAACTAACACAAGCAAAACAACCGATATCTAATATGAAAATATAAAGACAGAAATATATAAAAATACAGTTTGAAATATTAACTCACAAAGTTATCCATTAAATAATTTGATTGCTATGTCTGTATTTTCGTAATATTTCTATGGCTCCAATGCATTACCAAGGTTTTAATAGTTGCCCTGACCTAACTGTATCTTTACAAGAGGCCAATATGTTTTTACGTTCCGAGTAAAAAAAATATTCTCTTTATATGTTTTCAAGAGCAGCATCACCCGATAAGTTTAATGCCTTATTAAAGTCAGTTATGCAAGAATTCATTGAAAATAACATTACAAAAGACACATGTTTGACATTTCCAATTCCATACAAGAGTTCTATTAATCAGGCCATTGAAATATGAAATGCTTTGTATTTAAAAAGGTAACTAGATTTTAGAATGTACCTGGACCTTCAGAATAAAATACAGTTCGGGCGATGTTTTATTTCTTTTATTGCAGAGTCATACTCAGGTCATGTTGGTATAACTTTCACGACAGTTGACCTTAAGAATTGAATCCTCTAACTAAAATTTTACCATGATGTAAATGTTATGTTCAGATATATATATTTATATACGTAAGCTAAGTAAGGACATTGCATAATTCTCTTACTGCTATTTAGTGTATGAAACTGGATTCGAACTTGTTAATTTATCAGTAGGTACTTTTATATTAACTTTAGACACATCTATGTAAGGCCCCTTCGATGAATATAACTGAACTAACTTTTCCCCGAAAAAAACATACTGGAAAAACACATGAATCGTGTTTTGAATCCTTTGATGTTGATGTAACACGAGCCTATTTGCGATGCAAACATCCGCGTACAGTTTGAAAGTCGGTCGCTGGAGCTTCTCAGAGGGAGGGGTATCTTTGTGTGTTTCTCCAGGATTTAAAGGTCCGGTTAGAAGAACACCCAGTGGAACCACTAGCAAATTTACAATTTTAGTAAGTTATTTATGTTTCCCTACAGACGTAACTTTTGAAGTATTTTTTTCATTTTAAGAGAAGAAACTATTTATGTTTGGAAGAGATGTTATGATTATCAATACACGGTCCATGTCTCCTGTGGTAACGCCCAGTAATGTAGTTATATACACCGAATGACTTTTCATGTTATCGTCGTAAATAGACATCTGTTATAATCATTAATCTTGCAAATCTAATAACAAGTTTTAACTCTTATGACTTAATTATAACAGTAGATGATGTGAGGAACAAGGACTTACAGTAAGACTTAACATGTTTTGTGGTTATTTAAGCATACATGCAATCAAGATATGTTTTATTCTGTATAGATTTATAAAACCCTTCTCAGCAAGTTGTAAGCTGGTATAACTATAGAATAAAAGAATTATATTAAACTACTGTGGACAATTGTGCGTCCACACTAGCTATCTTCCCCAAACACCCTACTTACTCATGTACAATTCCATCATTTTCTTCAAGTAGAGCCGAAAGCAGTATTTGTTATCAGTTTAAAAGACTTAATCTAGAATTACGGTTGACGTAAGGGTTAAATCATTATCTATAACTCTAAACGATCATAAAAACATGATGGTGGATTAAATTGATATATCCAAACAGTTCACGTTACAATGAACTCATTTCAATGTTAAACATATGTTTTACATTTGTGTAGTCATGGAGACGAGATTTAGAAGTGGGACATAGGCTGAGAAACATAAAGTATACAGTTATCAAAATATTTTAATCCGGATTTGTGACATCGTTGATGGTTGCTGGCTCAATGTTGCGTTGTATCATTAGTTCATATACAGCTTAAATAACAGTGATTGCTGAGAATCATTTTGTTAAGCAGGCTAGTGCTATTTCAACATGTATTTATGAACGTAATGACGTCCTCATTATCGAGCTATCGAAATCATTACATGTCTTCCTTTCTGAACGAATATATATACTGAGACACCGAGATATATCTTTACAAAACTTCATTTTGCCGATAATGATTTCAAAACATTTTTTGTTAAATTTTCTTTCATTAAACCCCCCCCCCCCCCCCCCCCCCCCCCAAAAAAAAAAAAACCCTACTCCTGTAATCGCAAGTAATGCTAACTGAAGTAGGATATAATCCTTCTCAACAGCAAAGCCTATCTACACTACAGGGAGATAACTGACATCTGATGTATGTACTTTAGACCACAGAGGCAGTCATGAAAGGAAAACCAATGGCATACTCCAGCAGACGACACTAAACAATAGATAGCTATATTAATGGATATTAATGGAAGAGCCATTTTGGATTTTGGAAAATAAATTTCTCAAAGAAATCTTGATATGGTCATCCATAGTCACACCACGTTTCATTTCAATCTGATCTTTTTGAGTTATAGCCTGATACAATTTAACCATTCAGAGGTCGCCATATTTCATGACCGATCGAAAAACGAGTAGCAGATAGCACAACTGCACATAGTCTTCCTTTACGCTCATGCAAAGATTCGCTTGAATCTGACATGCGGTTATCGAGAAATGTGTCGAACAAAGCGCTCTGGAATAAGAATAAACAACATCGGAGTAAACACAAGACCATTTTGTAAAGGGATATTGATTTAATTTCATTTCAAGCAATCAATCAACATGCACTAACGCCAACAAATATTATACATGTAAATTGTCAACAATACAGAATATAACTGTATAAATGTAATAAGCGAATTTGCAATAACGAATGTCAAGGACGAGAGTGATAATGTCAGCTGCCTTATATAGATATGAAACAACAAGCATTGTGAATAATATTAATGAAAGGAATGAAATGAAGGACAGACGTAACTGTCTGTATGTATGTACATATATAGTAAAATTATAATTGTAAGGCAATGACAATTTGTGATGAATAATTCTATTAAACTTGACACAAGCATTAACCTTCTGGATGGTACAACCTTAAATTCGATGTTACAAGATAGATAAAACAAGACATTATGAAATGGCCTGATATTGTAAACAGTGTAACATACCTTAATTCACTTGGATTTCTTAACAACCATTCACTGTATCGTTTTGTGTTTCATTATTTTCCTATAGTAATTTTAAAGGCGAACTTATGATACTGACGAAACCATTTCCACAGCAAAAGGCAACGGTAAGATATCTTTATACACATTTGATGACTGTATAATTAAAGGAAACGTGTCAATATGCCATATTTTGCAATATCTTTCTGAACATTCCACACTTAAAGAAATAAAATCAAATCATCTTTAGAAATTCTGAGAAATTCAATAAGTGCTTATATATTTTTTTCTGAATTTTCAAGAACCACTTTAAGAGGACATGTTGGTCGTTAGAGTAAAAATGAAAATAAGTTTGTGCTTTGAAAGGGAAGCTAAATATATACGCTTATTGTTTTTGAAGTGAAATTAACACCGTGTAAAAATTAATGATTTCATAAGTTTATGAAACGCCTATCGGGAATACATTTCGTAGGATAAGGTATCACACAGATATAAGCTAACAGACGATAGGTTTTTCCAAAACTGAGCATTAATATCACAAGGCTGGATGTAATGTTAAAAAAAATATAGTAGATCGGACAACACAGCACTTTGTGAAACTAGCAATAAGTATTAAGACACAATAACATTACACAGTTGGCTGTAAAGCCCAAGGAAGATTCGATCGAACTATCCAGCAATTCATTACAGTACTTAACTCCACCGGTATCATCATTTGACGAGTACTACTTAACTTTTGGGCAAGCATTGAAAGATTTTTAATATTACGATTTGGAGACATATTGAGATTCAGACTGTCCTTGATTTCGCCGCTTATTGGAAGAGCTGAAAAGAAATTAATGAATATATTAGAGAGTTTGAAGTATTAGGAAAGTAATTTCATTATTAATGCAGAATACAATTAGGTGTTGGTGCTAAAAACTGATCTATTACGAAGCGCTGAATGTAAATATTATCCAGGAAAATACTAATTACAACGGGTAAGTAGGAAGCATCCAGACGAATTTGTTGTTTGTAAATAGGATATCTAATTGATTTTGGATAGGATTATGTTGATATGTTGGCATTCTTTTGTTTGTTTTTTGTTTGTTTGTTTTTTTGTTTGTCTGTTGTTTTTGTCATATAATTACGATTTGATAGTTCCAAATAGTGACATTCACAATGGTTACAACGCATTTAGTGATAGCAAATTCAGATGGAACATGCATGTAATTTTACACGTTACTTATAAGCTACTATAATACAAATCAGTTGCACACTGTTTCATGTACCTACAATGTATGAAACATATATCTTGATACCAGACAACATATGTTATTGTCCTGATCCATGTTAACTTGAAGTCGATTTCAGACAAGCAGGTAATTTGCATAAAATATTACAGGATTGAAATAATAACAATAGAAGGATGACTATTAATGGAATGTACCGTAGTGTTGTAACTCCTTAAATTTGTGGCTATTGACCTAAATAATTCACACTGTGAATTACACGTTGTATTGATGCCAGTATCGAATGCTTTATCAGGACATTAAAAACAACTAAAGATATAAAACAAAACTAATGGGACTGATTACATTGTAGTTACGTGATATTTGCTGTACTCTATACAGAACATTATCACTTACCTAAAGATCCGTCAATGTTACGAGACACATTTTCGGTGAAATTAAATGCTACAAGGAGCTTGTTGTTGTTCAGTGACGTCACTTCGAGTTTGACTCCTGACCCATGGCGTCCTTGCACGTAGGTCGATAATGTGTTGGAAGTCCAATCCCGTCTTACTCCGTTCTCAACGAAGTGTGTTGGGAATAACTTGGTAACTGTCTGCGCACTAATTATTACGTTTGTAATCCGAGTTGTTCCATCAAGAGAATGGGCAAACTTGGCACTCACAAACGTTCCTGAAATATGATTAAGTAAATTAAATACTAGAATGATAATGACTTAGTAGCAAGACATGTATTAAGTTTACACTGATACAAACTTTCATGTGACAGGTTATTTGCAATTTCATATTGTTTATTAATTTTGTACTACATATGGTTGTTGATGAAAAGAAATTCTGTGAATAACTTATTTTAATCCAAACAACAATAATCGATAAGAAGGGTATTTTTGGTATAATTTGTTTTTGTTATTGTTTAACATTTTATTAACATCTATGGTTATTTTTCATATACTTTTATATTTTTTTTTATATGAGAAAAAAATAATATAATTACCCGAGTCTAGATCACGAAATAGTGTGTACCGCTTTGTGTCATCCGCCTGATCGGGGTTCTTTAAGCACAACGGTAAAGTGACGCCTTTGACCCCCACCATAGTGTAGCCTGCAAAAAGACAATTGTGGTTCTTAAAGGATCAAAGTTAACTAACATTGTGATTTACATTAGCTACGTGTTATTAGATAAACAAGTACTTTTGTGAATGAAGCCATTTTAAGGCATGTTATCAAGATTAACGTTACAATGATATATACTGCTCGTACTTGAGTTAAGCAAACATTCTATGTATACTATTTATAAATAATACAAAGAACGAAACACACACCAATATGGAAATTTATCGCAGAGTAATGTTTGACTGAAACCAAAAGCTGATAGATGCAGGGGAAATAACTCTGGTTCAGGTATTTGAAAAAAGTAAAGACTTTCCAGTTCACATACATTTGATAAATAAACAGTTATTGGAAACAGAAATAAGCGCAAATAAGCAACATAAGTTGATATGATATATAACTTCAAACAACATGCCTAACCTGAAATGAAAGCGTTAATGCTTAATTCGACGTGTTGTTTAAAATCATTTTAACATATTTCACAGACACTGTGACTTTAACCTATATACCTTTGTTTATGAATATATATGATATATATATTCGTATATATATCACAGTAGCTTCTACTTACTTTACTTTATACATATTTAATGGATAAATGGTTTAATGAATATTTTAAATGTTAGTAAAGAAAATACACAACTCTTTCACTTAATCAGGTTTGTTAATATAAGGGAAACGGAATATTTTTACATCATTTCAAAATATTTAACAAATCAAAAGATGAGGATAATTTTTTAATGACTACTATGTAAGATGGTAACGCTTTAAAACGCTTTTAAAATTTAAATTCTAGAACACTGATATTCTTTTTTCCGTAATTTTGCATTAACCGTTCATATTTAATTTATTTTGTAACTTACCGGAAGTACTTTCATGACGCTGAATAGTTGACATCATATTGTTCGTATTGCCTGATTGTTTAACAGCCATGGTGTTGGTAGGAATGCCTAATGACATGACTCCTCCTGAGTCCACGGTTGGTACCTTACCCAAACCAGCAGAAACGCTAGCACTACCACCTAACTGAGCTCCAAGAGAGGAGCCACTATTTGTAGCATCAAATGAATTAAGTGGGATTCTTGAGGGGGCACCTGCCATTTTCACCTTGCTAAATAATGAAGATCTTCGTGGGGATTTCATCCTTCTGCGAAATGCTAAATATATATAAATAATATTAAAGTGTTTATCAAAAATGACAAACTTGTATGTTAATTCTTTAACACGATATAAATTGGGATAAAGATTCTGTAGACACGTTAGTATATATGGATCCATTCCCATATTTTTTTTTATTCCACAAGATTATCTAAAAAGCAGCCGGTATTCTTGAATTCTGTAGTAAGAAAGTATTTGATTCTCATCTACCAACGCTATCCGTTAATTTCGACTAGTCTGAATATTTAACTTACAATTTCGTAACATTGGTGGTGAGGAACGAGCTCGTGGAGCTGGTGGTCCTAAGGCCGCGGCAAAACTTTGGACACTGGAACTATGAAACGGTTTCGGGACCGGTTCTAAGGAAATGAACAATGTATTATAGTATTAAATGCACATGTTTAAACGGCATTCCAAACTAAATAGCATGTCACATGTGTTACGTATATTAAATACAAAAGTAAAGATTTCAATGTTTATATCGGGTAATGTCTGGCAGTCACACCACAATTCACATATAAAATATTTCTTTTAAGACCTTTTATAAAACTTCAACAAAAGCAAAAGAAACGATTTGAAGTGCATGCATAAAAAGTAACTTCATGGCCAGGAATATCAAGAGGAAAGAATCAATTTTGTGTTCGACAGAATAAAATATTGAAAAATTGTATCATCTACATTAAAACGAGGCCAGAAAGTCATTTTATTTTACATAACTAGTAATTTCAGAGCATGCAAAAATACAGTTGTCTATATCTATGACACTTAATAATTCCCATAAATTACATACATAGATTAATTTGGTCCATTGTCGTTATAAGAGCTTTAAAACAAAACAATATATGCTCAACTATGTGTTTCATGATGTTAGGTACTAGATTTGTAAATAACTTATGACGAATATTACCAGGGCTGTCTGGTAGAAGGTCCACTGGAGAAGACTTTAAATTGTCCGGCAAAGACACTACCATGGATGTATATGGAGTCACAAAGTTATACTGAAAGGTAAAAAAACAAACATATTCTGTGATCAATGTGGATCCCACGGTGTACTCTTTAACATTAAGTCGATACCGATATCAACATTATCGTTAAGGCATTATAACATGAAATTTGACCAAAATCCTGTTGTTATAGCAACACGTTGATATCGTATTTGATAACAATAATAACAACTAGGGTATATCAGAGTGACATGCCTTTTGGCTTATTGCATTTATGATAATTTATGATGTGAACATTTTCCAAGTTCATTACCTTCAACGCCATAGTAGTTATATTTTGTTTTAACTCATCCTTTTCTGTCTCGCTAGTTGAAGCATCGATTTGCTGTAGCCATTGTTTAATTGTAAGGTAAGCCCATATTTTTTCTGTTATGGCAAAGATATCAGAATTGAGTGTAAAATTTGGCTGTACCACTCCGTCTACAGGAACGTCAAGACTGACAAATCCGTTAGAATCGGTAGCCGTGACGTTCGGTTGGATGTCATATGTTACTTCATTTGTCAGCATACCGGCTACTATAACCTCAGATCCTTGGAACATGTAGGGAACTACCTTCTTTGTCAATGTGTTTTCGTCTACAGCACCTGGCAGGTATTTAAATGTAACGTTTTGTAAGAGCACTGCAGAAATTTCGGAGTAGAAGTCTGAGATTTGAAGGGCAGCATCTGAGTCTTCGTAGATTTTACGTCCAAAACCATTATTTTGAGCAGCCAGTTTTTTTATAAACTTGTAATCTGCTCCTTGACCAAACGCAAGAGCAAAAATTGGAACTTTATCCTCGTTGAATTTAATCACAGTCTTAAGTATTTTTTCTGGATTTCTTTGTCCTACTGTCGGCTCCCCATCAGTAAGAAATATAAGGACCGGAGCCCTTGTCTTGTCCTTCCTTTCGTCTAGTAACGCAACACCTCTTCTTAGAGCACCTTCAATGTTTGTACCTGGTGAGTAATAGTAAAAGAGATTTAGACGTTTGCTTATCGATAACATATAAATTGTCTACACTGAGCATTACTTCATTTATTTCATCCTGATAAAATTTGTTTGAATCACAAAACAAACATCTTCATTTAGCAACAGGAGATAAAGCCCGAAAATAACTGGAAAATTTGATAATGGTTTTATGTATGTTTTTATATCAAAATTATTTACAACAGTGTACATACCTCCATTTGCATCAGTTCGTTTGACATAAAGAGCTGCCCGTTCAATATTGGCGGCCGTTGCCGGAATAAGTTTTTTCGCACCCTCCCATGGATGAATCCGTGAACTGAACGTTAAAATGTTTAGTCTATCCTCGCCAGGTATTTGTGACAAAATGGTGGACATGGCTTGTTTCAACTGCTCCATCTTTCTCCCTCTCATAGATCCACTTTTATCCAGTATGAAAACAACATCCTTCGGCTTTGGAGGAATACCACTCGGAGCAAAGAAGTGAACAAAGTATCCATTCACCATCTGGTTAATATAAGAAAATGTACAAGTAAGTTAAAATTCCTAGAAAAAGAAGCAACCCACCTTTTTATGTTATATAATAATGAGCACGTTTTCTATCATACTTTCTCTTACAAAAATTACATCAAGGGTAAAATCAATACCATAATGTTGACACATTTAGCAACTAGACTTTTGTAAAGCCGATTGCATTTTAATGTAATAAATTAGCTTTGTATTTACAGTAGGCATACCCCATTGTGTATGACATAAAAATCCGATGAAAAAAGTCGGTCTCTTTGACGATTTTGTGGGAATTTTTAAATTCCATATATGGCAAATGACCTTTGTATCGATCGAGATTTATCAATATTTATCTTGATAAACTAGATGAAGCATTCTTTTATATTTCCTTTATTTATAAATCTGCATTCATTGAATATATCTGATTTTTGTCGGTAAATATCCATAAATTTGAATTATGGGTACACTTTTAATCAAAATATATACACAAGTACATGATTTCTTTGATGTAATGTACGGGAATATAAACATTCGTTGAGAATCAAGATCATTTGAAATTCTGATAAAAATGTGTATGTTGCAATCGTTTTCGATATTGGTGGTTTGTGTAAATAACAGATCGTACCACAGGTCACATATATTAAAACTTTGATTGTACCAGAACTCACCAATAGATCGCCGCCATCATAGTTCCTTTCTACGTCATATTTTACTTTAAACTGACAATCCAAACCATCCGGACCACCTTGAGCTGTCTGTATGTTCAGTGTTGGTACAAATAAGATGTTAGCACGCAATGGTGATGGCCTTGTTATGGCTATAGCTTCATCAGCCGCTATGGAAACAGATACGTATAATTATTGTCAAATACATTAATAATTTAGACTGATTTTGATAAAAATGAAACAAATCTATTATGATGATGATAACTTCTATTTTTCCAAAAATAAATTTTGACATCATACCAAGTAAATATACTTCGATGTAACATACATTCCAAAACCGCGGCTTATCTGATATTATCATATCACATATATTTAGCGCTATCTTTTGTAATGTAGAATTCTTCAAAATCTTTCTTGTCACAAGAGAATTGAATGTGTGATTGTTTCTGAAACAGTTAGCATTACTATCCTAAGTTACCTTTCTGGTCTTTTATTGTAAACAAGCTACTCTTGATAGGAGGAATTCTGAGCTTAGAAATATTTCTCGATTCTTCAATATCCACTTCGATTCGCAGATCCGCAACAGGTTCCCCTGGCTTCACATAAATCACGTGATTGTAGGCTCCCAACTTCCGCTGCAGTAATTCCTGGTAACGTAGTTCAAAGGTCACAATTTCTTCTGCGGCAACGTTGATTTGAATATTGAAGGTATTCGTTTCCCGTGGTCTGTTGAATGTGTAAAAAGTCAGAAAAGCCATGATGAATCGACAAATAAACACTGGACATGTTACTTTACTAACCACAGTAATGCATTTCTTCAATTATGCTTATAATTAAGAATTATCTTCTCTCAAATGATGAGGAATTGGTTTCACCCTCATCAGCTATCGAAGGAACTATAGACCTAATGGTTCCACAGTTTCTAGACAGAACAACTATACTACTACTGTTGACAACTTTGGTATGTTTCATCTCAGTCTGATAGATTCTGATGTACATTTTACAGACCTACTCTGAATTAATAAATGAAGCGATAACCATACATTGAAGTGTTGTTTTATGAACATTATTTTATCACTGAACCACAAAGTGATATATATCTATCACATTGCGATACTCTCGTCACGCTTCCTGCCAATTCTGCAGTTAACTTACTTGACAGAAATGTGAGCCGCTGATTTCCCTAGGCTTTTGTCCTTTTCATACACCTCCTTTGCAGTTTCCTTTGTTGTGACGTTACCGACATAGGTTTCGTTGCCAACAGTTCTTTAAAAGAAAAAAATATACACAAGTTCATAATAATGAGGAAAAGGAATTGTCCGTTTTTGCTACGGTGTCCACTTCCGTGATAGGTAAACCATACTGACTGTTTAAGTTCGTCAGAGTCGGGATACTGTGTAAACACGTTTCTTCAGAGGTCAAATCAGACACATAAAACATCCGAATACAACATCGGCAAACATTGATACTTACTTAAACATTTTTTCTCAAATACATGATGCTCCTTACTTTCGGAACAAGGATCTGCTGTCAATCATAATTTTATCCCAGAACGACGATAAAGTAAATGGAACAATTATGAAATTGAAATTTCGATGCTGTACATTAATAATACACATAACATTTTTAATATCCAGAAATAGTACCAGTGCTAAATAAAACAGTTATAATACCGTATATTAATAAAGAAAATATTAACATACACATGACTTACAATGTGAAGTTAGCAATGAACGCCTCGTTAGGAAGTGTGACGTCAAACGTTGATTCATGTGAGATGACGTCGGGGTTAACCACTTTGCTCGTTACGAGAGTCGTAGCAAATCTGTATTTGATGTCAGACTTGACGTGAAGGTAGAAGATTCTCGGTTTCTATAGAAAGAAATAGAGTAGGAATGATATAGATGGTCAACAATAAAAATGGCGGCAGTTGCTTTATAATAACTATGCTTTCATTAAGAAGCAATTCCAGCGTCATACGATAGCGATTTGAGGGGATGGATAAACTGCATAAAACATGTCAATGGTTAAATTAGATGTATGTAATATCGTACATAAAATAAAGTTCTTTTCGGAAACTTTTCAGGATGTTTTATGTTCAACTTACGTCAAACGATCATTGTAATTGCATTTAAATGTGGTTTTGTGATTTTTTATAAAATAGCTAATGACGACAGTTTAAAGACCATAGCGTTATTTAAAGTACATCTTGCAGGAAACCTTGACTGTCAACAATTGATGCGGAAAAAATAAGTTTAAGAGTAAATCAGAATAAGATTATAACAAAAAGAAAATCAAGAATACTTCAAGTATATTATAAAAAATGTTTTTCAATGTTAAAATATGCTTTCCTGATATGAATCAGTGTTTGCATTATTCAATAAAAACTCAATTTTGTTTCATAAGTTAAACGTCCGTTGATTAACAGGAAAGGTAAATTTTGACGTCCATATGAGAGATAAAAGCTGTCATCCTATGATTTACAGCTTACCATACTAAGGCTAGAGATGACGTCAATGTCTTGTGTATACAGACGTTAAGTACATATCTTAGTTATAATATGCGTATGCTGCGTATGTAAATCGCAGTTATTATCTAATCTAAAATACATTTCTTCTGTTAATTAATGTTGTGTGGATTCAGGACATATCTTGTCAGGCATTTTATTTTGAGCTGAAGTTGTGCATGTATGTTTGAACTTGTATAGGAATAGCATCAACTAACAAACTGAGAAGTAGGTCACTGTAGATTACAGTTGTCTCCAAGTGAAATGATACACAATGTACATTTTAACATGTTTATAAAAAACAAACAGGCTATGGTCTCAATTTAAAAAAAAACAAACACGGCAACCATTACTGTGGAAAAAACTGTTAATAATCAACAGATGGTATAAATGTATTAATAGAACCAGGACAATGTTTCTCAATATTGATTCTGCATACATGTATACAGTTTCATGCAAGGCGTTCTATAATATCTTACCTTAGTTTGGGCATCAAGTCTGCTGAAAACCATCCCCCATATCAGGAAGACGAAGAAAAGACGCATTTTTCTATATATTTAAGACCGTACTTGTGCTGGTAATGTCTATGCTCACTCTGTCTGGATTGATGACATTTCTGTATATATATACACCACAGGTAAGGGATTCCCAGTATACACAACTACTTGTATCCTTACTTGGAAAACAACTATGACGTAAGACTGGTCACGAAATTATGCAAATATTTGCTGTTTTCTACCAAAACAATTGAACATGATTTGTTTGTTTAGTTTTTAAAAAGGATGTAAGTTTATATATATTTTTTAAATGTCAGGTGAGAATTACCTGTCATTAATCAATGGTTTGTGTTTCTATGCAGTGTAATCTCATAGGAATGCAAGGTTATACTTTATACAACCATAGATCCTGAAACAGTTATAATTATTTCATGTTTATAATTTATAGATTTATTTATATATTTATTGATTTATAATAAACTTGGTAAGAACCGTAACTAACCTTTATTAACATTTATAATCATATGTCAGTTATTTCATCAACAATTGTTTATTGCGCTTTAAGCATGCTGTAGTCTCAGCACGATCTGTATATATATATATATATATATATATAGAATGCTGTAGTTCGTAATAAATGAGATCTAATTTATTCAAACACAATTAAGCTTCTTACGTAAATCAACTACTTTGTTGTTTCATGTCTACGTCTATTTCATGATCGTTACCACACGTAACATGCACCGACACATTTTTTCGATAAATATTTTGCTCTTTAATCATGGCTTAGACGATAATCCCCAATGACGTAACGACCAACTTAACCTTGACCTTGAAAATAGTGTATTATTTTCCTACTGGTTAATATTTTGATTAATGTGAGTGTGACGATTGGGACATCACGACTTCTACCACCTACAGTGTAGATATATTATAGTTCTGGTACGATCGTCACGATTTTTGTAATGAAAGTAAACAACGCATTTAAATAATAGATTTTAAGGAGATGAAAATTGACGAATGATAAGTTATACAATCGCATTTTCGATCTATTGGAAAAACATGGACGCTTTTGATTGTGCACATATTCATTTAATGTGAGGTTATGAAAATCTTAAATTTCAAGCATTTAGATTTTAAGTAGGATTACAAGGCTGATAGTGTAAGAGGACAATAAAAAAAGTAAATAGCCTCTTTATGGTAGATTTTTGATTTTTCAAATAAGCATTCACATATCGACCTTTTTCTCTTTGTTTCGGTTAAAATTATGGTTTTGATTTTCATCTATGGTTCTATTCGTATTCATTTGATTCTGTAGAAAATCATGGTCTGTAAACTGCTGTCCAGGCGTTAGTTGTAAGTTAGTCTACAGGGTGGGAGCGAGGAAACGCAAAATTCCTTTATATATCTAACGGCATACTGTAGTTTTGTTTACTACTAACCAAAAACAAAATTGATAGTTACCAATGTAATTATTTTATCACCGACGAAGGATTTTTTTTTTGCATTTTTGACAAAACGTTTTTGGTTGGATAAAATTAGTCATTAGTAACTCAAAATGGAGAAATTAAGATATGAGTGAAGTTTTTGTCTGAGACACATCTCCTTCAAGCGTTCAAAACACATACTATAAGGCCGTTGGCGGGCATACTGTCATCTACAGTTTAATTTCAAGGTCTTTTGTACTCATATTATGTCTCAAATGGGGTTTTATTCAGGATTTATATTTTAAAAATAATGTTAAATGATCTCCGTATCCTCGATTGAGAGCAACTTTAAGACTCACTAAAAAAACAGATATGTTTATCTCGTAAATGCGATGTAATAATTCCTTTCTACTCACGTAGAAATGTTAATAAGTGATCTACGTTAACTATATCATATTTAGATAGTTTCTTTAAGTTACTACGGTGTTTCGTAATAATAAAATACGTTTCATTAATAAGCGATCACGATATGTTATTTATTTCTTATACAGTATAATAAATACAGGCCATATATGTAGGTATAAATATATATACATATGGCGATATGGTCTAATGAAAATTTTTTTTATAAGTATACATGAGCGAGAGTTAAGCTAAATGATATCTCAGTGTCACATGTCACTAACAGTTTATGTGACGTTAGACCACAAAGACATTAACAAATAAACATATCTGATGTATATATCTGTCAGCTTCAAGGACAGGTAATCTAACAGGTAACAGGATGGGGTCTGTTTAATATTTCCAAGCTCCTGTGTACACGAGCCCCTCTCATTTCTCTAGTTATTATAAGGAAATCATCTTCATAAAACCTTTATATAATTGTCGAATATTGTTTGGAGATTAAAAAGTGTTTCATCGATTAAGTTGTTATTGATATGTACCTAGTTTTACTTGACTGTAAACTGCACCATACTGCTGTACCGTCCTTCTATGACTCATCATTGATGCTAAGAGCCTAAGTGTTGAAGCCTAATATGCAAACAAAGAAACTGCAAAGAGCAAATATGTGTTTTGTTCATATTTGCCCAAGTTCTATGAAACTTGAGTTTGGATTATGAATATTTTGACAAATTAATGTATTGTAACACAAATTATGACAGGTATCGACTTTATACTATTACTGATAGTATAAGTCTAAATTCACACGGTGCATATTAAGATGTGTGGTTATCACTGTCGAGTTACATTATAATCGAACAGTGATGATATATCTGGTTATCTGCGCTAACAAAGAAGTTATTCTCACATAGAAAATCTTAAAGGTGAATAAGACATTAAAAGTTTTAAAGCTACAAGAATTTCTCTGTGTTTCAGCGGTTTGAACATTTTCCTTGTGGAATGATTTTGCAAATCTAGATATATGCAAAGGTATCAAAATATTGAAAATTACAAGTATTGTCTTATAGCACTCAAAAAACTAGGACATATCATAGTGAGATTATGGATTTTCAATTTCTAGATAGCACTTCAACACCAAAAACATGTTAACGATCTAGCAACACCCTATTGAGAGTGGATGATATTGATGTTTTAATGTCGGTTGATTTCTCTATAATGAAGCCAAATAATGTTAACATGCAATTTAATTGTACATATACTCATTTAGACATGTCAGAAATACTGATACCGTACAATTGCCTTTAGTTACTTGGATTGACTTACATGTGGGTGTTGACGATGAAGCAGAAGACGCTTACTCCTCCGGAACACATCTCTTGAATTTCCTCCTCTGTACGGCCTTAGTCTTAAACAAAATACATCTCTCAAATGTTTTCTGTTGTAGGTCTAGAGTCTCTCAAATGACTCAAATCACTTTTATATCGACTTATTTATTACACTGGTAGTTTGCCTATTGGTTCCGTTGTTAAACAACTTGTTGTCATTTGAGAGCGTGACATTACTTACTTGAATTGACCAAAGTCTACATGGCGGGTGTCGTCGATGAAGCAGAAGACGCTTACTCTTGTGGAACGTCACAGACTATGACAAAGACATTGTCTTTAAATCATTTGACTTGTCAGTCACCAAGTCATATATCGTTGAAAATAACGTAGAAATATTACTTTTGAAAGAAATTTATTTACTATCATTGTCTACTTTAAATAAACAATTCAAAACTCCCAAACGTAGTCAATATTCCTCTTATCCGTATTTTTACCTTAAATTGTCAGAAAAACATAAATAATGTCATGAAGGATAACAATAAACGACAAAACATGGATTTTATGTTTTTATTAAAAATATTAACAACTCATTCAGGACATACTTCACGTCCGATACATAAATATGGTAACAACAATGACGATCATGTACTCGCCTAAACTAGCGCCCGAGCAGACCGATCCAATATACAATGACGTATGCACGTCCGAATCACAATGAAACTCATCTCATAGAGAATTCAACGGTGTAGTACATTGAACTGTCATTCTCAACACTCGTACCAACTATCACCTTCCAGACAGACTCAGTTGCACCTGCATCTTATAACATCGGGTCATTCGGTGCTAACGACACTATTAGAGAATTCAACTTCACAAAGGAGCTATGACAGATATATATGGATATAATATATATATATATAGATATTTAATGTTTATTTCTTAGTTTAATGAATAAGAACTTATTTTCTTTGATATATATATATATATATATATATATATATATATATATATATAACTGAGGGTCCAAATACTACATCAGAATCATAGACAAAAGGTATAATTTGTAAATTACGATGTGAAATATATTCACATTGCCAAGTACAATGTTTACATTGCTTTGTTCAAAACATCAATTTACTATACATCAAACTTTTAGCACGGCGGCGAACAAATTCGTACACATTGTGCAATGTTCAACGCAGTATTCAACATGATAAAACTCCCTTTAAAATAGTTGTAAGGGAATAGTTTCATTTCTGTAATCCCAGTTACAATCAAAGAAGCATGATACGCATATAGATATACATTTAAACCTGATCAAACGGAAGGCGATCAAATAATGATATCCCATACATAGTTGCAATCATATCCTATTCAATGAAAGTGATTCTCATTCATCAATCTATCTCTAATCATCCATATGACGTAATTCTATATGAAGATAAATGCAATCAAACAATACGAGACTTTATCATTTGGCACTTACGGTATGCACGAAACACCTATCTGATACAAACTATTATGATACTATTCTTTGCCTGAAATGTTTGCGAAATCGATTCTATATCAATACTTATATTAAATAACTTTCCTTCCTTCATATAAGAAGGCGAATGTAAGTAATATGTGTCATTCTATCATTATCCGTCTATAAAATAATAGTAAAAATGAGCCGGTCTTTCTATTGCTTTTCAACCATTTACTCTCTCGACCAAATGCAAATTGTACAAAATTTACAAATGTCAAACATTTTTTCTTCATAGAAAATTGTTGCACATTACATTGAAATAACAACCATATAGAACTAAGAAACACATCGCCATATCTCAGTGATGTAAAAGTGCATAAAAGATCACGTGACATTCTACTATATAATTCGTATAATTCACAGTAGTGAGTGACTGACTTTCTGATGAAATAATCTAAATAAGGGCCTATTTATTTAAAGAATGATAACGGTTTTCTACTTTATAGTTGAGGAAATGTCAATTTCGGGTGACATATTATCTGATCGATTATTGAGTCTGATGAAGAAAAATAATTCTACCGATGTTTACAAAAATGATGAATTACGTCATATGTTTAAACGACATTTTCTTAAACCGATTCATCAAAAGTGTAATTCATTACCACAATAATTTTTTTTTTTTTTTCTAATTAAGTAGTCTACAATTCTAACTGGTATGATCCGTTGTCGAATCACCAATAGTTCACTGACAGGTTAGAAGATAAACAGCTTAAGATATTGTTACATTTTGAGATCAATCGGGTTTACTTTATGTATATATACACAATATCTAAAATATACAGAACATCACTAAATGACTAAATGACATGATATTTGTACACCTGTTATGTAATGTGATGAAATGTTACCCGCTTTATGCACGATCTATTAGTTTCTGGCTAACTAATGACTTAGTCAAATACACTGAACAGTGGTGACAGGTTGAATACAAGAAGGTCGGGAATAGATTTGAAACTTTGACACGGTTGGGTCAAACATTATATACTATAAAGTTCCTCGTTACTCGATCTTAATATTTTTTCCAGAATAATCAAATATTACTCATAATTTCAGCTAAAGTATATCATCATTGATAACATATATTCATACAATACGAACTCCTACCATGCGCGTGTAATCAAATCTTGTTTGTTTAAAGTTTGTAATTTCGAACTCAACTACAAAGTTCGAAACATAGACATGTATCTTACTTCTATCTTTGTTGGAAATCAGACTATAAATCAAGTCTGAGTTACTCACGACTGGCTCAAGTCATCATAGAATTAGCATCACGCTCCTGGAAGACACAGTCAGTATCTTGATCTGTCGTTTTACCGACATCACTGAGTATATTCATGGTAAGTAGTTCAATTACTGTGAACACCTTTGTATGCAAACAAAACATAATTCTTCTCCAGATAACGTAATTGCTTCACTTTGATGATTTGTATGTGGAAAAAATGATAATAGATTTATTTTCATTCCAATGTTACAACTATAGCAACAGGATGATCGAGTTTAATTACACTGACTTACGAATAATGCCAATGGCTCACATGGTTTCTCTTAGTAGTACATTGATAATGAAGTATAAAATAGTTGTGCCATCACAAACATGTAAAAGGATTATGTAAACCAGTATCGTCATACTACACAGTGATATATACTTAATGTATGGAATTATTGGCAATTTTCTATAGGCAATAGACTGATTGTGATATTTGAAATCGGTCCTACGTGGTACTGATTACAGATCCATCATCCTTGTGGAATAAAACACCAAGAATATTTTGTTTATCTGAAAATCTGCAGTGGAAAATGAACACCGCTTGATAGTGGTGCTACTGCTTAACTGCCATAACTGACAAATCTGAATGAGGCAATATGAATAAATTGTAAAAAGAATATATTGTTTATGCAATTATGTTTAGATTGGCTGTAATACTGGAGATACGTTTGCCTTGTGTTTGTTTCATCTTCTTTTTGGATAATTGTAGAAAGAGTCCATTGCTTCCTGAAACGTTACTTACATGGTAGACAGGTTCGGTGAAGGTCGAAACCGATCCTCTCTCATAAACATTCCTGTTCATAATTTATCATTATTACTAGTTCTGGGTCAGGAAATGGAGAACAGAACTATCCGCTGATAACAAATAGTGGTAGTATGACGAAAGGAACTGGCGTTTTCTAAAAACGTGTTGCTTCAGTAAAGAACATAACCGACCACTCCAGGCGCATATCTAAGATGATACAGATAAGTCGTAATATTCAGTTTCGGTGTCCTAGTCCAAAACCTTGTAATCAGGGTTGGTGAAAAATATCACAGATTGCTACAAAACTAACCTAAAACAAGGGGAAAAAAATATTAGCATTCGGAAACATGACAAAAGTTGTTATCTTCAAAAGACTACCTTATAATAGAAATCATGTACTTACATACCGATGTATATAATTCATTTTGATAATATTATGTCTAACATGGTAACATCAGACAAATAGATTTAGGAGGAGTATAACTCTTATATGTATATATTATATACATACCTGAAAATGATAGTCCATATCATCCGAATGAATGGTATTGCCACACTGTCTTCATACCCCTGGCAACAGAACAAGAAAAATGAATCAACAAACCCGTAAAATCAGCATTCGAACGACAGGATTATGTACACATGATCCTAGTCATCAAGAAAAAAAACGGAGTGTCTAACACGGTGTTCATTTTCAAATTTACACTTTTGCAGAAAAATAATCCAAATCAAAATTACTACTAACTACGTGTTGTCAAATACACAACTCGGACAGAAATGGTGCGAGTATCATTCAGTGGTATGTTAAATGTAAAGCGATAACGCTCACGTGGTATCCATATTTTAAAAGAATGTCGTTAAGAACAGGATTGTATGTTACAAATATACTGAATAAATACTGTTTGTTTAATTTCTCTTCCAGGACTGTATTCATGACTTGTGAATTTCGTAAAGAAGAGATTATATTAATAACAAATATTTCCCAGAAGAGAGTAGATTTAAGAAGTAAAAAATAATACATTTTCTTTCGAATTCCTTAAAAAGGATATTAAGTCAGCTGCAATTGAGATTATAAACGAAAGAATGAAAAATTCTGAGGTTTTTCTTGAATATCTCCTCCCCCTCCATTTAATTAAATTATGAAAAAAGAAAAAAAGTGACTTCCAAATGTTTTTCCTGTGATGACATTATTGGAAATTAATCCTATCGTGATATATGGCTGAGCGTTAACATGTTGCATTCATAAAGAATATTGATTGTTTCTGAATAAAGATAATACACAAGGTATCTATTTTAAACATTGTTTGAAATATATGACATTATTTTATATTATCCTGTTCAATCCTGCGTAAACACGATGAAGAATATTCAAACATTCGTATTTTAAAATTGTATTTATTTTTCAGTATCAATTTTCAACTATAGATTCAGTTTCTTCTGAAGTAACAGACGAGTTACCGGACGTTACACTATGACATCAAAGACAGCGATTCCAGAAAACATAACCTTTTCAAGTACGTAAACCATGCGATTTTGTATTCCTTGAAATCATGCTATGTGATTCATTCATTATTTAATGTTATTGAAGATGATATAAACAGAAACATCGGATTATGTCAGTATATATAATAAAGAATTTCGATGTCGATTGCATTGTCTCGCAAAAATTCTTGAAATTGAATACTTCTTTATATTAAAATGCATTCTCTTTAATTACATTTATCACTGATATAAAGGTATTATGAACTTAATATACACATCATACAGTTTGCAAATAACGTAATACTGGTGGTGAAACAGATATATCAATACTCATGACATCTGAAATATGCACATATTAGGTATTTTTATTCAACTTTAATGAAGGAGCTCTCTGTGATTATTCAACTTCATATATGTTTAATAACACAGGGTTAATAAGATGATTGATGTGCAGCGATACAATTAATGGCGGGGGCGGGATTTCTGGAAAATTCAATGATTGATGAGGACGAATGATTAGTGTTATGTCAATGAATGCATTGAACATGCATGAAGCAGGGTATGCATGTTAGTGGTATGAGGTTAGAATACAAGGAGTGTATTTTGAATTTGAGTTATTTTTATCTATACATGCAATTATTTACATTCTTTTTGCTGAAATAAGAACATACAGATAAGTATTAGTAATTAAGCATACAGGAATATACACTTATTACCTAATAAACACCATTCTATAATAACTTTGAAAACAGTAAATACATTTGACTGACATTCACAACTTTTATCATTGTATTCTGGTATCGTATGTTGTCTGAAGTATAGTTGTGACAAAATGCCTTGATATTTTAAGCCGTAAACGATGTATATTTTTCCCTATATCAGTATAATGCTTGAAACTATAAGCAATCTTTTTTCATTACAATGCGGAGTCCAGACTATTTATATCAAACCACTCATTAAATTCTATTATAAAAAGATTCTGAAAGCAGAAATGTTGAGCTTCGATAAAAATCATCAAAATATTGTTGAAATAGAAAAACACAACAACAAGAAAACTGAAAGGACAATATCATTGAAAACGAGAAAAACGTTTTTAAACTTAAAACAGAGTAAAACTACCCACGGCAAGCAAAAATAGGTGTGAGCGGAATCAAGGATACTTTCACGAAAGTGATAGATTGCGATGGGAAATAACTTAATTGAGTCATGCATGCGGAAAGGTGGAGAGTTTCCCATGGAAAGTGGTAAAGACAGTTTAGAGATGTACGAAGGATAGAGAGTAGCTTAAAACGCAATAACCTGTTTTCGCTATTTTTCTTAGGGAGGAGCCGATGTGATAGGCGTGCACAGTATTTGTTCTTCTTTGAACGGGGATACAGGATGTGACGTGCTACAGACAGGATGTGCGACAAACCACTGAAACAATGGACTACTTTACCAGGAGCATGCTCAGACGACTGAAGGTGCATGTCACGTGGTTTGTGCGGCAGAAGAGGCGAAGAGTGAGTCGAAGAGATGTCCATAGATTCAGAAGTAGTTAGTCCTACAGAGCAAAAGTGTAGTCAATGTAGACTTTGACTAAGAGACGCAGAGTCGTCTGTTGTACTTTGTCTTCCAGCCCGTTGGTAGAGAGCAGAGATAGCGCACAAATAACCGTCCATCCGACTACTAAATAGGTATCAGTGGTTTACATACATAATGCAACTTTCAAAATATCATATATATCGGCCGCTAGTTACACGACAAGGATCATTCTCTAGTATGTAGAAATAAACACGAATAAACTATTTACTTTGTTGTAGCATAGAAAATAGTCAACATACTCGTATACAGAAATAAAAGTGTTTTGAACAGTAGTTCATTGCATAGAACCACACAACTGAAATTCATAGTGAGAACAACACAATCACAACATCAACTTCGAAAACGTCTACTCACTGTCGACATCTGTCAATGCTCCTAACGACCTCCTTCTACCGCCAAGCCCATCGCCTTTCCCGCCCTAAAGTTAAATTTCAATAATTGAATTTATCATATAGGCCATGGAGAAATAATAAAGTGTATTGGTACCGTCAACATCGACGTGATTCTACAAAATGGCTGCAAAATTATTCTATAGATTACAGGAATGATATTATTACCAAGCTCCCTTTATCTAAAAAAAGTAACTTTATCATTTCTTTCCCCACCTATAACTAATTATTTAATGGATTACAGGAATTATGTTACCTCCCTTAATCTCAAACAAAAGTAATTTTATTAATAATAACACTATTATTTCTTTTCATATCTGTAACAAACATAATTAATTACCTCCCCTAAGAACAAAAGTCGCTTTATCATTTATTTCCGTATCTATAACAAACAATAACAAACAAGTTATCTCCCTTCCATTAAGGCATTTGTAGTTTCCAACAATGTAATCATTTAATAATTGATCAGTCAGAATAAAGGTTAGGTCATCCGGATGATTCATTTTAAAGAAGCTAGGAATACAACAAAGCAAAACCGAACCCTCCAAAATGCAAATTGCGATCCTACATGGCGTCATATCTCTAACAATTACACATGTTATTCTTTTTATTTAATCCTTCCATGATTCAACTAAAACAAAATCGTTAACAATCTATGATACAATAATCAAGCAACACGTAAACAATTGCAACAATATTTATGATTTATGATTTTATATCAGATACGATATATTATCACCCTTTTTCACTACATTTGTTCCCGAGCATTTTTAGAGTACCCTTATGTATAATCATACTGACGTATTAGTATCAAATAATAGGTAAATATAGCAGGGCACATTCAATAATTCAAGACGTTAATTTTGAAAGCAGTTGAAAAGATCTTTTCACTTTGAAAAAAATCGGCCGATTACTATTATTTTCCTGGCAACCTTTTTCTTTCCGAAAGAAACAAGGAGAATCTGCTGGTAGCAGATATGTTTTTTTAAAGTGACGCATACCTGAATTGATACTTTGTACTTACCCTATACTGTTTGCTTGGGGAATCTCTGCTGCCTCTCGAATGATTGGGTGATCCGGTGCGAATGTTATTTTGTGATGGTCTCACGGTAGGTGGTAGCACCGTCGGCTTTGGAAGTTCTACACCAGTGGTGTTGTCGTGTTCACGTAAAGGATACCAGTGTGGCAGATTGTCAAGGAAACCAGGCACTTTGATAATGAACAAAAAAAAACAATATTTTACCTTTATGAAAATTGATTTGGAAAAAATACTGCATAGGTAATACATGTACGTATTCTGTTGATATGGTCAAACAAATAATACGTGTCTCTTCAAACCAACTGTACTGAGTGTAAACATGAATGTATATAACTGAATCAATGACAAAATGTAACATTTTATTTTTTCTTATCTTTAATCTAATATTTGTTTGATAAATAAATGTTTGATTTTCTTATTGAAGATTGTCTTTATTGGCTTTCAAAGAAACAATTGTGAAAAAAGGTGAATGAATGGTTTCCTGTAATGGGCATAAAACAATGAATATATAATATCTTGATTCATCATCATCAGACTTACCAGATAAATCAATAATGACCTCGCCTAAGAAATCGTTGGCTTTGAATCTGTCGTAGTCCCACACTGTGATTTCCAGCGTCTTGTATTGGAGCTCTTCTCTATGGAGGTCTTGGAACACTACTGTCTGATACCACTCCGGACAAAGCGTCTTCGAAATGTGCTTGGTCCGCCTCTTGTTCTCTGCGCTGAAACCCATGAGACAATTGCATTGATCTATGTCGTCTACAGACTGTGGTAAATGATATGACTGCCTAATGGAAGATAGCAGTCAGATATGGAATGATATAGAGGTCTTTGAAAATTGTTCATTGGTCCATTATTTGTATTAATGTCAAATTCACAACCTGACCCTGCATTTTCAGTGCTTTTCATATTTGCTAACGTTTATTGATATATTGGTCCTCGTTAAAATATAAACAACAATAATTAAACCGTATGACATACCATCGACCAGGGAGAAGATAAATCTTGACAAAAGGATCTGACAACCCGTTCATGTCTTGTGAAATAAGGTTCTTTGCCGCAATGATGTGGATACTGAGAGTGTTGTCCAAGTCGTCATGGCTTAGTTGTAACTAAAATTTACAAGCAGAGTCAATTATATATAAAAAAAACCCCGTTATTTAAGCCATGAATATCTCAATGCTTACTGTTTACATTTACAATACCAAGCAAATTGATAATTGATATTCAAAGCAACATGGGGGAAAAACTCGATGTAAAATGTGGTTGACGTTTTTATCTTATCTTGCTTAGACATTTCTTTATTATCAAATATTACAGAACACAGTACCTGAATATCACCCATAGTTCTCTCTTTCTCGAAGACGGGCTGGAATGAATATAAAACATTTCTTCACATTTTAATCAGAACCAAAGTTACAAAATATAATTGATTTCTAATGTTTCAAGTGTTTTTGTACGATCAAAATCTATTGAACTTACATATACATGTCATTTTTCATTTCAACGAAAAAATATCGCACCAATTATATTCCATCTTACACAAAAGTTCTTCAAAACACAAATATTTTGTTCATTGATGTTAATACTTCAATACCAATACTGGGGATATCTGATAATGCAAAACTGTAAGTATGTACCTGTATCACGTCTTCCTCAGCTGGCTGTTCTTGCGGTTTAGTTGCCTGGAATGACGATATGTTTAAACAATGAAATTTCAGCTGTTTAAAGTCATAGCTGTCTACATAAATACATGCATTGTTGGAAAGTTGATGGGAATTCGGATCAAATGTCTTCCATTCATTTAATAGTGTTCATTAGTAAAATAAGTTTTATCATCAAAGCAAATTTTTTCACACTGAGAACTGGTTAAACACTGACCATGTTGGCTGGTCTTTCTTTCTCCGCACTGCCTGGAACGCTGACCTGTCGCTGTCTGTCAGAGGAGGTGGAGGTAGGATCAGAATGAGGGGAACTGCATGGAGATGACATACTGGGTGTGAGGAACTCAGGTTGAGACGATGACGCTGATCCAGCTGGTGAGTCCTTCTCCTGAATGCCCTCTAATTGCGCTGCAAGTTGCTTTGGATCAACACCGTGGTTGGACTTCAAACACTTCTCTATAAAACGAGATGAACCTGTTCGTTTCACGTTAGTAATAAATCATAAGTGGCACATCAATTGCTTTTTTACTTTTTTAGTATGGAAATATTGTTTTGTATAAACAGTATATACAACGAAAAACTGTAATTGATGTAAAAATTACAGTAGAATTCCATTGTTATAATTTATCATTTATATCACTGTAAAAATGATATTTATTTTAGTTATCATTGCGATCTTAAAGTAGTTTAAGGAAATTCTGTTGTGTTATTGACACAGCACTTCTCTCGAATCATGGGAATATATAAATGCGCCTCCTAATGTTTATTCCTTATGTTTTTTATCATATATTTTATGTTTCGACCAGACTACAAGATTAAGAAATAATTGTATTACATTGTTTCACTCACCATAAACGTCATCAGGTACAAACTCAAGGTTATCATAGGACGAGTGACAACTTCCGGGATCTGTCTCCTTTGTGTGCGATCTAGGACCACTGCAAAAACAATAATTATCAACATCCACACTTTCATCTGCAAGCTCGATATTTTACTGGAATATTGCTGATATCCATACATAACGGTATGAAACATTATTATGAATTATCAACGACATGGTTCGAACACGATTGATATCTAATATTAATATTAATTACTAATATCTGATCTAATACTAAGACTTCAAATCAAACCTCTATGTTCACTGCCTACTTTTCCTCAATTAAGAATCAGGGCAATTCCAACAAGCAGATTATCCAACATGATATGAATATTATAAACTTACACATACCAATATGAAATCATCTCGATGATTGATTACTGTATATGATAACATCACTACCTTTTCGGGAAGAAACTAATTAGGAATATGTGTGCATGGGCACTACATGTATTTTATCAATCAGTGTCCATAAAAACTTACGGTCGAACTACCAGTTCTATCTCGCCATTTGGCTGACCGATGATCTGTTGAACTTCTTCGTATGTTTTTGTCGTCAACTCAATCCCATTCCACTCGACTATCTGGTCACCTAAACAAGTATGACAATGAACCAATCATATAACACCATCCAGTGTAAGTTGATAGAACGTGATTTCTTCACTGAAATTCTAACTAACAGAAAAAGTCTGTAGTGAGAATTCTTGAAATGTTTAATGTTTCATCGTGGGTTCTTGCTAACTTACTACAAATGGTAATAATTTGCCTTGAAAAGTTTATCTCAGCTCTGAATCATATGATAGGATTTCGACTGTTCTTCAATAGTTAGCAATTAAAATGAGGTGAGCATTGCACGTTGTATAACATGAAACAACTTCAGGAGACCTCATGTGATTGGTTAATCCTAAGAACTTTATCGACCTAATTCCACGAGGGATCCTAACTTAGGATCAATTCATATTATAAAAATCTATATATATTGATAAATGTATTAGTATGAATTTATTTTGGATAATCCAGTTTGAATAAAGTACGTATAAAATTGACCATTGACATATGGAAATGAGTTTCAGGGAAAGAAATATAGATACGGGTTGTTGTCAGGGATATATCATCATTGTCCCTTAATTGCGGGATAATCTTACATTATTAATCACTTAGTGGCAAAACCTACCTTCCTGAAGTTCTCCATGCAGCTGCTCGGCCACACCTCCTGGGTATATGGCCGTGACATAAGCTCCCACCTCGTTTGTCCATGACATTGTTTTACCGCCAACAATTTTCATCCCAATACCATTACCTGCTTCAACAAAATAAAACGTAATGCACTAATTACGGTTTAAGAGACAGATAATTAAGAATTATATTTCCAATAGGTAACAGTGGGAATGAATACGATTGTCCTCAAAAATCGTCTTTTATTGACTGACCTTTTCAAATTCAAATACATTTGATATTCTTTTCAAAAGATTTCTTGTGTATAACGTTATATATGTTATTCAGCTAGATTTTGACATCTTTTTCATGTAAAATAGTCTCTTTGTTCACACATTATGCATCAATGGTGCGAGTCCCAGATAGAAGAACGATACAGCTGTACGATGGAGAATATACCACTCATTAAATATTGTTACATTAGATACCAATGTATTCACTGATGCGTCTTATGAATAACACTGAAGCGTATTTAATGAAAACAGTTAAAATAAAAAACAAAATAAACAGTAGGTAAAATAATCAAAAGATCGAATTTCTGGTTGACAGCATCTTTATCAAATTTGGAGGTAAGATCTTCCAACAGACTATTGGCATACCTGTTGGAACTAACTATGCCATTCTGTTGGCTGACTTGTTTTTGTTTCCATACAAGGCTGAATGTATTGAAGGGCTTATCAAGACAAGTTACAAAGTCCTTCAATTTCGCGTCTAGATACACCGATGACGTCTTGTTTTTTGAATAAATGGAAATGTATTGACCACGTCCATCGTATATACCCACCAGAATTGGAAATCAAAGACATACCAGACTTTTAAATGTCAGCCGCTTATCTCGATATTTTCATACAACGAAACCAACGCGGCCAGCTTCCACATGCTATATTATACTCGTGATGATTTTAATTTCTCTATTGTGAATTATCTTAAATTTCTGGATAGCAACCACACTGCATCCCAACCTATGATGTTAATATGTCGCAATTGACTTAGGCTGGCTTCCGATTATCACGCCTTTCGTGTTAATGTCGGTAAGTAACAGACAAACACACAACACAATGTTTCGAGACATGTAGGCTGATGAAGGTGACGGGGAATTGTCACAGACATCATAAAGATTTCTCATTGGGAAATAGGCTATTTCCTTGTACGATGTGAAGTCGGACGTGTTTGATACTCATTAGTATTCCTGATGGTTCCATTGCTGTTAACCTTGTTCTCTTTTGAGAAGTTGACATTATTTACTTGGCTTGATCAATATTTACATTGCAGGTGTCGTCGCTGAAGCACACTTCTGAACACCTGGTCTTATTCTTTTTGTACTTGTTCATGAGTATCCATGTCAAACTATCTTGCTTTTGTTTATATTTTGACCTAGTTTCATCGAATTTTGACTCGACATGTCTGTTTTAAGTTTTTGTACAGTCCTTATTTATGTAATTTATAATTGATTAAAACGGGTATATACAAACAGATAAAACTTTTATGTCACATGTCCCTTTCAAACATATGAATTAGTATGGCAGAGATTAAACGAGCAGATTCAATGTTTGGTCGCTTTAACCTCAAATATTTCATAACCGTGTCTAAGATTTATATTGACATGTCTTAACACATCAAGACTGCTTTCTTCTGCTACAGCGTCATTTTTTGTCAAGAGGATGTATCCATGAAAGTAGTTGGTGTTTCTCGCACTTATACAGACAATTAAGATTGCACAATGTTGTAACAAACCAATGTTTCAATAACATTTTTGTTGTTATTTTTCCGACCAGATGTCAGTGATCAAAGAACAACCTGGTATTCTCAGCTGACAAATGTCGTTGACATGGTAACAATCGATGTTTACACGCTAGTACTGCTTCACGTCCAAAACATACTCTTTCTACATGAGACTGGCTGTGGATTAAGCTGTTAAATATATCTTATCTGGCAGCAGGCTTCCCTTAGAAGCAATATACCAACATCTAACTGGCAAATTATATAATCGGTCCTACTTGCAAGTGCCATGTTCCGCAAATACTGGCAACGTATCTCGGTGTTCAACAGAGACGAGGCTAATAATCAATACCTCAAACACATACAGAGAAAGTGTCCCTATCTTACACGTCCATCTTGCTATCGGTAACAACAAACAAGGGTTTTCTTACCAAAAATAACTTTATAAACAAGCTTATCAGATATCTTAAGTATATCGGTCTCACTTCATATGCGCCTAATGTCCTCATTCCAATTAACACATCATCCAAGCAAGCTAACGAAAGACTTGAAAGCAGTTGTCGCCGATTTCAATTCTACACACAGAAAAATGCTATGTATATATGGAAGCCTACCTTTGATGGATCTGTCTTTTGGATCCCTAGTAAGTAAGATCCGCTTGGTTGGGAAATCATATTTCTTCGGCTGCGAAGGCTTCAACTGTAACGCAAAAATGTTTGGAGATCTTAATATAGCAAATAATAACAACAGGTAAGATGACATGATAGGAACAGTCGCATGCTCTTATGAGTGCAAATTGACCATGTTGAACAAACCCTACCGGTTTTTTCCTTTCAAGTTGCTTCAGAATCGTGACACCGCCTTCCATCATATGCTTCATGATCGGTTCGTCAGCATCTACACTATTGTCACTTTCTGCCCTATAGATTGCATTCATGAGGTCTGCAATATACAACATTAAATCATATAACAATCATAAAAGTAGAAGTACAAATCTTCATTCTTTTCATTTATTATGCTGTTTTCACATTTCATTCTACAACAAAATTCGTCGTCTCAAAACTTTAAGACTAGATATTACTGTTTCCCTTGAAATCAATAGACAAACTAACCATCAACGCCTCCAGTAAAGTTGAATTCAGCAGAAACGGGTCTACTTCCGGCACCGATGTCGTGAATAATCTTACGTGACCTGGCTTTGACGTCATCAAGCAAAGGCATGGCGGGAGTAGGATCACTTGGTGGACTTGCTTCAGTGTCAGAAAAGGTATCTTTTGTTTGATATTCAATGTCGACAGTCCTGGCAGAATGAAGCTCTGGTAACGTGACGCTGCTAGACATGACTGGGTCTCTGACGGGATCAGACTTGCGGAAGAAATCAGATTGTTGGATCGTGGGTTTAAAAGCATGAGGGTCATCAATATTACCACTATAAAGAAAAGGACTAGAATACGCAGAATGCATTTCTTCAACGCGACTTCTACGCGAAGTTTCTTGCTTATGAGCTAAATATTCGGTGGAACTGTAATTTGCCTGCTGCTGGAAATTATCCCATGACCCTTTGTCATCATCAAGACGTCTGCTCGGATAGTGGAACTCGTTTTCTTCGTCGTCTTCAAGCGGTTTTATAATGCCTGTTGGAATAGGTCGTGTGGCAGGGTAGTTGTATCCTGCCGTTCGTGGCAGATCGTCATAACTGTGGGCCATAGCGTGGCCAGAAGTACGCGTCAAATTTAACAACTCTGCCTGAAGACGAGATGTTTCTTCGAGTTGCTTCTTTCTCTTCTCGATTTCATTTTGCAATTCTTGTTTTCTATCTTCACGCACTTTTATTTCCTCGTCGACTCCAAAACATGACGGAGATCGAGTTGCCTTTTTCACCTTTTGTGGTATGTGGGATTCGGAGCGACTCTTTGATTTTGTACCAGGTAGTGTAGACTGTTCTCCTTCCGGTCCTTTTGACTCATCGTAAGAGGCATTGAAAAACATTTTTGCATAAGCTGAAGGTTTTATTTTCTTGTAACGTGCATTTGAAACGGGTTCAGAACGTATACTTTCATTGTCACTTAAACCTGATTGCGAGCTATCATCTGTAATATACTTCATATGTGTTTGCTCCGAGGAAGCCGACTTTCCTTTAGATTGGAAATCTGATTCAACATCTTTATCCTCTTTAATGGGCGAAAACTTAGATATCATCGGATCTGACGTCTGACGCTTGTGTCGTGAACGTCTGGGTAGAACTTGGGGCGAAGAACGCGCAGATTGCAAAGGTGAAGTACCGCGCTTTTTGCCGTTTTGGCCTAGAACATTTTTATTAGACCTTTGCTGCATAGATCTCTTTAATTGAGATTTGGCATATTCTGAGCTGAGCTTAAGTTCTCCTATTTGCAGTTGAAGAGCCCGTATTTCTTCAAACTCTTCAATTCGTCTTCTTCTTCCCTCAGTTGCTTTTCTGAGCTCGTCCTGTAGTCTCTTCTTGAGCGACTTCATTGCTTGTGTTATAGGGACACCGTATATGTTTATCATTGAATCTATCATTTCATCAGTCTCTTCTCTATCCTTACTCCTTTGGTCATTCCTTTCAGAGACGCCAACTGCCCCCATCAGGACATCTTTATCAAGAGGTATATTTGCTTTCACTGCCTTCATAGGCTTGTCTTTTGATGGATCACCGGCAGGTATGTAGTTACCGTTTCGCTTATCCATCGATGCTGGCTTATCCAGGTCGTTCATTCTAGTGTGACTTTTATGGTGATGATTAGTCCACATAGCAACTTCGAAATCATCTTCATTCATTGATTCATCGCTAGTTGACGATGGTGTGCCATAACCGGTACGCTTCCGCCGATTTTCAGATCTAACATGGGTGTGATGTTTCCGGGAAGATGAAGTTTGACTTTTCTGTTTTGAACTACTTGAGGATTCATCACCAGTAGGAATCGGAGGTAATTTTCTTCTTGTCTTCTTTGTTTCCTGAGACACCTATAAATCATAAATATGTGCATATAGAAAATTATTTACGAAACATTCATACTGATAACTGGGAAGAGATGCATCAGTGTCAACCGAAGCATTATTGTGAGATAGTGAATCTTGTCCGGTATATATCCATTGTATTCACAGATGGATCCAATCCCAGTATCCAATCCACAAACACCATATCTAGCTGTGTTGCCGTAGTGTTAGTATGACAAATAGCACAAAATTTCATGAAAATATGTTTTATGTGAAAACATATATATAAACATATACAATTCAAAATCGATTTTCCAACAAAGTGACAAACAAACTTATTCATCTCTTCACGAAAAAAAAAAAAAAAAAAAAATAGAGAAAACACTCATACGAAACTTATCATCATTTCACAAATTTAAGACCCAATTAATTAATAATTGGGTTTAATTATTAAGTACGTAAATGCCCATATTAACTCCAAAGATATGATACTAGGTTACTAACATCGCTGTGATAGCATGGTAGAACAACACACGTTTTTGTATCATTTATGCCTAAATGATATTGCCATGAATTCACATTAACCACATCGTAGCGTCAATTTTTTCATCTATTGAACAAAGCAGAGTCCCATATTTTTGACAAAGTCGTCATATACCGCTTGGCTTGTAACGAAATGAGAATACTGTTCCAGGCTTAGCCTACTGTCTTATTCTCCATTTTGTATAACACAGTATGCATGTATGACATTGAAGTATAACTAATATCTGTTAAGTGGCATTAACATTGCATCGCGAACAAGGTGTATAATTCGTAATAAATTTACTACATATGCATTTATAAAAGAATACGAATTCGATAGGTTGAGTAGTTAGACACATATTATGGCTTGATTTCCATTAAAGCGTTCAATTATTCATATCTGATGGCCGATTTTAACAACAGTCATAACATAATTACATATATGAAAATCAATATAATATTTTTACTCAATCTTCAACATTTATACCGGAGTTTGTGTTTAACTAATCCTCACCACAGAGTATGAATAATATCTAAACTTCTCGACCAAAAGGCTAATGTTATACTTTCAAAGGACAAATCATTTCAATCTGATATGGTTCACTACAGTTACAATAATCATTCAAATATATGAAACACAAAGAATGGCAAGAAGTTAAGTCAGCAGTAAATGATTGTAAGAGGGAACCATTTTACCTGCTCGAATTTCTTGATTTTGTCCTTGACCTTGGACTCGGCCAAAGATTTCTCCTCAAAGGTCTTATTGAGGTGTGGCAAACGTTTAGATGGAGTGGGTTTTTCGTACGTGCTATCCTCATCAAAGTCTGTACCCGGTGAGGAGGGAGAATGAGGCTTGGGTGGGGAAGAGTCAGAATCGGGAGGGGTGACGGGTGATGGGAAGGGATACACCTCCCGGTCAGGGGAAGAGGAGGGAGACACAGAAGTGCTGTCGGAGTAGTCCCTTTTCAGTGAGGAGCGGGACTCCGGACTCGGAGGTGAGTCAAGAACCTTATACTGGGGAGACATACTCTGTTCCTCCGACTCAATGTGGCGTATCAGAAGTGGATTTGGCTTTGCTTTCATGTCCTTGGCCTTTTTCCGTTTATCATCCAAATCAACGCCTTGCACTACATTTATATTGCTGTTATTATTATTGTTGTTATTGTTGTTATTATTCGTGTCACTAGTTCTAACATCCGGTCGCTGTGGAATATCACTCGATTGTGGAATGAGTTTTACATAGGAACTGGAAGAGGCAGAAGCGCCGCCCGATGATTGTACACTAGCGTGATGTTTGCCCGATGATTTGGAGTGTTTTTTCGTATGTGCAGCTATCATTTCTGCGGTAGGCTCTGGTAACTTCCTCCGCGGTCGAATAGGAGGCTTAGGGGGCTTTTCCCCAGGTTCACTCGGTTTTGCAGCTGACGAACAAGTTGAACCAGAACAGGAAGCACCCTTTTCGGGTTGTTCAAACGAATTAACCCTACTCTGAACTAGACTTACTTTAGGTTGATTACTAGATGAAGTTGTTTGCACCTCTGAACTACAAGCCTGACTTTTCAATATCACGTCCTTAGTCACCGACTTTGAAGCTAGTGTTGCACAGGTGAAAGGATGCCCTGTGATATCATTGACCAGACCACTGTCGTCCACTGTCATACAAGCTGCCTCCACAGAACTGGTCAGATCATCACTTAAGTTAGGGCCATTGCTTTGTAATAGTTGACATATATTTTCTACCCTATCATACCTCTTTAAACCATAATAAGATATTTTTTCGTCGTCATCCTCGAGAGGCTGAAAATAACTATCATAATCTTCATCATCGTCATCATCATCTTCTTCTTGTGATTCTCTCCTGCGTCGCTCTTCTTCCTGTTTTTCAAACATATCGACTCTCTCTGCTTCTTCGATCGATGGCGACACGTCTAAAATTGGAGACAAATCGATCACAGGAGACCAGTCGGTTGACGGTGGCCGCACCTTTTGGCGTTTAGAACCCTGATAATCTATTGCTTTTGAAGATGGATCTGCTAGTTCAACGTCTTCCAAATCATCAGACCCATTTTCATAATAACTGGGAGAAATCGGTGATGCGCTTTCTGTACTTTCAGTATCCTGCGAGTCCGGAGAAATCTGATCGTGCTCATGAACGGGTAAAACTTGTAAGTTAGTGGGAGACACAGTCATTTGTGTTAGATTGGCAGTGTTACTCGCGATAGTAGCGGCATATGTGGCGAGGTCAATAGCTACAGCGGTATCGGGGAGGTCTATATGACTAGTGTCAAGTTCATGGAGATTATGACACGGTTTGCTTTCGGGCATTTTAAGAAGGAAAGGTTCACCCATAGTTGTAATCATATCATCAGCTAGTTCCTCTGGTGATATCGGTGAAGGCTTTTGCACGACTGGCATTACGGCATACCCCGCCTCACCGAGGGCATGTGCCTCAGCGTACAACTCTTCAACCGAAAGCTGGCGAACAGGGGGAGACACATCGTATGTAAATTGCAAGCGACTGTCTTTTGGAGACACCGGAGACGAGGGACGTTTTTTACCAGGATAAGAGTCCCTCCGTTTTGGCGAAAATGGTGGACTCTCAATACCTGCCCTCCAACTCGGACTTCTTGGGGGCGATGGGCTCATATGTGATTTCAAATCATCCGGCACATCCGAATCATATTTGTCCATAATTTCATCCACAGAAGACTCTCCTTTGAAGTCTTCCATTTCTTCTGCGAATGCACATGCAGCCAAAGCAACTCTTGCCTCATTCATTACGGCTAGAGGAGCTAGTCGGTTCTCGGTGTCTGTGCTTATAGTACTATCCGTAGTCTCGTCATCTGATGACGTAGCACTGTGAGAACGCGGAATGTTGAGAGACCTTGGGCGGTGTTTCCTGCGAAGTCTACCACTGTCATCACTACTTCCGATGCTCATCATCGAATAATCATCACTTACATCGTCCGTACTCATCCCATCGCCTTGGTAATAGTGCATAGAGACATCTTCCATATCCACATCAGACACTGAGGTTTCCGAATCACTCCTGGCACCTTGGCCCATCGCTGAAATGACAAACGACAATTAATGTATTTCTGGTGTCGGCAAAATCGTAAGGCCTTCTTCACTTGTTATTTTTAACATCTGTATCGTTTTATTTTCAAGAAATTGTAAAATGGCTCTGTTACATGCTGAGAAAAATGTTATATCATAATTCTGATGTCTTATCATATATGTGATAATAGATCTTATTTCAAAGATTGTTTAAATATAATGACGTTATCAGGAACATTCTTATGTCAATTATGAACTGAAATACACCAAAGACGCTGAAATCTATAAACTACTATTAGGCATCTAAATATTGAAGCGTATTATACTACAATAAAACCCGATTAATTCAGTATTACAAAGACAAGGAATACTGGGTAAAAGTAAAACATTGTTCAACCTTGTCTTTTTTAAATATGAAATCAAATCGAAAATATCTCCATGACCTTCTATATTGGTTGACGTTATTTCGTTTTGCAAACTTAGTCTGGCTTTATGGCAGAAACCTGGCAGCCAAAAATTATGATTCTAGGTAATTTGTACGACAGAAGACGAACACGTTGTTTGAGTTTTTTTAACAAATGTAACCTCTGTAATCTTGTAAAATTTTCATTGTCATTTCATCCCTGAAACATACTGATAAAATATCAGGACAGTATGCCTGTTGGTTAATCATACAATGTCGTTATAATATAACATTACCTGTATCACAACCTATTAAGACGTTTATGGGATTACAATTAATTCGATAATATATTTCAGTGATTATCATAAAACAAACGAATCGGTATCAGTGTTCTTATCTATCGAGAATACATAATTTCCCAATGGTAAATCATACTTGATATACAATTCAACCAATAAGACTGATGATTTGTTGCAGAAAATTATATATTTTTTTTTTTTCAAAAAAAAAAAGAATATATTTAGAATGGTTGACTTTCAAACAAACTTGAAAAAAACATAACAACAATAAAACTAAAGCTATAACTAAAAAACTAAAATATAAATGCGATTAACCTAACTAGAATATAAGATGTCATGTTAACGTTATATCATAAGCAAAAGTCCGCATCATGTGCAATTACGACATAACTGATGATAGGTTTGCAATGTAAAACATAATCCTGACCAACATGACGAATCAAAGCAATTTTCTTATATATCGTTAGAAACTAACCATTGCTTTCTTTTGTAAATAAAATGCCTTTTTGTGTTATCAGAAAAAATTATGTACAACGTAACACAAATTCATCCTTCCATTTACCTACTAACAGAAATAGTCTGGGAACTAACAAACTACTTACTAATAATGTCAGTATGCTGTATAAAATAATGTCTAAGATAAGTTATTTTATAGAAATCGTTTTCGTTGGTATAGATAAACCATTAGTTAAACTAAATCAAACACAGCCATGTGTTGTACAGTGTTTAGAACAAGGAAATTCATTTCTATAGTAGAAAGTAAAATAATAATTTTCATGACGCTCAACTTTCGTTTTTTCCACTATTTTGAGGACGTATATAGCTTGATAGATCTCCTTAAACTTATTTCAACAGGTCGTGGACATATTAATTCATACATTTAGGATATCCATAAAATCAACGAAAATCAAACTCCACAAAAGTAATGATTTTGCAATAGAGTAGGATTTTGTTACTACTTAGTGTCTACAACGTAACAGTGCATAAATACAAACAAGAAATTAGTTTTAATGGCAACACATTGAAATATGAAACACATTTAGATATTTATTTAAAAATATGAAATGGCAATCTGAAAAGAAAACGATTTGAAATTTTTAATTTGAAACTGGAAATCACAATTATTAAACCAAACGTGGTTTCATTAAACAAGTATTTGTCAGTCTGTTTTCTCTGCAGCCTTACAGACAGGTTGTTATCACTTCCATGCATCTGTTTTATGTGTATGCTATTCGTTTATTTAAGTGAGAAATGTCGTTAAAGAGATATCTAAATGCTTAGAGTACGAAACATTGTCAATGAAAAAACAAATGCTTCTCGAACATTAAGATATTTTCGGAACCTTCTAATGGTCTTGACTGTAAAACAAATTGAATAAACCAGACATTGTCGCGTTTGATGAATCTTGCTCACATTAAGATAAAAAAATAGTCGCTACAACTACACATGTATCTGGTCTGTCAAAACTTGGGTACAATCTTTCAGACATCTGGGTTAAACTGGTGACCAAAATGGCCTATTGTATAACCCGTTCCTGACAAGATATAGGTATGTTCTTTAACCAGTATATTACCATGAGCTTGCTTCGAAGTCTGAATTCAAACATCCAACATTGTTATGTCTTTCTTTAACAAAATTGTATATATATATATATAGATATCTGTTTGTTTGTTTACCACAGGTTGTCACCTGAAGGAGAGGACTTAAATAGGCAAAGCCTGATGTCCAATTCCTTTTGACATTTGTCAATAAATTTTGTTGAAATTGAAACTAAAAACATTGTTAAAGAAATTATGCGAAACTATGGAATTATAAAAATAAAACGAAAATTATTAATACCGTATAACAAGTAATTCTTACGAATCAAAATTTCAGCGAATTCATTTAAAGCGAACGAACTTTATCTTGCCGAATTAAAATGTTCGAGATCTGGATGTAAAAGGACATCTACACACGTGTGTCTCTTTATTTCACGGATTACATTTTCGCGATAACGTTCATGTACCGTGAAAAAGCGAAAAAATAATTCCCTCGAAAATAACCGGTTATACGGTACTTGGTTGAAACCCTTCTCAGCAGACTTCAAAAGGAACAGTATCATCTAAGACACACTTTCTGTGTGTATGAGAGATATGCTATATGATCAATCATATTGTACTGACAATGTGAAACACGTTGCTAACTGAACCTCTGCAATATACTGTCTATCAGAATCTGTAAAAGACACTGGAATGAATGACACTTTCAGGACAGGACAACTTCAGTAAAAAGAGAGAGTATGTACTGAACGATATTTAAAACCGCAGTTGGTTACTGACCTGTCTCCTTTATAATGCCCTGGAGACACAATTTTGGAAAATCAAGATGGTGAATTACGAAGATCAATTTTGCCCTCAGCAAATATTAAAATTTGGAAGTGGTTATTCACTTAAGCATTGGTCATATCACTTCGGTAACCTTTCATATTGGATTAATAAAAAAGACTGACAGGTACATTTGTGTATGGAGAACCGGAACCTCTCAACATTCTGAATAAAGAAATTCCAAATATGCAACAAATAATTCGTTTGATATTCGGAAATCAAATAAAAGTAAAAACATGTATATTGAATTGTGACGCAAATCAAGAAAATCATGACGATTGTGTACCATTTGGTTTCATCCGGTTATAAAATGTATTTTGACTAGTATATTAGCCATCGACGTAGATGAAGACACAGATTACTAGGATAGAAGCCAGACAGAAGCGTGTAGGGCAGGTTTCAAAGTAGCGTGCCAATGATGCAAAGCTTAATCAGAAAACAAAGAAAGGCTCATCTAACAGTATCATAAATATACATATTGCTCAATGGGTTGGTATATGTAGAGTGGGATGTCTCCTCCTAAAATTCAAAATGCTTAATTTGCGGGGAGAAAACCAAGAAACCTTCGTCATTTTTCAATATTTTCTCTCTTTATCATTAAATTTGTGAAATATGGTATTCTTTATATAAATCTGTATCATACTTGCAGGTTAAGATCAAGAACTTACAGGGAAATGTATTTCGGCTCAATCATTTAAAGTTTTCCCTAGAAGCGTTCTACAGCACATCATCAGATTCATATCGAAGGTGACCTTATGTGTCTTTATTGTATACCAATATTTTACTTGCTCGATAAATTCATTGACAAAACCAATATCTTACACTGAACATTTTGAAACTTTTTTTCAATTAAAAAGAAAAAACGTTAAAATAAAAGTATGAGAAGCATTGCACATTACAACAATGTTTTGTTTATGATAAATAACTACTCCTTTTGTAGCTTTTAGTGAATTATTTTTAGGAGAAGTCAAACTTACAATATATTTGTAATTCTTCGAGAAAATGTAAAACTCGGATAACCACTTAATTTGCGTAACTAACACAAGTTTACCACTTAACCCGCTTGTTATCCAACGAATTCGCCAATATATAATTTTTGGTTATATGTCACTAGTATTATATACCCTGGAAGGTTTCATTGTCCAAGGCTCGCAAAAATGAAAGCGTGAAAGATTAGTTTTAAAAATCTCATTTGAAACGAAAACTCAATTAAGATTATATATATATTATAATATCTAAAAATATCAAAATCAAAATAACTACTTGTAGAATTTGAGGAACTTAAAAAACATAAACAATTGTATTATAATAACTAGGGACAAAATTTTAAAAATCTGATCACTACATGAACTTATAGTATTTGAGAAACTTAAAATAAAAACAAGTATATACTGAAATGTAGCATGCAAAAATAGGTTCATAAAATGTTTTAAATAAAATGAAGGAAATGTGCGGATCATTAAGTGTAAGTAGAGTATTCACCACAGCTGCCGACCATAGTTCTGAGCACTCCTGTAACAAAATGTCACATGGTCACCATGGCTGCAGATAGCAATTATTCGCCGATGATGGGTTCATGGTATGATGTTTAAAGTTCCTTCTTAACGCGTTTATTAGATGGAGGCGCGAGATGAAATCATCAATAAGTGATAGGCACATTTGTAAAATGAATAATTTATATATAAGGTATCAAAATCACATTTGTATAAATTGTACAAAAGACACATGAGTGAATTTAACCTTTTAACACAAATTTAAATGATATACAAGAGAGTCAAACAAGAAATTAAACTGCATCATGCAGTTTTCGATATTCTAGGACTTGTCAATGATGCTTAGGGCCTAAATTTAAACATAGGAGGCGTCTAAGAAAAACCAGTAATCGAAAGAAATGTCAAAGCTTAGACGAGGAGGAGCAGTATCACTATAATTAAATAAATTTCGTTAATATCATATATCAATTAATCGTACAAGAACGTGAAGTACATGTTCATATTCTTAACCGTGCCACTATTTGAATGAGTTGATTCTTTGCAAACCACTTAAATACGTCAACGTTAATCAAACATAAATAAAGAATTGTTAATGCTGATGTCTCTCTCTGTAGAGTTGTGTCATCAACAGAAACCTTCTATGGAATAATGCTATATTTTCTGTTTATAGATAATCGATATGAAAATATTTAAAGTTTCGGTTTATTTCTTCATCAAAATATGTGTATGTCTCCAATGAATTGACAAGTGATTTATAACAAATAACGCATGAGCAATTGTAAACTCTGTTGCCAATTTGGAATGACTTACTTGAAAATATTTTGACATCCTAATATACACACACATTATCTATTGAAGTAAATAACTGCTTGTTACCTGAACTAGGATGTTCTTCATAAGTAAAAGATCTGTATCCTTTTTCGTTTTACAGATAATGTCAAAGGTATATTCGGAATATTTCCTTATTTGTACATGATGACAAAGACATATTCGGAATACCCTATGATTTAAGGTAATTAAACCTGTGCTCTAGAATTAAGTTTTGACAAATCAATTTTGGCAAACCAACCCAATTCACATGACAAATACTTCATAATTTAAAGATAATACCACATGAATACCCAAAGTACCTCTTGATTTCCAGATAATGGCATGGCTGTACATCTGAACTACTTTCTACTTTACAAATCTTTATTTTTGATACTTTTTGTAATTGCACTTTAAACTTTTAAAGAAACATTTAACATTTGTAATATATTCTGCGTGTGTGACGTCATGCACGTATGCACATAATCCATTCAACATGCTTGCTTAATTAATGCGGCAAAGATTTATATAGAATATGCATTGAATATTGTGATCAACAATACTTCATTCTTTCGTTAAGACAATATCGATGACGCTATAGAATGATAATATGCATTGCATTACATATAAAAATGAAATAAAAAAAAAACAATTATTTAATTCTGAACTTTAAGAATTGATGCCAAAAGCATAATTTCCATTTATCAAAATTTTGCATAAAATCATTTTAGAACAGGCATTTATCAAAAACGCAAAAATTAATTTTATATTCAAGTTTTAAAATTAATAACACATATTTATGTCTCCAGTAAACGTTTCAAAACGTTAAGATACTGACTGTTTGGTATCGTCATGGCGGTGGTATGTAGGTCACGTTTCACAATTTAGCAATTACATCAAATGACCTCTAGTTTCTGTGACATTGACCTTTTTTATGGTGATGAAGATGTTCTAGTTAGTTTGACGATGGCATCGTTATACTTACAGACGCTTCACCATAATAAAACAGAACTTCCGAAATAAGCTAACTTCCTAATTAATAAATGTTCCTACAGAAGAAGCAAGGACTTGGGAGTGATTTTCAGTAGGTTTGAATGACAAATTGTAACGATATGTTTATGTTAATATTACTAACACGGTCGCGTGCAGCAAATTCATGTTGATAAAACTTCTTTTTATTATGATTAAAATAAGCAACCCTCATTGATTTCATGCCATGCATCGAAAAGCCTTCCGTTTAATGTTATGGTGTTTTATAGATTTGAACAGTAAGTACTTGGCAAGACAACATACACCTCATCAAAGTCTTCATCAGTGATATTTGAAAAATTCTGCATTTCTTGGGTATGATACACAACAATATAAATTCTTAATTTACGAATTTCATTGTAATACTGAACGACCCGCCAAGACATGAATTATGTATATTCTTCTAAAGGACACAAAACAATTATTCAACCTCTAATAGTTGTGATATTTGTTTTCATGCCTTATAAGAAGATATATCCATCACTACAATATCCCAGCAATACTTTCAGATCAAATGCATCAATAAACTAACACAAGTCCAAATGTTCTGTGCTTAATGTTATTTTAACCTATTATTTGTACTGACTGTCATTTGTTTCATGAGCTTTCAAAACATACTACTCTGTACCACCGAATCTCATTGCATAGAAACAGAGAATAATTCAAGATTGCAATATCATCCCGTCTGCTAATTCAAATATTCTAGCTAATTTACCTTTGTTCTCGTTCTCAATTGTGTATCGGCTACTTCCCATTGATCGAAGAGACGCGTAATTTTGTAAGCGTGTCGATATGAGCTTGTGTTTCAGTTTACAATTTAATTTTCTTTTCGATTTTTCTACGTGGCAAATACCGACTAAAACACTAACTTTGTAAGCTTCAATAAACCAGAAGCCATTGCCAAGCCTGCAATCCTGTCATGTTTGTAACACCTTTAGTATTGTAATGTAAATAATTAAATGTGAAGTTAATATCAACATTTGTTCGAATCGTCAGGTCTATGGTAGCTGGCCAAAACTAGATCTGGCAGTAACAGTGGATCTTATGGCACGACCAAGGAATGATTGATTTTACCAAGGTTCAGCACTGATTGACATTACTAACTTGCCTAACACCGATCTCATCAATTTTAAATTGCCAAATAAAAACCTACAGGGACCTAAAATTATTTGATTTTTTGTTCCGCACATTTTACGGCACTGGCTAGCTTTAAATGGTTTGGAAAGTGACTGATATGACTGGGTTTTTCTCTGTTCTATATAATCAAGCTATTACAAAATTGTGAAACTATCCTCCTTGTAGATAAAGATAGGAAGGATATCTGCCAAGTATAAACAAAAACAACTTCTCTTATAAATAAATAAAGTGGAAAACTGCTTCATCATCAAATTAGATAGAGAACATCAGCAAATTGAATAGAGAAGTCTGACTTTCCTTATGAAATAAAATGCAAAAAAGCTAAATATTAACAACTAAAAATAGAAAGTTATGTTACTTATGAAAACATGAAAAATCGGAAACATTTCGATAAAATACAATGAAACCATCAATTAAAAATCATGCTACATGTTTTTTTGTTCATAGCGCTCGCGTGACACAATTAATAGTAAGAAAAGATTAATAAAGTATAACAGCACACAAACGTGTCCTTTGATCATCATTTCCTTCTTTTATTGAGAGTCACGTGATATATTTACCTCGAAGTCTCGATTGACCACCGGAACTAGATGGACCGTCTTCCGAAACTGGGCTATCTATCAACGATTCTCTACTGCCTTCGGTGCTTTTCGAAGCATCTTTCGGGGGAAGCCCAGATCGAGGTGCTGGTACGGGTGGGACCACTGTATTTGGCAGTGAGGTTTGATGTAGTAAAATTGCTGGTTTTTTCGGTAAAGGAGGTTTCACTTTCACCGGTTCAGATTCTGACACAGACCTATCAAGTTTACTTCCTTTATCAGTTGCATTTCGTCCGTTTCCTTTATCAACTGAATTTCTCCCGTTTGGTTTTTCAGAATAATTTCTCCCGTTTCCTCTCTCTGCTGGGTTTCTTCCGTTTGACCTTTCTGCACATGTCCGCCCATTTCCTTTATCTGAAGAGGTTTTAACGTTGTTTCGTTCTCTTTGATGTTTTCCATTATCCTTTTCCTAAACAGAAACATTAATAACTTTTTTCAGTTTCATTTTTAACATGATTCTCTGGATTCAAACGCAATACGCCTTCAAATCTTAAGCAATTATATTTCAGGAAATATTTGGACATTTTCCTCTAATGTTCATCTACACACCTAATCGTGATGAACGTTTAAAAGATGTTATAGTACGTCTCAAACATATTTTCCCTCTAAATCATCGATGCTTTTCGTCATTCATCGCAATTTGTCTTACCTTCATTGTTTCCATCCGGGTTTCTAGCTGTTTTGACAGTGGTACATCTGCTGTTGGCTCCACCCCCGGATGCCACATCCCAGTACTTAGAACCAACTTTCGGCGCTTCTGACAGGCAGTACACACCCATTCCTGTAGCTGAAGAATATGTAACGATTAATCTTGACTTAAAACATACCATTTATCATCGCTAAAGCTATTATTACCCTCATTTGATTAAATGTATAAATGAATGTGGCATGATTTTTCTTCAAGTCCAGACGTCACTTTAAACTGTATAAGATGACAAAATTGATATTTTATTCTTTTGAATGCGATAAATATCTTTCGGTGACCCGTAACGTGGTCTCGATACATAAATACTGTCTCCATATTTTTCAAACGACTAATATGATTTGTTGTTTTTAAAGTGAGTTGCAACCGTTTTGTTATACAAAAGCTACTCATTCATGATCATCGTGAGATCGTAAAATACCAAATCCACTTTGTTTCAGAAAGGAGACGAGGTGGTCATATTAAATCTGTACATGTTACAGGGCTAAATATAAAAACATTAATGAGAATGCTGTTACAGACAACCCCTAACATTTTCTATATAACAGATGGGTTTAGTTTCACGCACCTTACGCTAATGTCTACAAAGTTTCGTTATAGAGTTGAACCTATCATTCTGTTATAGAATTATATAGATTGTATCGATATGTATACCTCATCGAGATAATCATCTTTATTTTTGCTAATTTCCAGCTAATTGTAAAATTCATTGTGTAAATATATATAAAATCGAATGTAGCATTATAAATAATGAGCCATTTTTTATTATCATCAAAGATACCTTGCTGAGGCTTCCATCGCTTTTTTCTATGACGTACATTAATATTGCATGGACGGTATTTCACTGGTTTCCGATCCTTTATTTTACTAGCAGTGAGCACGCAATGGCGATATCGAATTTATACGTTATTACAGAAAGCAGCGGTGTTAGTTTATGCCGAGCTGAACTTGTCAGAGAATAGTCATTTGTTCTGAGGCAGATTAACTTCGCGCAATTAACAATGCTATCTGATAATGGGTTGCAATTAAGTGTCAATTTTGCAATTGCCCACTTCTCTTCAAAACCCAATCAGAAGTTGTATTCTCGGGCGCACCAACTCCATTGTAATTTCTTTGATTCAAACAAATGGCTATCGATTGTTCAGCGCCTGCGTCCTTAACAGATTACGTTGGTGTTTTTTCCCCTGTGCTAGAGATATTGGGATAGCGGTCGCAATGGGACGTGCATGGTCAAAGTTTCATTCTATCGATCTTGCTGTTAACTAATTTGTAACCAATTTTTACCAATTATGGGTATATATTAACAGAATTGCGTCTGTGTTTTAAACGGTATATACAATAGAAGGTTTAAGTCCTCTTGAAGGCAAGCTGCGACGAACACGATAATAAGTTCTCTAATTTTTGGCTGGATCTATCTATAATTACATGATTACCGTTGCTTGCCGCCTGTCATAATACATTTGTATGTAGGTGTTATCACTACTAGCTGCTACAGCTAAGCATTATTTCGTTATTCTATTCTTATCATACAATACTAGAATAGAACCCAGTAGCAAATAATTTCATTAACATATCACATGACTTAACACTACTAAGGGCGATCTCTTCAATCCAATGTTGCTTCTAACGCGTACAACAGGTCTTAATGTATTACCCCGCTATTGTTTTCTTCTCAGAAATGAAGTATTTTGCACTATATTATTTTCGATTAAAACATCCCTCAGGATGAGTTGTTTAAATGATCTTGTGAGATGTAACACTTACATTCGTCAAGAATACTGTTAACATTTTACAAGCAATTGTTTTTGTCTTAGGAAAACTGAGGTTAGTCGAGTGATCGCGACAGCTAGGCATAATAGTGCAAGTGACACGTGATACTTCAGCGTAAAGAGTGTAAGAACGTGTATCCTATTTAAGGTTTGCAAATATTAAATTCAGTACTTTAAAATTTAGTCGACAATTTGTGCTAATGATCGTGGGCTACATTTACGTCATAATTCGCAGTTTTAAAGCATTAACGGCAACCCACACTACGTCTTTAGCAGCGAAATAACGCAAAAGCTAACCGATGTTGGTATGTCATGATACTGCGAGATAAAGCAAAATGAACCAGGTCATAATACCATAATGGTGAAGTGAACCAGGTTCACCCAGGTGAAATCAACACCCAAGCCAATTTTTATGTTGTTTATTTATACATAGACTTATGCATGAATGGAATGAATTGGTTGAAAAAATAAAACAGGAAAACAAAGTAAAGAGATGTTCCCTGTTCAATCCTGAATTTCCAAAATCCAGACATTTTTTTCTTCTATTATTTACATAGAGTAAAAAGACAACTAAATTGAAAACTGTGCAAAAGGATTCATTAGTAAGAATATGCTAAAATTTGTAAAGTATGGAAGAACATAATTAAGCTAACTAATAACATTTAAATGAAAAATATATAAGATATAAGACAGCGTTACCATAGCGATAAGGTAAACCGCGGGTCAGTTTACTATTGGTTACACTTTACCATAGCGATAAGGTAAACCGCGGGTCAGTTTACTATTGGTTACACTTTACCATAGCGATAAGGTAAACCGCGGGTCAGTTTACTATTGGTTTCACTTTACCATACTTAACTGTTATTCGGTAGACTGACTAGGGCATTCATACTGTCCTGTTCATTGTGGGAGGTCAAATTGATCTCATAGGTGTTTAGTACTTCCGAAGGTAGAACTTGATTAAATTGTGATCAGTTTACAGGGTTTCATGTTTTGGAGATAGAACACTATGTCTATTCTAACGCAAGCTTTTCATTTCCTTCTTTTGAAAAAAACTTGATTACGATAATGTTTACAGCAAGAAATCAATAAGGCAAGGGTAAAGTCTATATTGACAACTGAATGAAACACACGTGCAGTCACGAGACTCACTGATCAATGTTTCCTAGGTTAATCAAGCTTCAATCAAAGCTACTGGGTTCAACCTCGGACAATGGAGAACGATTTTCTATGTCAATGATTTTTTTTATTTATTGATTCCTAACTTCTTTTGATTTGGATTACATGTTACAATCACGCGAATAAAAACAGCGACGTGTATCACGCTACAGTATGCATTCGGAATGGTCATGTTTTGGATGCATTTGGTATGTCACTCGTTCTAACATTTATAATCTTAGACAATCAAAGGGCGTAAGTATAAATTATTGTTGAAACAAATGTACGTATGTAATAGACCATTAGTTTGGTATAACCACTTAATGTGAAAGGTTATGGTGGGTGTGTACGTGCCTCCATTATTAGATATATCCTGTTCTTTATGTGACATTCGACCACACGCACAGAAATGTCCAGGAAGCGCTATGTTGAGTGTAAGTAATTTGTGTTCTCTTTCATGGTGACACAACCTAATGTATCAATGATTGCCCAAGATTTCCTAAAAAAAGGCATGTACTTTGATATTCCAGTAAAGATCGTATAATGCTTACATGTCTAGTATATTTCGAAGACTATAAATTCTTATTAAAATTTGTCACTATCAACTCATTAACTCCACTTGCACTTGATCACTTTATTCTCAAATTCATTTCCACTTAATGATTAATACTGTTCTCTTCAAAATTCAAAAACAAAAAATCGAATTGATACATGAAGACTTATCCAGACATACGCATGATTAAAAGATGTTCACCTAATATAAACACTGAGCAAAACTTTAAAAAATGTTAAAATTCAAGAAATCTGGCTTTATTAGATATAGAAAGCAGTATTTGAAATGTAAGCATTTAATTGGCTGTTATGTGGAAATGACCTCGGGTTTCACCAAGAGAGCGTTTACTTCAGTAAAAAAACCCATATAAAATCATTTAAATATGGGTTAGTATCTGGGGTTTTGAAAGCATACTGGTTCAGGAAAGTAAACATATCCTATACATATTATATGTGGCTAATACTTTGTGGTTGTCTAAGGAACTAGAAAGAGATAATCACAATTTCAATCATCATTCCATTGTCATAAATTTCGCTGTAAATACAACTTATTTCTGTTAGATATATAGACGTATGTTATTCAATAAGACGCTATTTTCAATCTTTAAATGTTTGCAGAGTACCTATTTTCGAGAGGGGTGAAGTGTAATTCGATATAGCCCAAATGATGTTATACCAAAATAGCTTTAAAAGCACTCAAGCCATCGGTTTATTTAACATGATCTTCGGTAAGAATTCTATACAATACTTACTCTAGTCGTTAGAGAACCTTCGAAAGATCCACATTCCGCACAAGTAAGTTTTTCGCAATCTACACAAACATCCTGGCCTTTGCGCATGCCCGAGCCATCCATACGTAGCTCGTTCTTCATGCAGAGTGGACATAGCGGTACGTCCTTGAGGTCAGGTTCCACAGATTGTGCTCGTTGTTCCACCGTTAATGCATAAGCTGTGTAGTCTTGTTCTAAATCCCTGTAATACCAAAACAATCACAAGTTATATAATATGAATACGAATACGTTGTATACACTTAGTATTTTCAGAAACGCGTGCAAAAAAAATGTTTAAAGTTGGTATAGATATACCAGTTGTAATTTGTAATAAAAATGATAATTGCACTTCAGATACATTAAATTTGTTTTAATTTTTTAATTTTAAGGTCAAAGAAAATGACTCCGCTTACGGATTTTAAATTATTTTACTCAGATACAAATATGCAATAAAACAAAACAAGATATCCTTGCAAGTTTGTTCTATAGATTTAAGTCCGTCTCAGAAATCGAAAAAAAATTATGATAACCAGGAATCAAAGAAGTATAAATCATTTTCCCTCCAGATAAAAGAACTTGGGACTTGGGGGTTACCTTTCTAACACTAATGTTGCGATAGGTGGTATACCTTTCAAAACAATGGCATCACGACAACAGTACCAAGTACAGGATTACAGAAAAATGGTTCATATAAGCAAAATAGAGAGGTTAGAAAATATAATTATTCGCAATGCTCTTTGAGTAAACATTATTAAGATGCCAACATTCAGCAAGCTTCTTGTTTGTCGACTTAATCAATGTCTTCCTTAGATTTAGATCCTCCTCTATCGACCCAAAAGGGGTGAAAGAGTTCATTCATATCACAGCAAATGAAATGTTCTCTGATATTTAAAAGTACGTAGCGCTCTATCAAGACAAAGCAGCTTGTTTATGTCTACAGATTTGTAACGTATTTCTTTGCACAGTAAGGTATTTTAGTGACCTTAAGACAACGATGTATGGATCGAAACATCTAGAAAACACGCGACAACACGCACGTGCCAGCAGATCCATTATCTGATTCGCTAGTAGTCACGTGTACCTCGCTATCACCAAGGGGACGCTGACATAAGTCCTGGTGATTGGGCCCAGACAAGAAGTGTTTACACGCAACGAACCAAACGAAGACCCCCTTATCATTGTCACATCAAGAACAATACTATGGCGGTGCACGACTTTATTTTAATTATCTGCACTAGGAGTCTTCTTATTACTACAAATCCTCTTACGTAGTATATTAAAAGAAACAATGACTTTGAAATGTGATCGAGAATGGAAAATTAGCACAGAGTAAAAAGACATAAATGCATTTCTGGGCAAATGTGCATATGAAACCTGTTTCACATACTATAAATGCCGGTCACTATGAAGCTCCTTTCTGAGGTTTTATGGAATCTATCATACGGCATTCATGGATGGTTTTCGAAATGTTTTCCTTCGTGTGTCAAGAAAGTATATCATAGTTAAAGTCATGATTAAAAAGTTATTCATCAGATGTGTATGACAGGTTCCCATGTCCCGCCTAAAGCGATGATATATTACAATTTCTCACGTACTTGAAAATTGGGGAGAAAATAGAATTCTAAATTAAGCGTCAATATTGATATTCTTTCCTGCTGGGTGTTGGTTGGTTGGGTTGGGTTGGTTGGCATACCTTTTGCAAATGTACAAAAAATTCATTATTTTGTTGTGAATGCAAATGAAACGGTACAAGTCTCTAAAAACGGTTGTTTGTTCGAAATAATGATTTCTCCATGGCGTGCATTGAACTATTTATAACCATTACGTTAAACAGAAGTATGGTCGATATGGGAGCGGATCGTGATCGCACCACTCAATCGATCGAGACAGCGATTTGTAGGATAGGGAACTGATTCCACTCGGCGAAGGCCAGGGTAGGTCCCAGCATTGCTACATTCTCCACAATTACTGGCCGACAAAGGCATCGCTCTGATGTATTGGTTTCAGTGCTTGATAAGGCAGCACAATGATGCTGTAATCCCAAACTGGAATGTATTTTTATGTCACTAAATGCCGTAGGTCAGCAATTATGTCTACCCTCCAACGAGTGTAATGAGCATTCGCGAGAGAAGGAAACAGCCTAATAAAGGAGCGAGAAATAAGGGTATAGGTTCCTAATGAAAAGCAGTTAAAACGCCAATGTGTCTTCATAAGGCCGAGCTATTCCCTTGCCTCTTGTTGTAGGTTAACTTTGTGTGATTAATTAAAGGCCGCAAGATAAAATGCATGAGTAAAAAACGATCGGAAATGGCACATACAATTGCATGCATAGCATACTCGTCAAGTAAACGGCATTTTGCTATTAAGATAAATAGGTCACCTCTGTGTCGCCCTCGGGAAGTGGTATAATGTCACTGATCTCGTGGAAATGTATCGATTTTAGCAGACACGTATGGCATACCTTTTAATAACGCTACAGCTGAACTGATAGAATCAGGTCAATTCATAATAGTAGTTTAAATCCCTTTAATTGAAATATATTTTAGATAGACCAATGGTCCATTGAAATCGCGACATTTTACCTCATGTCATTAACCTTCTATCTCGTTTGAATCATTAAGTATTCATCCAATCAATTTTAAATTGCATCACTATCAATATATATTGTTAACATGTGACCTTGTAATGCTTATCTTTACAAAAACGCTCCAGACTTGCCAGGTCATGCCCAATCTGAAAACTGACAAGGGCTTGTCTGTATGAAACGTTAGGAGTGAAGAAGACTATCTCCGAGAAAATGGTCAGATATTGGACTATCGATTTCTAACGCTAACTAAGTGTATAGACACCCAGACACCAAGCACGTGTATGTACAGATGTATTACGGCAAAACCAAAGTGGCGGATGAGAAGCTATCATTGACCGTAATAATCACGTGACAACGTTGGACAGCATGTCGTAATAGCTGAAAGAGGAGACTCGGTGTCCATTCAATGGCTTATATTCGTGTTTTGGAAAGTCTGTCATGTCTGACGGCAGACAGCAATAACCCGTGGCATTAATAGCTAACTGATTATTTGAATTTTTATCACCTGACAATATAACTGCTCTTTGTATTTCCCCAGGGTAATATAAGTTTAAGCACGACACCTCCATTTGTTGGAAATTGCGTCCCGTTGATATGAATAGATTTTCCCTTTTACAGAAATTATGCCGAGTATTTTTCCTACTATACACAATATATGAAAACCTGCAAACATACGCACAAGAAGTATAGACAAAGGTGCACACTTATGATTTAACAATCCATCCACTGGATATTTGAATCGAATCATTTCAATGATGATGTCAAAATATAACAAATGCATTTCTTTAACATCAAAATGTTAATTTTCATTGACTGTATAAAGCATTTCTATAGCATTCTCCCATAAATGATGAACAAATTGCTAAATGTATTTGTTACAAGAGCTTGAAAAACAGTCAATCACATTTCAGATCAGTACATATATATGTATGAACCACATTACTTAACGCCAATGCCTTTAGAGATATTTTCAGAACTTGTTTATCACTACATATTGTGATCGCTTCCGGAAGGCGGGTCTAGTAAACAGCTGTTGTGTTGTTTCTCGTCTCGACATTTTCTAGAACGTTCATGTTTTGATCGATAAAGATAATCCAAGAAACACAAAACAATAAGATAAAACCAATATGTCAACACAATCCTAATCCAAACTCCAATTTAATAAAACTGGGACAATTGTTGTTTTGTTGGAAGTAACAGTACACAACCATGACCAGATGTTTGATGATGTAAACAACGGTATCACTGCTGAAACGCAATATGTAAAACGTGGAATGTTTTTAAAAAAATCATTGTCTTGAAAACACAACTTTTGACATGAAGCAGAAAACACTAACGTAACAGATAAATCAGTCCCCGCCCTATTCAATGTTCATTTCACAAAACAATGGCACTATCTGCACCAAACACAAAAGCATAGCAGCATGACCACAAAAACGCTCCACTTAATATCTGAACAATAAGCAGAAGTAAAGTATGTATAAAAGAAACATTTACATGGAAAACCCTGAAAAAAATTAAACAGAGCATAACGCCAGAAGTTTAGGAGAGTAAGCGTCTTCTAATTGACGACATCCACCTAAGAAAGTATTGTATGGTTAAACAAGATACTATGAAAAATATTCTTTACCAGCAGTAAATATAATCGTTTAAATAGTGCTTCCAATCATCATGATGACTGAGTTAAGAAAGAATGTATGAATTACAGAATAAATGAATGAATGTAATTACAGAATGATGAATAAATTGATGAATAACATGAATAAACGAATGAAGGAAGGGAAGAGTGAAGGACAAACTAATTATAGAAAGATCTGATGATGAATGTCTTCACTGTGTTGAATGAGAGCCCTCTTGCATGAGGACATATTTGTACAGATGCTGAATCCAGGATCCCAACCCTGGCAGTAGTCTATGTTTAAATGTTCTGGGGCAATAAAATATTGTCTAAAAAAAACATAGTGCTTCCATAAGAGAGCGTATGTTGTGTAATGCTAAAACTTTTAACTTTATGTGAAGAACAGTATTGAAACTAAATGGAAAGGACCGGATCTAATGCAATCATTTCAGGAGTGATTGCAAAAATATGGATATTATTTTCAAAAAACGACCAAACAAATACAAAAATATAATGTGAGGAGTTGTGTCGTACATCGATATAAAAAATGCAGAAAACAATCAGTGAATGATTGGATACATGTAAACGATAATCAATAAAAAGTGACAGCAAAACCAGACTTTTTCGAAAAAAAAAAAAATTCAAGTGATATACAGCTATCCCAAAATTATTCATAACATACAATATTCGTCAAAAGAAGATCAAAGAAAACTACATTTGTTTACCTTACGATGAAATTATTTCAATCAAAATCCTTTACAAAGCAACACAATGCCACCAATTAAGATAATTATTACTCAACGAATAAGAGACATGCAATCTGCATGTTCTGTATCGTGCTTCGTTATGAAGTCATATAAATCTGGTACGACGAGCTACAAAGTGCACTGAAACGACCCCAAAGAAATTTTCAAGATCGATTTCTTCATAATAAAGGTATGGAAATGTAATAACGCGTGGAAAACCTAATAGTTTCTCTCTTGGTTATCCACAATCG